GAATTCCTCGGTGATGGTAGTGACTGTCTGGGGTTCTTTAAGAAGGGACGTGTTAAGTCTCCATGTCCACGGGGCCATCCCACCTATATTGCACCCAGCGTCGAGTGTATGTCTGAGTGGTCCGACCAGGTGGTGGAACCAATGCGGGTGTCGATCACTTTCGATACAGTGGCGCTATTGACTAAGAACAGGTCTATGCGTGACTATGTGTAGTGCAGGACAGAGAAGAAGGTATAATCGTGATCACCCGGATGTTGTGCCTGCCATATGTCTATAAGACCAGTCGATTTCAGAAAGCCATAGAGGGCCTTGTCCTGAGTGCCCCTGCCACGCGATCATGGTTGGCCCCTCTTGGCGCTCCTGTCTACAGTTAGACATGGGACCGCGTTAAAGTCGCCCCCCAGGATCTGTATGCCATGTTGTAGGGAGCGGTCTTACTCTCCAGGCTACTCCAGAACGCCGTGTCGGGTGAATTTGGTGCGTATATGTTGATTATGTGTATTACTTGTGAGTGTATTGTGCCTGAAAGAATTAGGTACCGTCCGTTTTGGTCGCTATCGGTGGCCATGACACTGATGGGGCTGTCGCGGCGCAGCAGAATCGCCACGTCGTTACGTTTATTAAGTGCTCTAGCTTCTACTACGGTGCTGTACGTGTGGTCTCTGAGGGCAAGGGTGGCTTGTCTAGGTAAGTGAGACTCCTGAATCAGCGACGTTTGGGGCGCAAGCGCTTCAGCTCACGGAACAATGGACGTTGCTTTTTGGGGAAATTGAGTCCCTTAACATTAAAGGAGGTCAACTAAAGAGTCTGGTGGCAGCAGGTCCAAGGCCTGGAACAACCTGATGGGACAGTCTCCTGGCTGAAGTACATGCGTGCGATCCCCTCCAAACACCATGAACCGGAATGGATAGCCCCAGGCGTACCTGATGCTATCGGCCGGTAGGGCATCGGTGATGGGCCTCTTTTTTCTGCGTCTCTGCAGCGTGGTGGGGGACAAATCCAGTTATAGAGATAAAGCGATACCATTATGTTGAATGGGTACTTCTCTGCTTTTCTTTAGGAAGGCTTCTTTTGTTTGGTAGTAGAAGAATCCCATTATTATATCCCTCGGGCGGTTTTGGTCTGTACGTTGTGGACCTAGCGCTCGATGTGCGCGCTCAATATGCCACAGGTGATCAGGTAAGTCAGGGAGAAGAGGCCGCAGGACCATGAGGACGAGGTCAGGATTAGGGCCTTCTCCCGTAGCCTCAGGGAGCCCCCTGAAACGTAAATTGTTCCTCCGGGATCTGTTCGCCATATCTTCTATCGCCACTTCAGCTGTCCTCAGGCGTGCAGTAATGCGATTTATTTGTGAGCGTCTACTGCGGCCTCCTGCCTGTGCTCCAGTCTTGTGGTCCTGGCTCCCAGCCCCTTTATCTCACCCTGCAAGACCGCAGTAGATTTTTTTATTTCCCCGGTCAGAAAGTGCTCTACTTCTGCCAATTGTGCCAGGATCTGTGGTGCATCCCCTGTCAGGTGGGTCGCTGGGGAGGCACACTGCTGTGGCGAGGACGAGGGCGCGGGGCCTGTTGTGAAGCAGGTTTTGCAGCCGCGAACATGTCGGCAACTGAAGCTCCCAGGTCCTGGCCCTTCTTGGGCTGTTTCTTGGAGTTTTGTTTATCCATGTAGGCTGTGTATGGTTTTGCCCAGGTTTTTCCACAAATTATTGCTTTAGGCGGCAGTTTCGGGACGGAGCTCTAGCCTCGTGCGTCCAGCTCGGTCCTCGGTCGGGCCACGCCCCCCCCTCCCCGGTCAGTAGAGTGTTTTGTCGTTTCCCCAAGTGCGGGGTGTTCAATGCGTCCATATCTTAGGTTTAGTGTATAATGAAGGGGAGGGAGGGGAAGGGCTCAGGAATGGAGAGTGAAGGGAGAGAAGACTATATGGGGTAAGTAACGGTTAGAAGGGCTACGAGGCCTCTGGCTCTCCTCCCGCCCCCGTGCTTCTAACTTTTCCCGGCCCCCTCGAAACTAATTCAACCCATGGGTACCAGGTCTGGGCACATTTGTCAGAGCGACTCTGCAGGGAGGCCGACATTATTTCCATGTTGTAAATGTCTTCAACCCTGGCCAAGCATTGCTGGAAGGTAGGTGCTACCATTCATTTCCAATGTGTCTGGATTTAGGATTTGGCTACCATGACTAAGTGTATTGTAAGGCTCTTTTTGTATGCTACTGTGGGGAGTGTCGTGTGATTAAGGAGCATCGTCAGTGGCAGGTGGGGTAGGTCCATATCAGTGATTTCAATGATCTTACTGTTAACAGCCAGAAGGGGGCTATGAGTGGGCATGTGCACCAGATATGTATTCCAGTGCCAATGCCATCTCCAGCAGTCACCCGAGATAGATTTGTGTACATGTTGGAGGGTGTCAGGGGTCTTGTACCAGTGTGTCAGTAGTTTGTAGTTGGTCACCGGTATTTTGAGCAAATGGATCCTTTATGTGTCAGTAGGAAGATTTTATCCCATTCCTGGTCTGTGAGTTTGGTCCCTGTGGCCCATTCACATTTTGCCGTGAATCCCAGTGGGGGTCTGTCTTCCCTGGACATAAGGATGAAATATAAAATCAACACCCCGTGAGATAGGTGTTGTCTGGTTGTGCATATGTGTTCCATGTACGTCAGGGGTCTGTGTAGGTGGGCCCTTCCCTTAGTGGTCATGTAGTAGGTCTTGATCTGGTGGTAATGAAATTCATCTAACTGAGTCGGTCTGTGGTGAGGGAATAAGTCCGTTATCGGTTTGAGTGTTTGCTCAGTACTCCATCTGTGTATGTAGACCCAGTCTGCGGCTTTTAAATTCCTCGGGGTCAAGGGGTGTAGCCCTCCCCCTGCCAGGTCTGGGTTGTGTGTAATAGACATAAGGATGAAATATAAAATCAGTTTCAGTTATGCCTATTATGTCATATTGTTTAGTGTATGCTATTGCCTCTAGATCTCCCATTTGGTTATTTAGGCTCCTTGCATTAGTAAGCATACATTTAATATCATGAGTCACTTGTACTTTTTGTGAATTATCAACATTACATACCTTCTCTGTTCTGGGAGAAGTTGTTAATTGTCGGGAGAACCGCATGGAGCACCAAACGCGGTGTGTATCGTCTATCACAGGGTTACCCGTGCGAATTTCAGCGTACGTGGTGCTCCCGTGCCAGAGTCTGGATGGGATCTTTCCTTGAGCCTGGTGGGTCTCCATTTGTACCTGGAGTTTCGGGCTAGGGTTTGCGTGCCAGTCCACTAACCATTGCAGATGGGTGGCATGAAATATGTGAGCAGAGATGGGAGTCCTGCATCTCCCTTGCTCTTCGGCCTCTCCAGGATTGATCTGCGGATCCGGGTAGGCCTGTGGTTCCACACAAATCTACGGATTGCTGCTGTCAGCGAGTGGAAGAATGCCCTAGGCAATGGTGTCGGGATGGTCTGGAATAGGTACAAGAGGCGAGGAAGCACATTCATCTTAACCGTGCTGATGCAGCTGAACCACGAGATGTAATGGGTTGACCAGCTGTGGAGGTCTTTCTGCAGAGTTGTTAGGATCGGGAGGTAGTTCATACGGTATAAGAGTGTGAATTCAGCAGGCAGCCAGACTCCAGGGTACCGTAGTTTGACATCGCAGAGTTTGAATGGGAATCGCAAGATGAGTTGGCTATGATGGTCACACAGGTTGAGTTTTAGATTGGATACCAGGTTGTACGTCCGGAAGGCTTCCAGCAGGTTTGGGATGGAGATTCCAGGTTGTTCTAAGAAAAATAGCATATCGTAGGCGTAGGCCGCCACCCTATGCTCTACATCTCCCATGCGGAGCCCCGAGATTTTCCCATCCTGTCTGCCTCTAGAAAAGGTTTGAGAGAGAGGGCAAACAGGAGGGGGAATAGGGGGCATCCCTGTCTGGTGCCATTACGGATGGGGAAAGGTTTCGTCAGGACACCATTGATGCATATTCGTGTTGTTGGGGAGGTGTATAGTGCCGCTACCCAAGCCCGTAAGGTGGGGCCGCAGCCCATGTGTCGTAGGGTTTCTGCAGTCCAGTCAACCTGATCAAAAGCCTTTTCGGCGTCAGTGGAGAGGAGTACCATATCTTTCCAGGTGTGCTTAGCAATGTGGATGACGTTGAGGGTCCTTGTGGTGCTGTCTCTTGCTTCTCGTCCCGGTATAAATCCGACTTGGTTGGGGTGGACTAGGTCTGGGAGGATCTGCATGAGTCGGAGCACCAGGGCCTTCGCGAAGAGCTTTATGTCTGCGTTCAAGAGCGATATTGGTTGGTAACTCGCGCAACAGGTTGGGTCTTTGTGACCAAGTGTCTTATGGTATCCAGCGATCCCAGAGCCAGATGGCTTTATCTTGCATGTCCCTGCGTTTCAGCCTGTGTCAGCAGCGGAGCGTGGCACTAATGGGACTGTGTTGGGGACATCCCAGGAGCAGTTAGGAGTCGGGTTGGTAGTGTCTGGTGTTGTAATTCCCAGTTAACCAAGGAAAGATCCTGAGTCTTCTGGCGATGTCAGGCGGTAGGTTGTCGTTCCCTTCGTGACTATAAACATGGATGGGACCCATCGGTACTTGACTCCAGCCGTTCTGAGGGTCGTGGTGACTCACTGCACTGACCGTCTCCAGGCCAAAGTGGCCCTGCATAGGTCTTGCAGAAAGGTAAGCTGCATGTCCTCGAATCGGTAGGCGCTCCAGTTGCCTTGCGCTGCCATCACCGCTATTTTGTCCACGGTAGATTGTAAGCGGAGAAGGACATCGCAGGAGGCCTCTGCTGGGGCTCTTGGTGATTTGGAAAGTCTGTGAATGCCCTCCACATGCACGGTTTTCGTCTGTTTAGGGTTAAGTATTGCAACCAGGAGGCGTCGGGTGAAGTGTGGTAGTTCATTGTCATCAATGGAGTCGGCGATGCCTCTGATTTTGATGTTGGGGCGGCATCTAGGCCATCCAGCCGAGCCTGTAGTGCATGGTGTGAGGACTGGAGGTGTATTAACTTCTCCTCCGTTGTTTGGTGGCGTTGTCCTCCTCGGCATCCTTCACTCTGCCTGTGACAGTTGTAACTTCTTCCTGCAGTATCGCCATGTCTGAGCGGAACAGGGTGCGCAGATTCTGTAGTATGCTCAGGATGTCTCCCTTGGTGGCCGGGGTTCTCAGGTCGCCCCAAGATAGGCTCGAGATGCGGTCTGCAGCCTTCCGGTATGGGGTCCGGTACATCCAGTGTTTCCTCCTCAGAGGATGAGCTTTGGGGATCTGGGGTCGCCACCATTTTAGGTTTAGGCCTTGACAGGAAAAGATCGCCTATTTTCCAGGACCCGTCCTCAGGATGAGTTTTTAGCTTTTTGTTTCTTTTCCCCATGTTGTGTTTGAACGTAGGGGCTGAGAAGAAGTCGGATTGTCGTTGTATGGATCGATTTATCTACTTATATCGCAGTTATTACTCGGGAGCACCGCAGGCATGCGACTCCACATTTTCCTCATCACATTCCACTTGCTTAAGATTTGGCTTTAACTCATGGTTGACATACCCCACCACCTTTCTTGTTTTTCCTATCCTTCCTAAATAACATGTACCCATTTAAGTTAACTGCCCAGTCATGTGTCTCATCCCACCATGTTTCAGTTATGCCTATTATGTCATATTGTTTAGTGTATGCTATTGCCTCTAGTTCTCCCATTTAGTTATTTAGGCTCCTTGCATTAGTAAGCATACATTTAATATCATGAGTCACTTGTACTTTTAGTGAATTATCAACATTACATACCTTCTCTGTTCTGATCTTGCCCCTCCCCTGTCTCCACCCCCATTATACTAAGCTAAAGCTCATCTCCTTTCTGTCCTATCGTCATTTTGTAGATTGCTATGACCCTTCCCCCCTAAAATCTCCTCCAACCTTCTAGCCATCCTATCCCCCAGCACTGCAGACCCTCTCCCGTTTAGGTGCAACCCATCACTACTATAAAGGTTGTACCCAAGCGCAAAGTCAGCCCAGTGCTCTAAAAACCCAAAACCCTCCTTCCTGCACAAAGACTTTCCACTGTAGCGTGTGGCACAGGTAATATCTCAGAGAATACCACCTTAGAGGTCCTTTTCATAAGTTTTCTGCCTAATTCCTTGAAATCATTCTTTAGGACCTTCCATCTTCCTCTTACTTTGTCATTGGTACCCATATGGGACATGACCGCTGGGTCATCCCCAGCCCCTCCCAATAAACATGTCAGCAACATGCCGGACTCAAGCACCCGGGAGACAGCAAACTGTCCGGTTGAGCCGATCAGAGCGGCAGATTGCCCTGTCTACTCTCCTAATGATAGAGTCCCCTACCACCACAACCTGTCTAGCCTTCCTTGCATTTTCATCCACACCCGTACTAGTCAGCTACTCCTGAGTTAATGCTCCCAACATCTTCACTCAAACGGGCAAATGTGCTAGGTTGCACTAAATCAGAACTAGCTAGCATTTCCTCCCCCCCGCCCCCTTTGCTTCCTCTCCCAACTGTCACCCAGCTACATGCCTGTTCCCCATCCGTCTTATCTCCTCCCTCTCCACTACCTGTCCCCACTAAACAGACTCCTCTCAAGATTGTCAAACTCCCTCAATGTTGCAATTTGCTTCTTGAGATCTCCAATCTGAGCTTCCAGAAAACCAACTCGCACACAACTGTCACAGAGGTATGGACCCCAGTCAAACCACCAATCTTACTAACACCCATTTTCCCAGATACAGGACAGTAAAACAAATACCATGTTAGTTTAACCCCTTGTTTATCTCCTGGTTTTCTAACTCCTACTTGAAAGAGTCTATTTGATAGTCTGCTTTCAAGCAAAGTGGGCAAGCTCAGTGAGTTAGGGGTGTGCCTTTATGGGAATACAAATCCCACACAGGTGGCAATTAAATAACACTCCCCCAATTAATCAAGCAGAAGTACAAAGGAGGGAAAATAAAACACCAAAAAATTATTACGTTTTTTTTCTTTTAATTTTGCTAATAAATCAGATTAAACAAAAATAAAATAGAAACCACTCTCCACAGTATACAAACCACTCTCTAATGAACTCCTGGTTTTCTAACTACTACTTGAAAGAGTCTACTTAATAGAGTCTGCTTTCAAGCAATGTGAGCAAGCTCAGTGATTTTATTATGGGCATTAGCAGTACACAATATTGCAGAGGGACACTATAGCATTAATACAGTTTTGTGTTCCTAACAATATAGTGTTCTTTTTAAGTGCAATAAATTGGTTAAGTTAGAGTATATATTTTTATTTAAAAGAAAACAAAGTTACTCTACAAACCTATGCTCTCTACCTTTCCTTCCCAGCCTACAGAGTTTCCCTTTTTGGTCCAGCTACATAGTGCCACAATGACACAATATTGGTTGCATTATATCAATTTGCTGATGTCAGTTACATGTGGGAAATAATAAGCAAAGAATAGGGCTGTCATGAGTGTTTTAACTCACCAGGTACACTTATCCTAAAAACCTGCAGTGTTCACCTGTCCTCCTATGGGGACAACTAAAACCTACGTTTGAACTTGTAACAAACTTATGCAAATAATTCTGACTCATTTGGTAAATTTTGTATGTACAGGATATTTTAATCATTTATTTGGTAGAACAACATATGTCTCGGTTTTCTGCAAAAACACAGTTTCTTGCAATCAAAAGAAGTTATATATACACACATCACAACATGATTTACTCCCTTCAGTCTTACAAATGAAAATATATATTATTCACTAATACAGCATAATCATAATTATCCTTGTTCTGCTATTGCCTGTTCCTTGGCAGCTTGAACCAACTCTAAAAGACCCGGAAAGCATTTTATGTCTTCAGTCTGCAAACCCAAGTTCTGTATCTAAAAGAAAAGAAAAAGGCATGAACAACCATTATTAAATATTCCACTTATTTTGAATAATATATATGTGTGTCACAAAGGAATAGTGATAATTTATTTTATGGATTTACACAATTGGAAACCAACTTTGTATCTTCATCCAACTGGCAGTTAAAGGAACACTCCAGACTCCTGAAGCACTTCAGCTTGCTCAAGTGCTTTATGTGTGAAAAGTGTGTGTGAAAAATGCTTAATTTTGCAAAAAGTGCACATTTCAATAGAAATTGGCACATTTATAAATCAGCCTAGTGACACCTACCCAGTTGTCAATCAGACAACCTGTCATGTTACTTCCTGGTTGTTTAGGTCAGTGGAGCTAAACTCAAGATGCAGGCAATTGCTCAGACCAGCTTCCTTGCAAAGGCTTCTATTTGAGCTGCACAGGGAAGTGTGTGTGATTAGAGAGCCAAAGAATATCGTAGCTGAGTTAGAAGAGGGTGGCTTGCAAAGGCTTCAGACAAGAGATCTGCAACTTTTGCAAGATGTTTTTAGATATACACGCAATGAAAAAAATGCATAATTAAATGCCTACATGTTGTCATTGGGGTATATCTAATGAGCAGTGATTTTAATTACTTTGTATATGGGCAGTGGAATGTCCATTTAAGCATCATGGGGGATGCAGTCTAAATAAAGATTGAAATTGAATTTGCCCTATATTGTCTGATAGTGTAATAAATTCACAGATTACCTGATTTCCCATATATTCAACATCGAGTGCTAGCTGAAGTCTTATTTTGTTGTCATCACCAACGCCACCATTTGATGCGTTACTTGCTGTTGTGTTTCTACGAGCTTGTTTAAGTCTCTTCAGACTTTCCTCCATCTTCTTCACAGAACTGAGGACATCTGATACAGTGTCAAAATACCTAGGTACAAAAGGGAAATTATACAAGTATAATGGCTGAACAGATGAAATCAGATCAAAAGATTCAGGGAGCAAATTAAATATGCTTAAAGTATCATGTAGACTAAAAATAACTTGGCCAAGTGTTTTTTTCCCCTCCAGTTAGAACCATGGGAATCATTCACTAAATGGTGAATTTACCTTGGCTATTTGAGTCTAAATTTAGCAACAGGCCAGGGGCAGAACTACCATCAGTGCAGTGGCACTGGGACCTGCAAGCTCAGTGGGCCCAGTGGGTGGCCAATGCACTTATGGTCACCCGATGGGGACTGCTGAACTGGCGCCCAGTCAGGCGTTGCAGCATTTTAAGAGTGTGACTGGGCCCCTGAAGTACCAGCAGAGCTGGGAGAAAGAGAAAACTGGTCACTTTCGCCCAGCTTCAATAGACAGTGCCGCGCGGGAGGGGAGGCACATGCAGCAGACGCGACCCTCATATTACCATACTGTCATTCACATACCTTTGTGCACATTCAGAAAGTGCACCTTTCAGCCATTTTTCTCTGACTGACTGACTGAGTAGAGTTTTGTATTCATTTTGAAGCTGATGAAGGGGTTTAACAGCATTGTCTATATATGGGGAAGCTTTTGTTGGTACCTCCTAAAAGAAAGGTAAATGTTTAAACAGAATACATAAACCAATAAGGCACAATATACAACAAAATACCCACATGAGTAGAAGAAACAATATGAATTAGACACATGGCTCCTTTGGATGTCAATGCTGGATCTAACAGATTTGTTAATTTAGAACTCCATGCTCCCTTTCCCCAATCAAATCCTGCTTTTGTACGATGAGATAATTCACATCATCATCCTGATTGTCTCATCATTCCAGATACATGAATTTTGTAAATAAAAAGGAAGAAACAAATAACGAAAAAAAGGTAAATGAGCTCAATCTCATGGTTTCCCACACTCGAGCAAGTTGTGAAATGGCCAAAGGGCATAATATATCTTTTTATAACGAGAAGATGCATGCAAGAGCAGCAAATACTCCTGCTTCTCATTCCCTCTCTGGTAAAAAAACAAACAACAAACAAAAACATTGAAAACTCCTTATTGGTGTACAGTTTCTTGTAAGAATCCTTCTCAGTCATTGTTTTCCAATGAAAAGCTAATGTGTGGGTCAATATATACACATTAGCAGCAGCTGTTACTAAAATTGTCCAAGAAACATACCATGAAAATACAATGTGTGTGGAAAGCACAGAAAATACATTTGCATAATTGCATTTAAACCACCAAATCTGACAAAGACGCAAAGTAACCCAAGTGATGTGGACTTGAATGTTACTATTCCACTATTCAGGACTAGTAAAGAAACCTTTTACTGAGGTACTTATCTCTACGCTGCGATAAGAATTATTAGTAAACCTTTGAAAAATGTTGCCTTACAGAAAAATAAATATAGTTATTTATACAATATTTTCCCAGGAAGAATACATTGGGATTTCTCTCGTTTTCAAGTATGACATTTATAATGAGTGTGTGAAAAGTGTGAATTACAACTCACTAAACAAAGTGGATTAAAGACCACAACTTGGTATTTAGCGGTTTTTTACAGGGGCCCGGTCAGCACTGCGGCGCTTTAACAGTGCGACCGGGCCCCCAGTGAAGAGGTCAGTGCTAGGAGGAAGTGCAGTCACTTCCTCCTAGCTAACACAGAGAATGCCGCGTGGGAGGGAGGAAGAGAGGAGGAGTGCGGACTAAGAGAGCGCTCAACTCCCAACAGCCTCAGACAGCCACTGGACAGCAGGTAAGTCACCCTTCTGCACCCAAAAGGTAGGAAACAGGAGGGTGACTGAAATTGTATATTTTTCATGCATGTCTGTTTGTGTGTATATATCTGTCTGCATGTGTATCAGTCTGTGCATGTGTCTGTTTGTGTGTGTATCTGTCTGTATGTGTATATGCATGTGGGTCTGTGTGTATATCTGTCTGTATGTATATCTGTGTATAGCTGTCTTTATGTGTATATGCATGTGTGTCTGTGTGTATCAGTCTATATGTGTATCTATGTGCCTGTATGAGTCTCTGTATGCGTATTTGTGTATGTGTACCTGCATGTATGCCAGTGTATCTGTATGTGTTTCTGTGTATCTGAATATGTGTCTGTATGTGTTAGTGTGTGTTTGTGTAACTGCATGTATGTCTGTGTATGTATCTGCGTGTTATTGTGTGTATCTGCATATGTGTCAGGGTGTGTTTGTCTGTTTATCTGTGTTTTAGTGTGTGTCTGCATGTTTGTCAGCGAGTATCTGTATATCTGAATGTGTGCTAGTGTGTATCTGTGTATGCACCTGTGTGTCTGTGTATCTGTCTTTGTATGTCTGTGTATTTAGATGTATGTACCTGTATATGTCTGAGCCTGTGTATGTGAGTCTGCATTTGTGTTAGTGTTTGCATCTGTATGTGTATCTGTGTGTGTATTTTCACTAGGTAAAAGTGTGACTATGTCTACGATCTATGTGTTTTTTTTATTTTTGTGTGTCTTTGGGTGGAAGGCGTGTTTGCATGCTAGAAGGTGGGCGGGAGGGGACCAGGGGGCCCAAGCTAATGCTTGCCCAGGGTCCAGTCAACATTAAAGACGGCCCTGGAATGAACCCAATAGGAAAAATGGCAAAACAGCGCTAATCATTCAAAAAGAAGCCACTCCAGAAATTTACAGCACTTTCTCTGCCCAAATCTCTAGACATGGGAGCCCTTATGACTTTGCTTCCACAGCCACTGCCTAATGTTAGGCATGCACATCTGTTTCACGCACTCACTAATGCAGGGTTTCACAAAATTGCACGGAATCTAGGAGCCAGCTAACAAAGTTAGGAGCCTGTATTTTTTTTTTTTGTAACTAACAGATACAATTTCAATGAAAAAAAAAAAAAACATTTTAAAGGGACACTATAGTCACCAGAAACACTACAGCTTCATGCAGTGGTTCTGATGTCTAAAACCAGGCTTTTCAGAGACAAGGCAGTGCTTACATCTAGTGAGTCACTCAGATGGCCACTTGAAGTGATGCTTACCTAAGTTCAGTATCTACACGCTCTAATGCATTGCATTAATGTGGGAGGTAACTTTAATCACTACTTTATCTGAACAGCAATGGCAAAAAGTATGCAACTTGATATGTCTGCGCTGTTGCTAGCAAAACACAGGAATCTGCTTATTTGAAAACAATTTTGGTACAGAACTCCACAGGTTATTGACCCTTTTTGCGATGTTAAATGTTGGAGGTGTCAGAACAAATTTGGAACATACCATTGTGTGTGGTGGGAATGTCAAAAGATAGTACCTTTTTAGAGGAGGATCCATGCAGTCATTAAGAGCTTTACCGATAACAGCCCCCTTCACACCAGCTCCTTCTTTGCTCTACCACACCACACTGGCTACTTCTCTATATGAGGTCAGTGACCATTGGTATACTGAACGTGGTGAAACCCCTGATGTCTGTAATTCTGGCAAAAAGCAGATCCTCCATCCTTTCGGTTCTTGTAGATAATTGTGGTTAGCTGGAACTGAGCCATGGAGAAGCGTATGCATGGTTCCTTGGGGTGCATGCTGTCATACACAACATTTTGGCCTCAGTGGCTCTTTCAAGCATTGCTATGGGTATAGTCAAAGTTGCCAACAAAGTGGAGCCCATGGTCACCTGAACATTGATATGACTGGTACTTCCCAATCTCATCTTCACTTTCTACCAAACCTCTTCTTATAGCCCCTCCCCTTTTTTCCATCTATCTATTGAGTTACACATATTGTATTGTATTGTGACAAACATACTGGTTTACTTGCAACTTTTATACTTCTAAACTGAATGCTTATTATACAGTGTTGATCATTTTCTTCAATACGCCATTGATTCTCTTCTTTAAGTGAGTAAGTATTGGCTCGGTGTAAAACCACAATACCTTGCTACTTGCACACTTGTGAACTTTGGTATGGAGGCAATTTTCCTCAGTGTCATGGTTTAAAACAGCAAAACAAATAACTCTTACTCACTAATATATAAAAATTAAATATTACATTTAATTTGCATTAAAAGTATTACTAACCTTATTTGTCCTCCTGTAAAGCCTGGGGATTTCCAGAGCACCTTTTAAATATACAATGCAAGACTCACTAAGGTCAAGTGTAATTTTGTTATTTACTGCCAACAGAGGTGTGGATAATGCATTGCAAGTGTCTTCCAAGGCTCCTAGAGAATTCAAATTCAAGACGAAAAAATAAAATAAAATTATAGGTATTTAATTTACAAAAACAATCAACATATAGATGCTTTTTCTTTTATTTCCTCTACATGATCTGCCCATTATTTTAACCAGATCATCATGTTTTAGAATCCCCATCACTACCATGCATTATAGGGGCCTTATTATTTGGCAGCCCAATACATACATGTCCCAGTCTACTTGAGATTACACTGCTAAACAATACAAGTTAGTTTGACATGACCTATGCTTCATAAAACCATGCTGATTTTTGCTGATAACCATGATCTTCTCAAGGAATTATCCATTATCCAATGAGTTACTGTACTGAATTAAACTTTATAGGGGCTTGGTTCAGAGTATAGAAATTCACAAATGTTATACCATTAATTTTGGGTACCAGATATTAAAAACCTGCCTTTTGCGTTGCTTTTATAATAAAGGTGTTCAAAGTTTAACCTTATTCAACACTATGATGGTGACTACTTTTTTTTTTTTTTAAACGAATGTAAAATAACATATCTTATTGGAGTTTTTTTTATCTGGAACTATCCAGTTTGTACAAATCCTATATCAATCCCATTTTCCATTAATGAATTGTATGGCCAGCCTCTTTTTTTGTGGGGAACTCAAACCCTGGACACTGGAAGAAGCAATTTTAAGTGACATCATTACTGAAGATTTCCTCAACCCTCTAATGCTATTAGAATGTCCCATATTCATCAGCACACAAACAGAAAAACAAAACAAAAAAAAACCTCATACTTCACATACAGTTCACAAAAAGTTTGTGAACCCTTTGGAATGATATGGATTTCTGCACAAATTTGTCATAAAATGTGATCTGATCATCATCTAAGTCACAACAATAGACAGTCACAGTCTGCTTAAACTAATAACACACAAAGAATGAAATGTTGCCATGTTTTTATTGAACACACCATGTAAACATTCACAGTGCAGGTGGAAAAAGTATGTGAACCCTCGGATTTAATAACTGGTTGAACCTCCTTTGGCAGCAATAACTTCAGACTTGCACAACGGTCAGGAGTAATTCTTGACCATTCCTCTTTACAGAACTGTTTCAGTTCAGCAATATTCTTGGGATGTCTGGTGTGAATCGCTTTCTTGAGGTCATGCCACAGCATCTCAATCGGGTTGAGGTCAGGACTCTTGACTGGGCCACTTCAGAAGGCGTATTTTCTTCTGTTTAAGCCATTCTGTTGTTGATTTACTTCTATGCTTTAGGTCATTGTCCTGTTGCAACACCCATCTTCTGTTGAGCTTCAGCTGGTAGACAGATGGCCTTAAGTTCTCCTGCAAAATGTCTTGATAAACTTGGGAATTAATTTTTCCTTTGATGATAGCAATCCGTCCAGGCCCTGACACAGCAAAGCAGCCCCAAACCATGATGCCCCACCACCATACTTCACAGTTGGGATGAGGTTTTGATGTTGGTGTGTTGTGCCTTTTTTTCACCACACATAGTGTTGTGTGTTTCTTCCAAACAACTCAACTTTGGTTTCATCTGTCCACAGAATATTTTGCCAGTACTGCTGTGGAACATCCAGGTGCTATTGTGCAAACTGTAAACGTGCAGCAATGTATTGTTTGGACAGCAGTGGCTTCCTCTGTGGTTTCCTCCCATGAAATCCATTCTTGTTTATTGTTTTAAGTATTGTAGATTCGCTAACAGGGATGTTAGCATTTGCCAGTGACTTTTGTAAGTCTTTAGCTGACACTGTAGGATTCTTCTTCACCTCATTGAGCAGTCTGCGCTGTGCTCTTGCAGTCATCTTCACAGGACGGCCACTCCTAGGGAGAGTAGCAGCAGTGCTGAACTTTCTCCATTTATAGACAATTTGTCTTACTGTGGACTGATGAACAGCAAGGCTTTTGGAGATACTTTTATAACCCTTTCCAGCTTTATGCAAGTCAACAATTCTTAATTGTAGGTCTTCTGAGAGCTCTTTTGTGCGAGGCATCATTCACACCAGGCAATGCTTCTTGTGAAAAGCAAACCCAGAATTGGTGTGTGTTTTTTATAGGGCAGCTGTAACCAACACCTCCAATCTCATCTCATTGATTGGACTCCAGTTGGCTGACATCTCACTCCCATTAGTTCTTGGAGATGTCATTAGTCTAGGGGTTCCCATCCTTTTTCCACCTGCACTGTGAATGTTTACATGGTATGTTCAATAAAAACATGGCAACATTTCATTATTTGTGTGTTATTAGTTTAAGCAGACTGTGATTGTCTATTGTTGTGACTTAGATGATGATCAAATCACATTTTATGACCAATTTGTGCAGAAATGCATATCATTCCAAAGGGTTCACATACTTTTTCTTGCAACTGTACATTCCATAGCTGCAAAAGATATTCTCTTGTAACCAATCTCGCAGCTGCTGCGAGAAATTTAAGTGTGTGGAAAGCAAATTGCTATTGATTCATCTACTGCCACTGTAAAAAAAATAATAATAACCACCTACTTAGCCCTCAGTGAATACTTTTCTAGCAGCCTACTTTTCTACCCCTACCCTTACCTTTTGTGCCACTATACCCTATATTGGGGCAGACTAGATGGGCCGAATGGTTCTATATTGGGCAGACTAGATGGGCCGAATGGTTCTTATCTGCCATCACATTCTATGTTTCTATGATTTAATTTTATTTTCCAAGACATTGTTGGTTTCTTGCAAGTTTTTTCAATCTTCTTGTATTATATTTAGCACATTACTTTGGGAGTCTAATGTTTCTGAGAATTGTGCAATTTTGCTTCTTTGCTCTGATGTATTATCTTCAAAATCTTTCCTTTTTTAAAATAGAGATTACCACAATTACGTCATGTGTGATCTGATAATGGGACTAGTCTATTTCTGTTGTAGACTATGAAGAGTAGAGAAGCTTAGGGTCTCTCTGCTCTATAATAGATGTTCTCCTATTGCCACCATTTCTTAAGCCATGGCTCTTACGTGAACAGAACAAGTTAATGTATCTGTTTTTATTCCTCTTTGGTGCCATCTTCAACCAATAAATATATATTATTTGTCTCTGCTTTGAATGTTTATCTATAATTAAATGACACATATGCAGACAATATCGATAGTAAGTGCCTCTTCACCCTCAATGTCTGAGATAGCATGTACAGCCAAGTTAGTCACTCTAGCTGTATATATGGTCTGTTTTCACACAACAACAACATATAGGTATATGAAGCTACATATCAACTCAGGATACAGGCTTCTATCTGTGAATTCATGGTATCAAAACTAAACAAAAGCTACAGTAATTACCAATATCCCCTATGAGTAGACATGCCACAGATTGCCATTTCCTTCAAGCAGTTTACGCACAGTTTGAAGGACAGGCCAAAGAAGGGTTACTACACAGCCCAAGCGCTATAATTATAACACAGTTACTGTTTCCACTGAAGCTTGGACTAAACAGGGGCACTGTTTAAATTTCAGATGTGCAAAAACTTCCCCTCTGCTGCCGTGCATCCACAAGCATTATGTCCAATATGTACTGCCATTTGTTCGCATATCGAACTTATCAATGTAGCAAATTTGTTCGGGACAGGATCGTCAAGACCACCAAACTTGTACAAGGTTGACGCTACTCTCGAACGGGGTTCTCTAACAACGCCATATGCCAATTAATCTTCCACTCCTCCTCGACCGGTGTGCATGAACATGCGCATGTCACAACATTATGCCCACAGGGTGAGCAATTTTAAAAAATCCATCAAATACAGTAATTTACAATTCTAAAAATGATGTTAATACTATAGATGAAATCATAAAAGGGTGCTGTTCTGTAACAAATCAACAGCGCATTAAGAGTTCTTAATGTAAACTGAGAGAGAAATCGTTTTACATATCTAATGTTTTTCTGAAACAGGCAATACTATTGCAGGGATCTCCATTCCAACAACCGAGGTTTTGGATATGTTGACCAATCCCATGTGTAATTGAGATACACTCAAGCTAAATCACTTTTTATAGTATCTTTATTAGGCCAGCATTAACTGTAACCTACCTGTAAATATAAACATATCAAAGCATGACATGCAGAACAAGACACATACAAACCATTATTCCATTTGTATTTTATGTTGTTTTAAGACATAAGTATGGGAATATTCCTACCTTTTACTATGGAGAAGTCCTTAAAACCAATCTGATCAAGCTTCTGTTTAATTACTTCTGTTAGTTCTGGTAACTATAGAATAAAATATAAATAAAATTATTCCATATTATAATTCCCTAATGATGACCACATCAGCATTAAGATACATTTTAACTACATTCTCCACCATGTTAGAACAGATATAAATTATATATCCCTTAATAAATGGTATACTGCCATTAGTGACAGCAGGAAATATAAATGTAAACTCAGCCACAGTAAAACATCCAGATCCATTCTCCACCACTAAGTACATGTGCCAAACATATACATATATTTGTTGTATCAATATTTTACTTATCTCATATTGTTCATTTTATTGTAAAATGTTACACCTTTCAATAAAAACTATTTGAAAAGTAGATATGCCAAACAAACTTAAGAGAAAAATAGAGAGACCCATTCGCAAATCACATAGTAAAATAAAAAAATACCCCCAGACACAAACAAAACCTAGTGAACTCTCAGCTACACAGTAACATTTATAATTCAACTCCCAACCACCAATAAAAACAAACAAAAAAGACACATAGAAACATAGAAACATAGAAACATAGAATGTGACGGCAGATAAGAACCATTCGGCCCATCTAGTCTGCCCAATTTTCTAAATACTTTCATTAGTCCCTAGCCTTATCTTATAGTTAGGATAGCCTTATGCCTATCCCACGCATGCTTAAACTCCTTTACTGTGTTAACCTCTACCACTTCAGTGACACAACAAATAAATCACAAAGAGACATGCACAATGGCCCACACAAACATACTCTCGTCCATACATAACAAGCAAAACACACAAGATCCCCTCTCACACAACTTAGAGGTCTCAAAGACCATGAAGTGAGAACCTCTAGCGGCATTTTAACCCTGCAATGGTACCTTGCCGTTCCTGAGTGCATATAGTGTCCCTTCAATATCATATACTGAGATTCATATCCAGCTGTCTGCCTGCCTGTCTATCCATCTATTCATCCTTATTGTGCACCTATCATTCTTTTAAAATTGTGTATCAATGTGTATTAACTATTATACTATAATAAATGCAAACCATTCTATATTTATATACACACAAGCGCAACACAATAGAAAGATCCAAAGTATGAATACAGCATAAAAAGACTGTCCTGATGTGAAATAATGGCCTACCTCATCCTTTAGTTTTTCAACATCAGCTACAATAAGCATTAGCCGGCGAGTGGTAATAACAGATGACTGCGCCTCTGGAGAAGTTCCACTTGTTTGGTCCTCACTGGTGGCAGGTGAAGGGGCTGAGTCTCTATTACTGGGCAATAGTGGATTTTTATTCTCATTTATAACTCTTTCTGAAGTCACTCGAGATGCCAGCTAAAATAGTAAATTAAAACCAAAGATGACTGGGAAAGAACCGTTAGAATACAAGACAATATCACATCATATTATAAAACAATTGATAAACATTACATATATTTTAGACATTTCTGTCTTAAAGTGGATCTGTTATTTCTCAGCAATTTACATGATTGACTAAACCATGGGTGTCCAACCTTTTAGCTTCCCTGGGCCGTACTGGGCACAGAGGAATTGTCTTAGGCCACATTTCAAATTTATAATACAGTTAATGTATAGAAGTAATACAATTTTACTTATTTCAGTTGTTTAGTAGATAAATCCCTTATTTGTTATCCTTATGTGGAATTGCCATATTTAAGGATAGCAGATTAGGGAGCTATCTACTAAACACATATGCAAGTATATACATATGCACACATAACCACAGATATCTGACTGACTCCCTCCTCTTCTCCTGTGAGGCGCTCTGTTGGCTGGGAGGAAGTGACTTCCTCCCATCTCTGACATCATCACTGGGGCCCGGTCGCGCTCTTAAAGCGCCGCAGTGCTGACTGCCCCCAGGAAATCCATTATCATCGGGGCCACCTGATGGGCTCCTTCAATGCGGCCCGGCGGTTTTACCGTGCGGTCGGGGCCGCACCAAAATGCTGGTAGTTCCGCCAGTGTTTAGAACATATAGTGTAACAGCAATTAGGCAATCTTTCCATTAATTGCTTTATAGACAATTTTTGCAGACAGTGCAGCAAAATACTACATACACCAGCTAAATATAGACAGATATACCATACCTCATTAATAAAGAGAGAGTAACGGGAGAACATTTGTAATGTTAGTTTCCAAAAACGATGTGCAAGTAAAGGTATGAAGATATGATCGGACCAGCATTCTGTCAGGCATTTCGATAGTACATGTGAAGCCCGAAGGCAATATTTGCTTCCCGCTGCAAGACAGTAGGGGAGAAGGATTATTGCACAGGACTGACACACACACTAAAACAACACAATTCACACCTGTTGATACAACTACAAAGCTAGTAGTACAAACATATATTTGCATGTGTTGAGCGATGATAAACCTGAATTTGCCTCCTGGCCAGGTGTTCATGGGAAGAAATACAACTTTCAGGACTGAAGGCAAAATAAACATTAATTTAACTAATACAATCTAGGTAGAAGTATAAAGCGAGGAGCTCAGCTGCTGAGGAAGATGGTCATTCAACACCTGCTGGCTTCTCACAGTTACTATTAAAGGGACTCTATAGGCACCCAGACTACGTCATCACATTGAAGTGTTCTGGGTGCAGTGTCCCTGTCCCGTTTACCCTGAAATGTAAAAAGATTTTAAGAAACTATTCATTACTTTCCTATAGGGAAACACTAATGCGCACGCAGCACTCGCTGTGCATGTGCATTTGTTTTCCAGATCTTCGTGAAGTTGAGAGAGGAGGGAAGTGAAAGAAAGCGTTTTTAACCCTTTTGGAGGGATGGGTGCATCGTGGAGGCAGAGGGACACTATAGTGCTAGGAATACAGTTTTGTATTCTTAACGCTATATTGTTACTTTAACACAGTTTCCTTTCATTTATTTCATATGTTTAGAAATACATCACATATCCAAACACTGCTTACCAGGTGCATCTTCTAGCCCAGCAGACAATGCAGACTCTAGACTTCCAGCTATTTCTTTAAACCTAGGTTAAAGAAAAAGAAAAAAAAAACTATATATATAAAATAAAAAACAAAACAGCAACATCCCATGAGGACTGCACTCCCATTTCATCATTAATATTTTTAAATAATATGCCCTCTACTGCTTTTTCAGCATGGGTCAGTGCAGTGGAAAATTCAAGACATTTGCAAGACATTTGCCTGTTGCATGTTTAAGTTGTAATTATATGTCATCCTCTAACTTTTCTAAACAAGAAGTAAGACTGCAATTTGTATAGAAACCAATTGCAGAAAACAGATGATTCATCATGTTTGCTTTACGTCAAACAAATTGTGTGCAGATATAACCCTTGCATAGGTTTTTGACCTGAACATTTTGCAGGAATAATCTGCCAAGTCACATGTTTACCTTATCTGGAAATAAACGGGCAAATTCCACTTGTTGTTAAAGCTGTGGTAAGAGGGATGCGCACGTAATCTCTTCACACTAGCCTGAGACCCGCATTGGCGCTCAAATTTTCTCACAAAGTCCATGCTTATGGTATATTTCTAGAATTGAGATTTAAAAAAGATAAAGATCACACATATTGTTATTATAGATAGCAGCACTATATGTATTCTTAAAATATCAGAAAAGAGTAGAATTTAACACCCAAAAATGAGTTATAATAGATATAGTAGAACGGTACAACCAAGTTAAACAACCACAATATAATATTACTTGCCTTAGAAAGGTGAAGGTGAGGGGCTGTTGCAAAAAAGTGTCAATTTGCATTAAAATCTGCATAAAAAAAAAGAAGAGGACACAGTTCACACAAAGCCGGAGTGAACATTGATCTGCAAGCACACGGAATCATAGATCTATCAGGCCTAGAGTGCACGGTCCGCGCTGTCTCCTCCTCATGATTAGCTAAAGTACTGCTCGGATATTGAAGCATCCAATAAATTAGGCGATCAGACTGCTCACACGTAGACGGTCAACACACCACTGCGTCAACCTAGTACCAAACACACCGTACTCCCTGGTTAGACAAAGCTGCTCACAACCAATGGGGACCGGAACACCTCAGAGGGATACCTCCTTTCGCCTGGTATGCCAACATATGCCAACAAATGAATCCACTTGGAACCGAAGGTAAAACCCAACATACTCAGGGGGAACACAGAGGACCACCCTCTAAACCCCACAGACACAACTCCACTCACAACGTGGAAGTCGGATCCGCGAGACAGAACGGCATGGGGCCACCCGGCAAACCACCCCCCGGGCTCTCTCTTCTTCCGACCCCACACGCCCTGGCATCTCAGGAATAAGCTGAGGAGTCCGCTTACCTATACCCAACCCCCCCGCACCCAGGCCTAGGGACCGAACCCTACCCCCACACCTACTAATCCCCATTTCCACCCACACTCTCTCCTTCCCCATACAGAAACCCCATAAAGGGTGAGCCAGCTGCCTCGGCCGCGTCTGAGGAACGAAGGAAAAGGTCACCCCCTCACACCCCTGACCAGCCAGGATGACAGCCACAGTAACCTGCATATTCCATAAACTGTAAAGGACTCAACAACCCCTCCAAGAGACACCAACTAATGAGATCGGCCAGCAGAAGAGGAGCAGACCTGATACTTCTGCAGGAAACCCATTTCACCCAAGCAAAACCTTTCCCCCTCCTGAACTGACACTATAAGGAAAGTCACACAGCCAACTCACCCCTAGGCAAACAAAATGGGGTCGCCATCCTAGTGCGCAAGACGTGCCCAATACACGTCAAACAGGTAGTTAAAGACCCCCAGGGGAGGTTCATCATGATCTCCGGCCAAGCAGGGAACAACAACAACTACGCCATCACCTCACTTTATGCCCCCAGACAAACAATTCTGGGAATGGCTGCAAGCTCACCTTAAAAATACCACTATAAAATACTTGGGGTAGACTTCAACGCCACCATGTCCCCAGCACTAGATAGGCATCGCACACGCACCAACCCACACCACCGACCACCCACAACAAAAGCAGACAAACTGCTTGCCACATTAGCAACACAACTCCCACTAGCAGATGTCTGGAGGTAACGCAACCCTGCCACCAGGGACTACACGTTCTACTCCAACCCACATAACCCGTACTCCAGGATGGATCTCTTCCTCAAAACCCCCTCACTGTTACCCATGGTAAAATGGGCCACCATTGGCTCCATATCGTGGTCAGACCACGCGAAGACCACGCTGGAAATATCAATCCCCAACATTGCCCATCCCTGGTCCTGGCGTCTTAACCCCACACTGCTACACAACCCTCTTCTGAAAGAATCAATACACAAAGAAATAAGTGAATACTTTACCCTTAATAAAAACACAGTCTCTTCGGAGAGCACGCTATGGGCGGTACACAAAACAGTCCTAAGGGGAAAACTCATTAGCATAGCCTCCAAACATAAAAAGGAGCGGCTAGCTGCTCTAGCACAAACCCTCACGGATCTTCGAACATTAGAGACATGACAAAAGGCAGACTCAGAATCCCACAGACAACCCCCAGCTCTCACGAATTCCATCAAAATATGGGATAAACTCGCACTTAAACATTCACTCACAACGCATCCTTCACCCCTAACCCCAATACTGAGAAATGAAAATTTCGCACCGGGAATGGACCCCCGCAACTTCACACATTATGAAGACAACGACCTGATACAAACATACCAGTATTACCAAAACCATCAACTAATCTCATTCACAGAACTACCGCGCAACACACTACTCATCACCCATGACTACTTCCGCTACAAATTAGAAACTTAGGATACGACCAGCTACAAAGTCGCAGGACAAACCACACTCACAACATTTGAAAAAATCATGCATGCAAAACCCAGTACACAAAGGACAGATATCACCAATCTACTCCCTCCTAGTCCGCACTACACCGGACACGACACCAACATATGTCTCAGCCTGGGAAAGAGACCTGGGACCAACCGAACACCCAACAGACTGGGGGGACATTTGTGAAGCCACTGCAACATTCACAATCTGCGTCAACCATAAAGAACAGGCGTACAAGACACTCATGAGGTGGTACCTCATCCCCCTAAAGCTGGAACAAATGATATCCACAAGTGGTCTCTGTTGGAAGGGTTGCGGCCAACAAGGAACATGCTTCCACCAATGGTGGGAATGCCAACAAATAGCCCAAATATGGACAGAAATCACACACCTAGCCTCCACAATCTTACACACAAACATAGGAAAAGACCCCTGGACATGGTTACTATCCAAACCCACCAAAAACATAGCTCGAGCACAAAATAAACTTCTAGCAAAAATAGCACTAGCCACCAGAAGAGCCATAGCAACACACTGGAAAGCGGCAACTATCCCAACCATAAGAGACATCAAAAAGAAAATAGAAGAAACTAGAAAAATGGATAGCCTCTCAGCCCTTTTACATGACACGACAAAACACTGTGACAAAATATGGGACTCCTGGCTGATCGAGTTCCCTACCCCGGACTAAAGGCCCGGGCCCTGGATGGGACCGCAGCGCTGGCACCCCACACAAAATTCCCTTATAAGGAAACAATACTAAAAGACACCTATGCTAGGTACCGTCACCAGTCCACAGCCCTACCCTCAGGCCCGGGCATCCTCGACACATAGATAAAATAGAGAGAGGTTGGTGCACACAATAGATAGTTTTGCAACAATCTGTAAAAGATATAACAGAACCTTCATAGGGCAACATATATAAGAAAATATTTAAATATACGTATAACTGGAAAAACTCACAATTTGGAGAGCTATATAAGTCGGCTCTCTACTGAAATAGCAGGTAAGTGATTCCAAAATGACAAATAGCCGCAGTGGTGATGGTCCCGGTGGAGTTGAAGCTTCCTTTTTCCTGGGGGACCATCACTACTGCGGCTATTTGTCATTTTGGAATCACTTACCTGCTATTTCAGTAGAGAGCCGACTTATATGACTCTCCAAATTGTGAGTTTTTCCAGTTATACGTATATTTGAATATATGAAGGTTCTGTTATAATTTTTACAGATTGTTGCAAAACTATCCATTGTGTGCGCCAACCTCTCTCTAGTTTATCCATATTTAATGTAAGTGTTTGAGGTGATATAACACTTGTGTGGTTTGAGACGCACTGGGATATATTTTACTATTATATCTATAGCACCATTTACACACCTTTTCTTTGTTTGTATTTATCCTCCACACATACCCTCCCTACCTCGAAGACGACAGACATCCACAAAACCCACAAATAATAGCACTACAAAGCTCAAGCGCCATGCCAGCACCAGAAAACAAAAACAACCGGACCCCTAAAGGTTATATGCTACCCACACAAACATCGAGCACCCAAAGGTCCACCCCGCCTACCTCAAAACTAATCAAAAAGCCCCCAGACATAGACAGAGCACTACCATGCCGACCCCAATACAAACACGGCCAGTCCCCAAATGCAACTCAGAAACACGAGCAGAAACCTCGAACACCAGGCGAACGGACGGACAACATAGCCGCCCACAAAGGGACAGTACCGACACACATAACCTGCCGAAGGCAGACTAACTTTTCCAGAAGTTATAAGGTAGAAACCTACACAACCCACCCCATACCACCAGGGAATTGGGAAGCTCGTAACCATCGAAACCCAAGCCGGCTATAACATATAGGATGCAATTCAATGTGTAGAGACCACGTAACAGAATCTAGGTACATTCCAAAATGTATGATTACACGACTGTACAGTACCTCGCATGTGTGTTTACCTGACCCGCTGTAACGTCCAGACACACTCCCTCACCATGGGGCATATGCATTGATCGAAGGTAGCACAGGGCTCATACAACCCATTACAGCTGTACACGCAGTTTTGTTGAAAACTCAAAAGGAAGATTCGTAATAATTGAAGAAACTTGTCCAAACACTCTCTGAGAGGGAGGTGCACGACACAGGGGAGGCCTCTCTCTCTCTCCATTCCTTATTCCCCACACACCATTACCCCCCAATCCGACTCTACCTTTATACCCGTCACCCATTTCGGGATAAGGCTACTGAACTGCAGAACTGACCCCCATGGGTAACCAGCCTATACAAGCTTGGGCCTCTAACTGCCCTTTCGGAGGTGTCACCATGGGGGCCAATAAACCCACCATGCAATAAAAGTACCACAAAATTTACCTGCAACATATCACTACCCCCTCTAGGCTTGCTCATCCCCCTACCCAAGGAAGAAATGCATATTCCCCCTCCCCTTTCCTATGTACCCCCAACCCGACTCATTTTACTCATTCCTATACGTTAAAGGTATTACGGCAGCTACATTGTCTCTTAGTACACTCAAATGCACCCTTTTATACAGTGGCGTACACATGACCCATGGGGCCCCGGTGCAAAAATTGCTCGCGGGTCGGGGTTGCAACACATGGTGGCGGGCACCCGGTCGCAGGGCTGCGACCCCGCGACCGAGGTATGCACACACACACTTAAAGGACCACTACAGACACGCAGATCACATCAGCTCAATGAAGTGGTCTGGGTGCCAGGTCCCTCTAGTTTTAACCCTGCAGCTGAAAACATAGCAGTTTCAGAGAAACTGCTATGTTTCACTGAGGGTTAATCCAGCCTCTGGTGGCTGTCTCATTGACAGCTGCTAGAGGAGCTTCCATGATTCTCACTGTGAAAATCACAGTGAGAAGACACTGAACGTCCATAGGAAAGCATTGATTAATGCTTTCCTATGGGCGGTTTAAATGCGCGCGCTCCTCTTGCCGCGCATGTGCATTTCGGAGCTGAGTGGCGGACACTGGGGAGTCCGACGCTGGAGAAAGGTAAATGCTGAAGACACACACACACACTCTCACGAACAGACGCATACACACTAGCTAACAGACACACACATTTACTGACAGAGACACACTCAGCGACAGACATACATACACACTCACTTACAAAACATATACTTTCACTGACAAACACACACTCTCTAACAGACATCAAACACACAGTAACAGACACACACAGTAACACACTCACTAGCAGACACACACACAATAACAGACACATTCACTGACACACACACTAACACACGCACTAACACAAACACTGACACACTAACACACACACACACATACACTAACACACACAGTAACACACATACACTAACACACATACACTAACACACACATACACTAACACACACATACACTAACACACACACTAACACACACACATACACTAACACACACACACATACACTAACACACACACACACTAACACACACACACACACTAACACACACACACACTAACACACACACATACACTAACACACACACATACACTCTAACACACACATACACTAACACACACTAACACACACATACACTCTAACACACACTAACACACACACATACCCTCTAACACACACACACACTAACACACACACACTCTAACACTAACACGTTTTATTTATTTTTTCAAATGTAATCCCCCCAGCCTCCTTACCTTTTGGAGTGCTGGGGGGATTCCCTGGGGTCCAGTGGTGCTGCTGGGCTCCTGGTCACTGGATGGGCGGGCTGCCTGGCCGGCCGGCCGGCGCGCGAGGGAGCACTTTCCCCTGTGTGCTCCCTCTTCAGCTCCCTCGCGCGCCGCGTAGGGATGCCAGCGCCGGAAGATGACGTCATCTTCCGGCTCCGGCATCAGTGCGGTGCGCGAGGGAGCTGAAGAGGAAGCACCGAGTGCTCCCTCGCGCGCCGGCCTGCCCGACCAGCCACCTGCCCGCTGGGGTCAGCAGGGCCAGCCTCGGGGGGCCTGAGGCTGGCCCTGTGGCTACATACCGGGTCGCAGGGGCGGCCGGGCCCCCTGGTGGGCCGGGCCCGGTCGCAGCCGCGACCCCTGCGACCCTGGTATGTACGCCACTGCTTTTATACCTGGCTCCACCATTGACATACCTCGAGGTCTGAACCACCTGCGCCAAAGTAATCTGCTGTACAGTCAAGAGTTACGCCTTTCATTTTTGATACCAATGAAAATGTATTTTCCTCAATGTGTACCCACTTCCCTTTCTTTTTTCTGTAACCCATGATCTTGCCGAACCACATGCTGAAAACCAAAAAATAAAGAATTTATATAAAAAAAAAAAAAAAAAAGTTTAATTTGGACCTTGGGCTTATGTAGTGAGAATTTACATAAATTCAGAGTGAATTTCAAATATAAGGTAAAATAGCCAAACTGAAGACAAAACAGACTTGGGATATTTTTCTAGACCAGCTATTTTGGTCAGAATGTTTAAATTCACTTTGACTTTACTTTCAAATCACAGCAATTATCACTTTTAGTGACTAAGCCAAATTCCCTACAAATGAAAAGAAAATGTATTAAAGGATCACTATAGGGTCAGGAACACAAAAATTTATTCCTGACCCTATAGTGTTAAAACCACCATATAGCCCCCCTGGGCACCTCATGCCTCCATAAATATAGTAAAAATCTTACTGTATTCAAGCCTGAAGCTGTAACTCTGCATGCTGTTAGACTCAGAAAAACAAGCAGTCTGCTGGCATCATCAGAAGTGGTAGCCTGATCTAATTACAGTGCTTCCCCATAGGATTGGCTGAGACTGACAAAGAGGCAGAGCCAGCATGATTCAAACACAGCCCTGGCCAATCAGCATCTCCTCATAGAGATGAATTGAATCAATGAATCTCTATGAGAAAAGTTCAGTGTCTGCATACAGAAGGAGGACATACTGAATGTTTGAATGCATTTTAGGCAGCCATGACCCAGGAAGGATCTCTAACAGCCATCTGAGGAGTGGCCAGTGAAGTTATCATTAGGCTGTAATGTAAACACAGCATTTTCTCTAAAAAGACAGTGTTTACAGCAAAAAGCCTGAATGTAATTATTCTACTCACCAGAACAAATTCAATAAGCTGTAGTTGTTCTGGTGACTATAGTGTCCCTTTAAGATCCGACCATGATTTACCTGATGAAAAATGTCTGGATTTCCTGGATTAAAGAGTGATGGTAACTTTTCTTCTAAACCACGGGAAATCTCTGGCCAGACACAGTTCAATAAAAAGTCATAACCAGGAACCATGTCTGCTTTGTCACTAAAATAAAATAAAAAAGGAAAGAAAAGAAAAGAATCAAATACTAAAATGATAAAGAATAATTTGTCCTGAACTGCTATGAGAAAAACACCATAAACACCACAAGCACTCTAAAATGTTATTTTGTGTACTTTCAAGCCCTATGTCTAGATTTTACTCTCAGTAATAGGTCAATAGGATTTTGAGTGAGGATTAGATTTGGTGGCTGGAAACAATACGCTTCCCTTGCATGACCTCTTTTTAAAAATGTTTTCCAAATATACTATTATTCTACACTACGATTAACAATAAAAAACACAACTTGAGATGTAAGCTTAAACTGGAATAGTGTTATGCAAACTATCAAAACAGATACCTGCATAAATGTATGTACACACATTTTATGTTTGCTAAATATATATATATATATATATATATATATATATATAAAATTGAGCACACATATTACAGATCAATACTTACATAAATACATAAGACATAATTTTTCATGTATTTACCTCACCTGTATTTTACTATATTTTGTTATTACTTTTTCATTTTTATCATAGCAGAAAAGAGGTGCAAAGGAAATACTCATTGCATGCTTCAATTAATAAATGGCATTAAAAAGGGAAAGTTGGGAAAATGTTGGCCGCAATCCTGTCTGATTGTTACCTTGATATGGAACCTCCTGTCACTTCCTTTAGAAGTCGACAATGATGAGGAACAAACTCAAGAAGTTTGTTATACATGACTTGGAGCCCATTGGGATGAGATTGTACATATTTTTCCACTATGACCTGCAACATGAGCATAACACTTTTCTAAATTAATAAATCCAGGAAAAAAAAATAAGTTTGTCTTCAATCAAAATGCAATCAATAGGCATTTTTATACATCTGATCATTAATGTAAGTTACCAGCGCAAATTACGTGACTTCCCATGAATGTAAACAAGAGAGCTCAACTTTTAAAAACCTTAATTGCGAGCAAAGCATTGTGTTATTGGGTACGTGCAATGACAGCAAATGTGAACACAATGGCGAATTTGTGTAAATTTCCAGTACGTGTGAAAGCAGGTGTGAGTTTGTGTAGAGTGTCTGTGTGTTGATGCATTTATATTCCTTTTTCACACTTATATCACTTGCTCATCCCTCCCATATCACGCATCCCAAACACACGTTTTATGTCACCTGTCTACACTTTACTATATTATATGCCCTCCCCATTGTATTGCATATAGCCACTTCTCAAGTTCACTAGTTCTGCTCCTCAATCTAAACACAACCACCCATTATGTCCCTAGCTCAATTGTACATCATACATTTCCCCTTTGAATGGGGAATTAACCCCAAAGGGATTTCCAAACTGAATTCCATCTAACACCGAGACCACAGACATACCAAACAGACCTTATTTAGTGCGCACCAGATTGTTTTAGTGAGCAAAAGATGCATAGACAGCCTGAGAAAGTAGTAAACAATCATTTTGCTGGGCAGGTTACATGCAGGTCTCTACTGGCCAAAGAAATAATCACAGCAGCAACAGTGTATATGCTGTGAGAGAGATAGCGAACAACCTATACCAGGGTTCTCCTGATCGTTTTGTGCAATCAGTTGTTGGCATAGAGTTATAAACTGTGGGTATAGACTATTATACAGAGAACTGATTGACAGATGAGGAGATGGACAGTATATAGTAAAACTTTATATAGTTTTAGTGAAAATGCTATACATATATAGCAATTCTGCTAGAAAATTATTTATATTTATATATATATACACACATACATACATACGAAGCAAAAAACAAAAAAGGTATTGTGGGGAAAAATTGTGATTGAAAACCCCTTCCACCTGAAGTCTGTGGATAGTTAATACAATGTTAAACAAAAATCAGCCCACCAGTCAAGCCAGAAGACTTGCTTTTCTATATAAAAAAACTGACCTCTTTATAATTTGTTTGAACCATGACATGTACACTTAAAAGTGTAAAAATGCACAAAAATCTGCTAAATTATTAATGTCTCACTAATCAACTTAAATCTTGTAGCAAATGTCAGCATCTTCCCATAGTATTAAGAAAATTGGTACGGAACTTTCCATAGATGCATAAACTTAACAGGTAAAGAGAATTATTTGTCAAATAAAACTTGCCTCATCAACATATGGTTTCACTAACACCTGGCCAATTAATGCTTCGGCATCTCTGGTTTTGTCAATAGTAGCATAAGTCCGTAAACAGTGACGAATTATATCCACATTGGACGTCTGAAGGCCTTCTAAGAGCAGCCCTTCCAAAGACTGTTGTAACATCGATGTTATGCCACCAATACGCTTAGAGAAAAGGAAAAAAAAAATTAAAAAACATAATGATTTGTAAATAACAGGTGTTTTAAAACAGCATTTTATTCAAGAATAATATCTACATAAACACAAAATTCTTAAACTATAAGTAGTTTTCACAAAATTTCCATTTCCATGATTCGCTGAGATCATGAATTCTGATGATCTTAGCTAAAGAGGCGGGGTGGGGGACAAAGCCAAACGCCGCCCTGGCCAGTCAGCATCTCCTCATACGGATGCACAGAATCAATGCATCTCTAAGAGCAACGTTTAGCATGTAGACTGTGCAGCACTGCCCCAGGAAGCACCTCCAGGGCTGTCTGACAGACTGCCACTGGAGGTGTCCCTAGGCAGTCATGAAAACTATTGTATATATAACTGTACAATACCTGGTTTAAACCAAGTATATTTCAAATGTGATGCACACACCTATTTTTGTCACATATGTTAATACAGAACAATACAGTTTTTGTTGCAGATTTTGTTATACAAAACAAAATGAATAAAATATGACGTAAATTAACTTTTTTTTCATGGGAGAAGGAGACCCAATGATAAAGGAGTCTAACAGACACTCTAGTATTTAATGCTTTTGGTGTCAGAGACCTTAGCAACAAACTGCTCACCTGAGTGTCACTAATTAGAAAAAATACTGTTCAGCATTTTCTACATATCTCAAGTTTGACTTTAGGAAAATCATGCTTCCACAACTATCCCAGAGTTTGCAGCTTGACTTGCAAATGAACACAGTCAGGTATTGTTTGTCATACTTCACTCTGCATTTCTGTAGGAACCCTTACCAATGAACACTTTTTTCCTTTCTTAAATCATAGCATGGGATGTAAATAAAAAGGAATAGTGACCGGAAACCAACCATGGACTGTACAGTTATAACCTTTTGGGATCCACCACCAACTTGAGTCGGTTGACCAAAACTATACCAATTGCTGAATGATGCCAGTCAATAACATTATTACTATCAACATGCTATCTGGTACTTACAGGTCTAACTTTGTCCAACAGAGGCATGCCCTTGCTCTGAACTGCATGGAACTGTAACTGGTTAAATTCTGTAGCAATTCTTTCTAGGGTCTGTCCAGTCAGCAGTGAGCTTAAATACAAATATAGAGGGATAAACTTAACAGCAGTAAATTCAAAATACTGAAATTTGCTCTATTGACGTTTATATAATGCATCCCTGGAGTATATAAAGATGGAAAGTTAGTAGCAAATATGTGTTAAAGGATCACTATAGGGTCAGGAACACAAACATGTATTCCTGACCCTATAGTGTTAACACCACCATCTAGCCTCCGTGGGCCCCTCATGCCTCCATAAATATAGCAAAATCTTACTGTATTCAAGCCTGAAGCTGTAACTCTGCATGCTGTTTGCCTCAGAAAAACAAGCAGTCTGTTGACAGCTTGTGAAGTGGTAGCCTGATCCAATCACAGTGTTTCCCCATAGCATTGGCTGAGACTGACAAAGAGGCAGATCAGGGGCAGAGCCAGCATGATTCAAACACAACCCTGGCCAATCAGCATCTCCTCATAGAGATGAATTGAAACAATGAATCTCTATGAGGAAAGTTCAGTGTCTGCATGCAGAGGGAGGAGACACTGAATGTTTGGATGCATTTTAGGCAGCCATGACCCAGGAAGGATCTCTAACAGCCATCCGAGGAGTGGCCAGTGAAGTTATCACTAGGTTGTAATGTAAACACTGCATTTTCTCTGAAAAGACCATGTTTACAGCAAAAAGCCTGAAGGTAATGATTCTACTCACCAGAACAAATTCAATAAGCTGTAGTTGTTCTGGTGATTATAGTGTCCCTTTAATGTTCATTTAGGGTGAAAAAACAAACTGTTTTAAAGCAGAAGTTATATTCATGCATTTTACAGTACAACAGTTCAGTTTTAATAACTACTGTTTTTTTCCAATGTTTAAAGGGAAATATGTAAAGGAAACACATATATTGCAGACGGAAAAAAAGGAATACATATCAAACAATTGAAATAGGATCAAAAGCCATTTTTTATTATTATTATTATACTTAAGATATTTGGGCAATCAAAGGCGGTTTCAATAAAAAAGATGGTCAGGCCATTTAGGATTAACTGTCAATTTGGTGATGTTCACCTAATAAACTTTGGTTATATAAAGGGTCAAAGTTATATATTACAGATGTGTGGTTGTAGGTCCCTTAAAGTGACATGCATCCCTTTGAGACAACTGTTTCATTTACAAGCTTTAGTTTTGAATGAGACAACTGTCTCATTCTGCAAGCGGGAAAGTAATTCTCCCCCCCCCCCACCCCACTGATGATGATGTAGTGTGAGCCAGCCAAGAATACACATAACCACACAAATGCACAGCAGGCAGTCCCCATGGACAATAGCCCCCCGAGAATAAGCAAATTACAAAGGTGCTTTGCAAGGCTTGCACTCCTGGCTCCCAAGTAGAGCCTTCCTACTTGGATAAACACTTGACTACCTCTATGCAGTGGACCATGTAGATTTGGGTGGTGTCATGCAACCAGAGTGAGGAGGCTATGGGTGAGCCTATAAAACGATTTGGCAGAAGATCGGGGAGCCTGGTCACTTACATGGAAGGGAAGTTTTGGTGGAAACAAATATAGAAGGATGTGGGGATAAACAGGAAATTTCCAATGCACTGGCATTTAAAGATATTGCATAGGGGAAGTGAACCTACTGCTCATTAACTGGACAGTCATCAGGCAGCAGGGATTGTAATAAGTCATATAGCGCACAGTGATCGCATGTGCAGCCACGCATAGATAACATTTATTTTACAATTAAATGAAACTATGTATTTGATAGAAATTCGTGTGGGCATCATAAATAATAAAGTCCAAAAACTGTATAAACCTGACATAGAGATGCTTGAGAATCAAAATCCCCACAGTCAGCCTGCATCAGGGTCTACAACCCACATAATTGCCCTGTCACACTCATCCTCATACAAATGCACCCCCCACAGTTACCCTCATACACAAAACAGCCTCATTATAAATACAACTCACACATAAAAACCACAAGCAGCCCCCAACACACACACAACACTCTGCAAGCAGCTTCACACAAACACTCTCAGACACAGAAATACATATACCTAAAGAAACATATGGATTCCAGATAGTCACAGATTCACAAATATACAGAAATACAGTCACAGATGCACAAGGATGCTCACTGCCAGACACACACTCTTTGGCAAATACACAGATACACAATGCAAGAGAAGCACACACAGGTCCCATATACACACAGCCAGACACACACTGTGATTGTGTATACGCATCGGTCAATATTTGTGTCTGTGTGTCATTGTATATCTGTACATCAGTGTGTATGTATGTGCGTGTTGCCCAACAGGCAACATGTTGCAACTGATGCAATGAGTAGCTTCTCCTTTCTTAAACAACCATGTCGAAAGAAACATTCCATGGTCGTGGAAAAGAGGTTAGTCTGTTTGAGAAGGGTCAAATCATTGGCATGCATCAAGCAGAGTAAACATCTAAGGAGATTGCAGAAACTACTAAAATTGGGTTAAGAACTGTCCAACACATTATTAAAAACTGGAAGGATAGTTTTCGAGGAAGAAATGTGGTTGACCGGGTACCTCAGTCAATCGCTGCTTCCTAGTAGTCCTGGAGTACCATAAGCACCGCACCGGACACCCTAACTACCGAAAACCGCCGCAGCTTGGTTGGGGTCTCGCTGTCCTCCACCCACCCTGGACCAAAAACCAGGATCCAGCTTCCAGTGGGTAGACCTCTCCTAGTCCAGGGGTTCAGGAATTTCTTGGAAGTCATAATTTTGACCGACAGTGCACATGGTCCTATGCCCAAAACAGTTACAGGGAATTAGGGCTAACGGTCAGTCTCTCTTTCTGTAGTACAAAAGTACATAAAATTACATGAACGAAGCCTTTTAAAGTGCACTGAGCAAGGTATATTGCAGGGCCCATAGTCCTGAGGCAAGAGGCTGGCAAGCAGACTCCTCTAGGAGCTTGTGGCAAACGACCAGACCACAGGGCGTTTGTCACAATCATGATCAGCGATCGCTTAAACATTTGGTGAAATCAAATCGTAGAAAAAAAAAAAACAGTGGCACTCAGGGCTATGTTTAATAGTGAAAGTGGAACATTTCCACACGCACAATGCGAAGGGAATTCAAGGTATTGGTACTGAACAGCTGTGTAAACTTAAGAAAACCACTAATCAGGGAGGCTAATCAGGAAAAAAAAAAGGCTTCAATTTGCTAGGGAGCATAAAGATTGGACTCTGGAGCAATGGAAGAAGGCCATGTGTACCTACTGTACAAGCCTCTGGGGGCAGTGCTTTGATCTCAGGTTGCTGACTACCTGAATATACTGAATGACTAAGTTATTCCATCAATCTGCTTGATACTTATTCATATATATGTATGTAGATTCCTCTTTCTTATTGTTGGGTGGCTTGCCTTGTATCATACATATTATGGTTCTTCTGTGTCAGTTAAAAATATAGCGTATTCATTTTCCTTGCTTTTCTTATAAAAGATTTATTCTTCTTTCTTCGCAATTACTTACAATGTCATTGATGTTAAATAGGTCAACAGCTGAAGGTACATTCAGAGTGTGAAGACACTTTCCCTTGTTGTTCCGGGTCTCTGTGTTTGTGTCCCATTCTCCTAGACACCCCTTTACACAGATAACACATTCTACATATATACACCACCAAAATGGCTGTGTAAGAATTACAAAGGCAATGCCATTGATACAATATGCTTGTAGGCAATTTCTTATTAGGTCATCCATGAGCACTCAGAAATAGAGAAGAGCTTACAACACTTATTGCCATCTGTTCATGTCGCTCAAGATCAACCACACTTCCGTGTGAAATGCATGTAAAAGACATTTCCAAAATATAGAATATTTTACAGCTACTTTGACCTTAAATTTGAAATTCATTTTAAATTCTCACTTTAGTAAATAACACTCATAGTTTCTTTTGCATTGCTTGTGCTAGTTCATGAAACTCACATGGGCTTTAGTGGGTTGGTGAAAGAGGTGAGGGGTGAGAGACTAAAGAAACTCCCCTAGCTAAGAGCCGTGTCGGACAAAGGAAAGTGGATAGTGAGTTTATAATTGTGTACTAAATACTTGTTAAACTTTTCTTGCTTTATTTTAGTTTCTATATATGTAAAAGTGTTTGCTTGCTGGTTTAAAAAAAAACAAAAAAACATTGCCAAGTAATGCATGTCTCTTTAAATCATGGGTAGTCAACCTGTTCCCTACCGCCCACTAGTGGGCGTTTCAGAATTCCAGGTGGGCGGTAGGGGTTTCGGAGGCACAACAAGCTAATGCTAAATTCTCCTTTTGAGAGAGTGGGCGGGCGCGAGTGCACAAACACAAATGAAAGTAAGAACGCGTGCGAACTCATGCAAGCATGAGAATGTGTGCACGGGAACAAGAGAACGTGTGCACGTGCCAACACGAGTGTAACACGTGGGAAGAGGAAGGGGAGGAGTGGGAGCTGATGCACGATAGCAGGGACATGCAGAAGCAAAAAGGAGAAAGAAGGAGCAGAGTACTTGTAGAATAGGAGAAAGAAGGAGCAGAGTACTTGTAGAATAGGAGAAAGAAGGAGCAGATTACTTGTAGAATAGGAGAAAGAAGGAGCAGATTACTTGTAGAATAGGAGAAAGAAGGAGCAGATTACTAGTAGAATAGGAGAAAGAAGGAGCAGATTACTTGTAGAATAGAAGAACGAAGGAGCAGAGTATTTGTAGAATGGGAGAAAGGAGTAGAGAACTCGTAAAAAGAAGAAAGAAGGAGCAGAGTACTTGTAAAAGGGAGAAAGAAGGAGCAGATTACTTGGAGAATAGGAGAAAGAAGGAGCAGATTACTTGGAGAATAGGAGAAAGAAGGAGCAGATTACTTGGAGAATAGGAGAAAGAAGGAGCAGATTACTTGGAGAATAGGAGAAAGAAGGAGCAGAGTACTTGGAGAATAGGAGAAAGAAGGAGCAGAGTACTTGGAGAATAGGAGAAAGAAGGAGCAGAGTACTTGTAGAATTGGAGAAAAAAGGAGCAGAGGACTTGTAAAAAGAAGAAAGAAGGAGCAGAGGACTTGTAAAAAGAAGAAAGGAGTAGAGTATTTGTAGAATAGGAGAAAGAAGGAGCAGAGGACTTGTAAAAAGAAGAAAGAAGGAGCAGAGGACTTGTAAAAAGAAGAAAGGAGTAGAGTATTTGTAGAATAGGAGAAAGAAGGAGCAGAGTACTTGTAGAATAGGAGAAAGAAGGAGCAGAGTACTTGTAAAAAGGAGAAAGAAGGAGCAGAGTACTTGTAAAAAAGGAGAAAGGCAAAATGTTTACTATGATGTCTTGCTTACTAATCAATTACCTAACCTTGTTACCCTGCATTACTGTTACAGTGCCCGTCCTGGCTGTTGTGGCCAGACGAGATTGTGTAAAACTGGAAACGCACCAAAAACAAAGAATTATTATTTTATTTTTTTTTAAAGGAGAAAGAAGGAAAATAAAAAATATAAAAAGGAAAAGGAGAGAACTGTTGCTGGCTCATAATAGTAAGTGGGCTACCTAGCTCAGCCTTCCTGCTGGGCATTGCTATAAGGAAGGTAAAAAAATAGAAAAAAAAGGAAAAAAATAAGGGGGAGGGAATTGAGGAAGGAGAGGAGGGAAGCTGATGCACAGATGAGAAATTATATTATGAGCAAACAGAGAAGTCGTCTGAATATCACCAAAAGAGGAGACCTTTGTTTGTTCCTTACGAAAATCAAACCAGATATCAAATATTTAGTCTCGCAGCATCAGCCTCAAGGATCTCATTAATCACTAGTAAAGGTGATTTCAATTTACTTTATTGTTTTTTCATTAAACTTTATAAAGTTAAAAGCATTATAAACATGCATTAAGTAGAAATAAAAAGATAAATGTACGTACATTTTTTTTAAACACCCTCCTTTCTAAAAATTATTCCGCACTTGCGCAAAAACTGGTTGGCGGTAAGGAAATGTTTCCATCAAGAAAGATGCATTAGTGGGTGGAAGGTAGAAAAAGGTTGACTACCACTGCTTTAAATAAAGAAGATCTAGCCCATTTAAAAAGTCAACAATTTGTTTCTATATTCATTGTGTGGTCTACTTGATCTAATAAACCAATTTGCCTACCATACAGAACATTGATGTTAACTATTTACAACTGAGAACTCATAATGTTACTTTACCCACCTGTTTAGTTCAGAAGCATTCTCTTTGCTGTTCTGAGAATTCAAAATTTTTTCAATCTTCTCAACTGAACGAATAACCTGAATCATCCTTAAAACACACATCTGTAAATAGAAATGAGATCTGCCACTTTATAAACTGGACATATTTTGTAACCACCTTATTACTTATACAAGAAAAGAACCGATCAAACAAGTTTTATTTTATAATGAATTCACAGCAAGAAAAAAAAAAAAAAGGAAAAATACAATATTTATGTTACAATATACAGTCTCCTTATTTTTTTTGTATTTCACATATAAAGACATTTTCTTTTTAAAGAAATTACTTGTCTTCTTTTTCCACTCCCCATTTCTGAAAGCCATTATTTCCTAATTTTAGAAAATGGTCCCTCCAATTTAGACTTCTGCTGGTTAATCACTTCACTACCAAAATTGAGTATAAAACTTTATTTACTTTCATGTAGTTTGCAGAATGGAGTAAATAAAAGCCTCACTCACCCTCTTTATACTCTAACAATGAATACCAGCCTGTAGAGGAACACATTTATCTTCCAAAAGTCACAGGTCACTGATTTAACGACTGCTAAAATGTTTTAATGGGTTATATCATTCAGACAGTTGTGGAGGGGGCAGGAGTGAATGGACACATTTCGTGGTTAAAATTACATTTAAAGTCGAGAGATTAACAGATTGCTATAGCATTTTAGAAATATGTTATGAAACTGCATTTATTGTATGTGGTCATTATACTTAAATGCAGATATTCTGTTTAAACTTTTATCAAGCTTTGTTAGGGGATGCAGACATGGGTATTTGATCTAAGTGGCTGCATACGCAGAGGACATGGTGTGCAATGACATCTGTTGTAAAAAAAAACAACAACAAAAACCAAAAGAAAACACACACTTCTCCCAACATAAATGGGTGTGAAATTGTTTAACTGTACATCATTTGGGATGCTTGTATTGTCTTAAAAGTTAGAGTGCAAACATCCTGCCCCTGCGGTCTGGCAAATATAAACATTGCTGTTTCTGGAAAACAGAAATGTTTACATATGTAAAAGTCTATGCAATATAGAATGCACACTATAACAACTTTGAATAGTCAAAAGTATAACTTTAACGTTTCGGCACCAACCGGCTGCCTTTATCACCCCTGTGTAAACAGTATTTACACAGAAACACGAGTCACCAAACCCCCAACATTTTGGCACTAACCGGCTGCCTTTATCACCCTTGATAAAGACAGCCGGTTGGTGCCGAAACGTTGGGGGTTTGGTAACTCGTGTTTCTGTCTTGAAGGTGGTTAGAATTTTTGGCATTTTACTATTGTATTATTGTATTTGCCCTTGCTTCTGTCATTGTGTTTATTTTTTGTATTTTTCACTGTAGTACCTTTTGTACATAATAAAGTTATACTTTTGACTATTTGAAGTTGTTATAGTGTGCATTCTATATTGCATAGATATTTGGATATTTGAAACATTTGAGGGAGTGTTTTGATAGTTTGCACCTAGCTATCTGATATATTTTGTCTCTCCATGTGCTTTTGGTTTGTGTACATTTGTAAAAGAACATGTCTCTACTGGTAGTCAGCCTGATGAAAGTCGAAAGTTTTCACGCTGTACAGACAGCTCGATTTAAAAGGGTGACAGTTCTTCTGATATAGAGAATCATTGGGCTAATGTTTCTCTATTAAAAGGACCTGATTGGCAGATCAAGGAATTTAATGCGCATGTGCTGTAGGTCTCAAATGCTTCTCTATAAGAAATACTGGATTGAACAAGAGACGGTTAGAATGATGATCTCACTGCAGGCTGCTGCACATTAAAAGGGATGGCACTGAATAAAAGGCAAGTTATCCTTTTTTAGGTTTCCAAAGTGGGCCCTAAATAACTGTGGAAAGGAACAGTCTAGTATTATAAAAAAATATACTTACTTAAAGCATTACAGTGTTCTTTTAACTTTGCTAATTCACCTTATTTCTGAAAAGGCGAGGAAAATGTGTTCTTCCACAGAGAGCCCTTAAAACTACACTGTCTAGGCATTTGAGTTGGCTAGTTAGAGGTTCTGTCTTATGTACGTTAATATATTTCAACAAAGGTGTAGTCATAATAGTGGAAAGCACAGAAATGCTTGGCAATTAATGTACAGAAAACATTTGTGATGTAATGGGGCAACAAACGTATTTTTATTTTAAACCCATGTGTACATAGTTCACTTAGTCACTTGTGCACCAATGACAAAACCTTGAGGCTTCTGTTTGTTGGTTCACTTCTGCCTAAATATTGTGTTGCCCTACTTCTTGACTGGATCACACATAAAGCAGACTAGTGTGGTGGCAAGGACTTGATGTTGTAGGACTCTCAGTGCATAAAGCACAGTTGTGTAAGGTTGTACCCCAGAGCCTCATCCATCTGTTTTTCGATAAGTGGATATTTCTCAGTTTCCTTGCCTGGGCTAGGTGGGTGAAATTTTCAGTCTTGTTTGTAAATACCATAATTATAATATAAACGGCATTTACACTGATCCTTTTGTAAATAAAGAGGGTTTTTTTTCTTTTACTAAACTGGGCTTTTCTATTTGCTTAATGTACATGAAAAAAATAATAAGGTTACTTTACTAAGAACAAAGCTATACCTTCTTTTTCCGAATATCATCTTGTTTAGCCAAACGCCCCTCCACTGCTTGGATAACATCACTTACAGATGTCTTTAAACTCTAAAACACAAAAAAAGAGATACAATTAGTGCAATGGGCAATTATGAATTACATCTGGAGTACTGTTAATCAAAAGTTCATTTGAAGATAATGATATGCTTTATATACACTGTAATGTGTAATGGACATTTTAGTCACTAAAACCACAGACATGCATCTGACACATCACTTCACAAATCTTCCAGATTTTGCATAATAATAGATGCATAGTTTGTGCAAAAAGAACATCTCTACATAAATATTTAAACTAAAAGCAAAAACCGGACACATTTCCAACATTTTATGGTAGGAACAAATAGGAAGCCACTTTCATGGCTCTGTTTAAAGAGACACTAAATGCTCTATAAAAAAAGATGCTGATTGGTTGCTGCTCACTGGTCCCTACTGCTGCCCTATGGGGAAGCATTTGATTGGCTGAAATGATCTGTATTGATGATTTCAGCCAGCAGATATTTGGTGGCCACGGTGAGACAAGCACAACATGTTCTGATTTAACGTCCCACCCCTGTTCGACAACGTGATACAGGTCCTGCACTCACGGTTACTCCCCCACATGACGTGGCTTGGCAAAATATGTTATTAAAGGGACACTATAGTCACCTGAACAACTTCAGCTTAATGAGGTTGTTCAGGTGAGAACTATAGCTCCCTGCAGCCTCTCTCATGTAAACACTGTATTTTCTGAGAAAATACAGTGTTTACATTGAAAGCTAGGAACACCTCCAGTTGCAGTCACTCAGAGTGAACCAGAGGGACTTCTGAGTTCATGGAGGCATAATATGCCTCTATCCACTCAGATCTGCTGTGCACGAGCATCCTGTGATTCAGTATCTCCTCCCACTGCATGTAGACACTGAACTTTCCTAATAGAGATTCATTGATTCAATTCATCAGGAGATGCTGATTGGCCAAGGCTGTGTTTGAATCATGCTGGCTCTGCCCCTGATCTGCCTCCTTGTCAGTCTCAGCTAATCCTATGGGGAAGCACTGTGATTGGATCGGGCTATCACATGTCAGCAGACTGCTTGTTTTTCCTGAGTCTCAGCATGCAGATTTACAGCTTCTGGCTTGAATACAGTAAGATTTTTACTATATTTATGGAGGCATGAGGGGCCCACGGGGGCTAGATGGTCGTGTTAACACTATAGGGTTAGGAATACATGCAGTTGCACTGGTGACTATAGTGTCCCTTTAAACTAAACATACTACCACGCTTTTTTTGTACCTATGTAAGACTCTCCCAGTTCACATTTCCCAGACATTATTCACACAAGTCCATCAGTTATTCACATGGTACATCTGGCACTGCCAGGAAGCATGATTAAAATTTGCCATTCTGACAAAGCCTAAACAGCAGGGAGGATTGGTACTTACGGACCTATCCAAATATCATAAAACAGTCCACTTACAATGTGTACTAGAATGGGTCCACTCTTCTCCTGACAAATTGTGTCAGTTGTGATCCAACTAAAGGCCAGATTATCCAACACCCTCTTACGTGCCCCTTTGTGGCTTCCTTCATAATCGACCATTCCCAATACATTGTCCATATGGAGGAGAATTTCAGGGTCCCAGGACCCCTTTCCATGTGTTTCTCCCCTATACCTAATAATTGGTAACCCATCCTTTAACCCTGCAAACTTTCCTCAATACACATCCTCGCTGGGATTACTGTCCCCTTGCCACGTAATAGAGGTCTACATAAATAGTAGTGTTCATCACACCTTGTCCCCCAAGCCCACAGCTCAGGTTCCTCAAACGCACTCCTGGACTAGCAACAGTCAACAGACAATTATCTGCTTATGAATAACTATGCTCTAAACCTTATACCCTGGCACATGATATCTCCCAACTCTGTCCACTCCTGATCTCCCCATATGAGGGACAGCCGTTCTTTTACTTTATTAAATACCGGGAGAGAGACCTGGGACACTCCCAATCTCCAGAACAAAGGACAGAGACTTTCCTCCTTATACATAAATCTTTAATTAATACTAAATACCAAGAATCCAGTTACAAAATGATTTCACATTGGTACAAAACATAATGTCCAACTGTGACCCTGAGTGTTGGAAATTTGCAAGGGAGTTGGGCACTCTGTTCCCCCTATGTTGGACATGCCCTCTCAAACAACCCTTCTAGAGGGAGGTACTCCAGATCTTAACTACTCTCACAGACATTCCAGTGAATTTCTCTCCAGATGTTCACCTGCTATACGTCACCACTATCCCACTCACAACATAAGAGAAAATGGTGCTATCACCTGATCAAGGCAGTGCGCAGCCTCTTTCCGTGATTCTGGAGGCAGAGACCTGTTCAAACAGTTAGGGATTGGGTGGGACCCTTGGGTTTCGTAAAACAAAAAAGGTTTGACAAAGAACCAGGGGACAAGGCCTGTAACCACTTTATCAGCATGTAGGGATTATGGTCCCTTGACTTCTATTTTAAGAAGTGGTACACTGTTGGATAAGCAAGTTCCTATTCATGAAATTAGCTTTCTTACTACAGGTAACTGCATATGGGGTAGCATGTTTATTCATAAAATGGCAAAAAGAGGCAAACGACTATTGGGTTATTTTTTTTAGCACTTCTACCTTTACTCATAGGTCATTCACATTTACACTCTCTAGTAAAAGGAAGGAAAATACAAAAAAAAGAATTGTCAAAAATACCAGTACTTCTTCTTTTAGTTGTCCTAGAGGTACTGACAGTTGGCTCAGCGCTTTATCCATTCCCACCTGTGCACCAATAAATCAAATAAATTAGACAAAAAAAAAAAAAAAACATAGATTAGATGCATATATTTGTTCAAAGATCACTTAAAAAGGCAGTCACAACTAGGTAAAAAAAGAAACAAAACCTAAATAAATTACATAAACAGACTTTCCACCCCAAGTTATTTTAGAAGTGCATGCAAGATGTAAAACTATGAGGGTTTATTTAAACCACTTGTTAATCACATTAACATTAAAAATTTTACATTGTGGCAAATGTTCGTGGGAAGAAGCATTTGTCACACCTACCCATATACCCTATTTTTAATTATATGTATAGTGAATGAAAATTAAGCCCCATCTGTCCTTTAAAAACTATATTTAATGAACATTGTGTCACTTAGAAACTTAAAGAGCAAACTGTGATCATCTTATTATAATCAGTTATTGTGTGTGAACACCAGGTTTTCCCTTTTCACTTTTACTCCTGTGTCCTGAATTAGAGAAAAACTAGATCTAGATAATAGATGAGTTTAAGTGGCATATTTAAGTTGTGCCACTCCTTTATTGATTTTGTTGTAAAGTAAACATCCTGTAAGCAAGGAGCAGCAAGTACATTATCCTAACCAGCTTACATTATCCCAAGAAATGTTAAGGTCTCACTAATTTGTTCATTGTTTAAACATTCATTTAACCAGCCTGAAAATGCATTTCATCTTCCCATTTGCTTTGATTAAAGGGTTATCGCAATCAAAAATCTGCATTATAAGGAAACACAACCACAATGTTTGGCCATTTTTAGATATTCAGATTATTATATCCAGCAAGAATCCGTTAATACAGCAAAGCCTTTTTTATGCCGTTTTGGCCAGGTGCTCATGTGATTATGACAGTTTGCTAAATAGGATAATTGAGTAAGATACAACTGCTCTAGGATATTATACCAACAATGATTTATATATGACGGGGCTACAGAATTGCTATACATTTCTCTTTTATTTTTATCTGTCTGGAAATCTGCCTCAAGGATTGCATCTTGGCTAGTAGGGATAGAGTTACCCCTGTAAAAAAAGGAACAGCATGAGGCGCTATTAACAATACTCTTCGTTCCCAAGGAAGGCGTTGGAATACGCCAAAACGTGAGTTGAACTTAATTTCACTTTTGTTTTTTTGGAAATATGTTAAGGTTTTGACGTATTAGAAAGGGGGAGGACAGGGTTCATGTGGAAAGATTTAGTTCTATTATTAAGATGTTTACTAGGCACTAGTAAGGGACTGAGATTGTATAAATTAGGACTAATCTCCTTCTATTCCCAGCTTTTCCTTCCTTACTCTTCCATTCACCATCTCTCATTTACTAGTGTCTGGAATTTCTCTCTTTTTTACAAGTAGATTTAGTTACTAAATTTCTAACTTCAGCTAGATATTGTGTCACACCTTTATAGACACAATGTTTTACACTTTGTTACTGGAATTTCATCCAGATATTGTTATTGTTTTATATTCTAACAGATATAAAATCTAAATTTATGGCTAAATATTGGTACCATTGTAGTAGCTATATTCTATTTAAATTAATCCTTAAGTGAGAAACTGAGATTTCAGGTACAGAGACATTTTTTTCTTGACTACCGAATTGTTCGGGTAAAGGGCTGTTCGAGTTCCAAAGTTCCACTGTAATTTCTTGCTGTGCAGCAGCTGCAACAACTTTATTGGAGAGTCCTCAGTAACTAGATACTATGTCAAATTTCAAGACACAAAGCTTAAAATCTTGATACTTTGGTTACATTGTCTCAATCTATAGCTTATTGTTTCCTTAATGGCTAAACACTTAACCTGGGAGTAGTTATATTCAAATTGTATCAACCTTTCACTCATTTCTATATTTAGAGAGGACTACCCCCCCCATTCCATTTATTATATAGTGTTACACGGCTCATTTATTTCTACACATTTCTGTTTTTCTTTCTTTACTGACTGATGACATTTAAGAATTGTAATTAAAGTGTCATTTTTAATTTAGGCAACATTTGAAGCTAGGTCACTGGATTTGAATTCATTGGTAATTATAATAGCATATATTATTGTAATTAAAGGAACAATGTAATCACTATAACCATTTAATTTCACTGAATTGGTTATATTACCTGGACTCCCTGACTCTGTCCATCCAAGTTGAATCATTTTCGAGCAGTTTAACACTGAATGAGATTCTCTCTTTCACATAGCTCTGCCCCAACTGGAGGTATGGTTAAAGCAGAGATTACACACCTCCTAGCCGCATTCATTGTCATTTAAGTGTACATGCTGATGATGAATGTGAAGACCGTCAACTTTCGAAGGAAGAATTGCCTATAGCAGTTGACAGTCTACCAGCCACCATAAGGTGTGTTATCTGACAAATGTAAAATTGTGGTTTCTTAGAAAATCCCAATTTGTGTTAATCCACATCTAAATAGTTTAATATAAAACTGGAGGTTGGTACCAAGACACTCAATGCAACATAGCCTATACACTGTACTGTAGTGGTTGTGTTGCTTAGAATGTACTTCAATACTGCATTAAATTAATAATTAGGTCATAAGGATAATGCAACCATATATTCAAACATTAAATAACAAATAATGGTTTACATACCAAGTTTGTGGACAGATTCACAAAGTCTGCATAGTCCTTGTTAATTAGTTCTACCATGGCAGTCTTTAGAAGCCGGTAATAAAGTTCCAGATCGTCTCTGAGGTCTTCCAGCTGCACACGTTTTCGGCATTCTGACATAAAGGTGTCAACGTCAAACCCATCCTATTGGAGAATAAAGCACCAACATGAGCATTTCTATATGCTACATTATATCTAAGAATCATTGAGTTGCTCATTAAGATCACAACCTTTACAGAAATTAATATCTAGAAACATGTGATTCTATATTTCATTTATATCATCCTCACTTAGCCAGAGATATGAAAAATTATTGTGTGTTAAAATAACACAATAGGAAGAAATTGATCCACATTTTAATATATTATATATAGAATGCATTAAAGGATTCCAAGTACCATGGCCACTTCAATGATTTGGAGTTTAACACCCTTGCCACAGAATGGTATAACTCCACCAAGGCTGCGTAATTGGAGAGTCATTAGCCAGCCCCCGAACAAGAGATCCGGGTTATCTACTGTCAATTCTGTGCGCATGTCAATGCACTCATATTGCAATCATTGGTCGAGGGAGTACAGCTCAGTCAAAGGATGGCGACAGCATCAGAACATGACTTCCGCAGCTCTGCAGAGGCTGGATACAAGTCCCCAGACCTGCCAGGAGCCTTGGAACAGGGACCCAGGTAAAAGGGCAAACCTTTGCAAAACTGTTTGCCCCAATACCAGGGTATGGGGCCATAGGTACTCCTCGTATCATAAGAGGAGAAGCCCCTCACTGTACAATGATGCTCCTTTAATGGAAATCTCAAAGCACAATAAACAATCTATAAAGGTTAAGGTGCCAGGAGTACCCTAGTACTTTGAATTCTCACTTTAGTGAATGAAAGTAACCCTGATAAGAACATTTCACTTCCTCTTTATCCCATCAAGTTCTTGCACAGTGTGAGTATCTATTGAATGGAGAATTCCAGGTGGCTGGGGTGTTAACTAATTCAGTAGTGCTAAATCATTGCAGCCATTGCTGTATAACCGAAATGGATCTGACTCTTCCAGTACTTATATACTACAACACAGTGGCCTGTCACTAGAAGTGCGCAGCAGAGTTATAATTGATACAATTATATAAATGGGAATGATATTTTGAGATTACTGGGCTAACTAGCCAGCAATGCTCTCAACCTATCACTGTCAACCAAAGTAATTGGTAATTTCCTCAATATATAAAAATATTTGACACACAACATTCATTCCTCATTTTCTGTACTTTAAACTGTTGTCATTCCACTTCATTCTATCCAGATGTAGTGGGAGCTTTAATTCTGAAGAATGTATGAGGTCATTATAATAAATATGTGCGTTATGTTATAAAGTACGAACAGATTTGTTATAAGAGCCAGAGTGGGTCACTCTACACCATAACCTGGCCAATACTGTATGTATTCCAGTGTAAAATAGCTTTAACTTATTGATAATATACACAGATATTACACTATAAGAATAATAAATGTACAATGGTAATAAGTTATAACTTCAAACAGAAGGTACCTCTCTATACCACTTTAATGCTCTCAAGACCACCTGTATACTGGACACCAGGGCTTTATACATACATATATATATTTCAGCCAATCATGTAACAATACTGACATATATATATAAACAATGTGCTGTGTATGAAGTATGGGGTCTGTCAACCCCCCTACAATGGCAGCATAGAATAGACTGTAACTATGTATGACATATTGCTCGAACCTTCATAAACTCGTTTTTATCGAAGCACAGAGTGCCCGGGCCCTGCGGCAGCTGCATCCCGACCCGCTCCATGTCTGACTGGTGAGGATGGCACCGGTGATACGCGGCACTTCCGCCAACCCTGCAACCCAGCTCCTGCCGATGGGCCAGCTAACCTGTCCTGTCAGGGAAACTGGCTGTCACAGTGACACCTAATGGTCGCCGCGTGTAACTACATGAAATTCCCATTTATTTTTGTATTTATTTATTTTAGCACTGAAATTATACTGTGGCAACTAAGTAAAGTCTTTGTAATAATGTGCCTGGCAAAACATAACACAAATTGTGGAGGTCACATATATGATCACCCAATTTATATAGAGCTTCTGTACATAACTCCAAGCTCACAGACACGTCTTATGGTCTGTCCCCACCTGATCAGTGTCAGCCAACCTGGCATGAATTCAGAACTGCTAACTTTGTCAGGTCTGAAAGCTTCACAGACAATGAAAAGAGCTGGGTTAAGATTGCATACCTCCCAAGTGTTCCAATTTAGGAGAGACAGTCCTTATTTTTATCCCAAATTTATCTGTTCCTCTTTTCTGTTCTAATGGCCCTCTTTTCTTTAGGAGCTCTATATTTTTGGTGTGTCTCAGTGTGTTACAGAATTCCATAGCAATACAGGCCTCCCAACTTTGATTTCAGCAGGACAGTCCTGATTTTTAGATCCTGTCACGCTGTCCCAACTTTATTCCCTGATGTCTTGCCTTTGGGGACACCAGGGTACTGTCCCCAACAAGCATAGTGTGACATGCAATGAATCCTGGTTTGTCTGCAGGGACATAAGATACACACCAGAACAACTGCATTAAGCTGTAGTTGTTCTGGCGACTATAGTGTCCCTTTAAGCACACACCTCATAACACCAGGATTTTACAGTACATTAAAGTATTTTTGCAAAGACTCCCTAATATTATATCTCTGCTTGCATTATTTCTGCAACACAGGGGTAATGTAGATATTCCTGAACCTCTCTACTTGGTACTGACATTTCTTTTCAGCTCTTTGAGGCTTAATCTACAGAGAGTTTGGCAAGGTTTTCTCTTAAAGGACCACTATAGGCACCCAGACCATTTCAGCTCAATGATGTGGTCTGGTTGCCTGGCCCCCTTGTTTCTTCAGAGAAACTGCTATGTTTACACTGCAGGGTAATCCAGCCTACAGTGGCTGTCTCCCTGATAGCCATTAGAGGCGCTTCTGTAATTTACACTGAGTAAATCGCACTTAATTGACGCTGGACGTCCTCATGGAGTCCAGCGTCAAATAAGATCCCCATGTGAAAGCATAGAGCAATGCTTTCCTGTGGGCAGGTTTGAATGCACACGTGCCTCTGGCCGCGCATGCGCATTCAGCTCCACTCAGAAGCTGACGTCGGCGGAGAGGTCACCAGCGCCGAGGGAGCCCGGCACTGGATTAAGGTAAGTGGCTGAAAGGGTTTTAACCCCTTCAGCACCATAGGAGAGCAGCCCCGCGGGAGGGGGGCACTCCAAGAGCCTATAGTGCTGGAAGAACTGTTTTTTTTTTCCCTTGCACTATAGGATCCCTTTAAGACCTGTGTCTCTCTATTTCTTGCCACTTATGCCTCTGTTCACTTCTACATCACCTCAATTGTGTATTTCTCCGTATCCCTCACTTGCACTCATTGTGTCTCTGTTTCTTTTTTAATGCTTTATTTGTTTCATTTCACATTGGAGTAGTACAGAAAAATTTCATAATGTGAGCAAATAAACCTTCAAATTCCATAACATACCATCAATAATAGTAAAGCATGTAAAAAGAATGGTTTTGAGAAAATAAAATTACATTTTACAATGTGCTCTGAAGAGTAAGATGATCCTTTGTCCCCCAGCGCCATCTTGTCCCTTGAAAACTTTTGAGAGCTCCGCAGGAGATGCTCGATATCTGGGCTGGTAGAGCTTTTTTTAAACCTATAATACCAGAAGGTAGTAAATGAAGGTGAAATAAAATTGAAATTTCTGTGTGAAAAGGCTCGGATCTCAAATGAGTGCTTCTGCTCTGCTCCTTTGCTAGCTCTTCACAGTTCCTTGAAGAGTGGTAGCTCCACCCTAGCTGAAAAAGGACACCTTATCACTGAACCCTAAATTTACCAGCATCTATTTCAAAGCTGGGCCTTAATCTGGCCCATTTTCAACATGGTACAGTAATACAAATGAAAGTCATCAGAATGCTGCCTATTTAAAGCTCTTCTATTTCCATTTTGAATGGTTCTATAATCACTTGTAAAGTACTGCGCATGTTCTCCCTTTACAAATTATTTACAGGACACAAACATGTAAATATGATCACCTACAGTAAAAGAACCCTCCAAGCACCATAAGCACTACAGCCCATTGGAAATCTCTTAACAATACCATTGTTGCAGTTATGGTACAGAAACTGTGTGCTCCATGGGGTTTATTAAACCATTTTATTTATTTTTTTACAGACATAGGTTTACTTAAATGGATTTAAAAAAAATAAAAAAATCTTAAAACAATACATTTACAATATACATATTAACAGTAGTCAGTAGGATTGTCAGTAAATGTCCTTCATCACAAATGATCCTCTGGGTCTCTGCTTGATCTAGCTCTAGCCAAACCTGCATAGCGTGCACGCTTTCACACCGCTTGGGGCGCGGGCGCGCAGAGGCTGCCGGGAGTTGTAGTTTCCAGCTCGGTGGGTAGAGTTAGGCGAGCGACGCCTGTGGCCTAGTCCATCAATGGATCCGCCGGGAGAGAAGGTAGACCTTTTCCCGCTTCTGTCCTCTTTGTCTGGGAAGGTTATAAGGGAACTATCGGCCATTAAAGCGGAGACAGAGAGCGGCCACGGCTAATGCAGTTTATTAATTAAACGCGGAGCTCCCGAGGTCTTTGTTATAATATACAGTATGCATGCAGTGACACTGTGCCTTGTTATTACTACCATCTGCTCGTTTAAACACAGTGTGCCCTGCTCCTCCGGCTCTCTCATTTTTATACTTTTTTTTTTTTCTCTTAATTGTAGCTTATTTATTTGTTTTCTTTTCTCCAGGAAGATAACTCAAACGATGGCCGGGATCCAGAGGATAATTCAAATGATGGGAGCCAGCCTGCCAAGCGGAGATGCACAGCCTCTGGGGAGAGCTCCCCAATCTGTGAGAATTCAAGTCAGGATTTTGGGTACTGTGGAACATTTAGGCAAAATAATCAAATTACATAGCACTGGTGAAATGTCAAGAGCCATTTGTATGTTTGAAAGGGCTACTCCTGATTAAGGCTTTATAAGGGGAGTAGGGGGTGTGTGTGTGTGTGTGTGTGTGTGTGTGTGTGTGTGTGTTTTAGTGGTTTATTCACTGAATGTTGAACTAGTGAATGCAAAAACATGAAGCCAAGATAGCCTACAGATGAGTTGTCAATTTTTCACTCTCACCAGTTTCGCCCCAAATCTTGAAAACTTACATTTCATTTCACCACAATTCACAATTTTGTGATTGTTGTAGCTGAGAATTGATAAAATTCATCATTTAATTAATTAAAACCGAGGCTGTCACTCCTTCTTGTCTCTATTATATTCTGTATGGTTTTTACCTGTTGTTAAAATCTCCATTTTATAACTATAAAACACTGTGGAATATGTTGGCGCGCTATATAAATGCTTATTATAATAATAGGGATTATTGAGAATGCTTGCTGCTCTTGATGCGAATGCTGCACACACTATCATATGCAGCTGCAAAATATTTTTATGTTAATACAATTTGTGATAGAGTGCATATATACCAGCTCATTGTAATTATGATGCAGGCTGTAAGTGTTATTTATTTTATTTTTTTTTAAACATTCTGTTTGGGTTCACCTGTATGCATAAAGGCCTTAAATCAATAAAAATGTAAATTATTCTAAAGATAAATTACATATTTAGTTGCTTCAGAAGATGTTATGGTTAATTACCTGTCCAAATTGCCTGCAATTACAGTATCCTCTCCTGGCCCAAGCTTACTCCCTTCCCTCTCCAACTCACTGACCACTGTCAACCCATCAGAGTGACTCAAATTCTTCTAGCCAGAGTGAGATACACTTGGAGTATCTTTGCATCTACTGTGTATGCAGATCATTGATTAACAGTAGGGGACAAAACCAAATTCAGGTTTTATATTTTTGATAGCACAATTTAGATGAAATGTTATGCATACATGTATTGATGGAGTCTGTTACTTCTTTTTTCTATATCCATGCACAAACATCTCTTTGTAAAAAGGTTACACTATCACTACATTAGTGTAAACATTTGCCTGCTAAAATAATAACCATTGCTTGTTTATTTTCAATAGTTAAGCATTAATTTGTTTTTCCTCAGATCCAATTACTTTCCAGCAGAAAATCTAATTGAATACAAATGGCCACCAGAAGAAACGGGGGAATACTGTATGCTGCAAGAACAAGTCAGTGAATATTTAGGTGTTACTTCCTTCAAGCGTAAATATCCAGGTAAATTTGTACTTTGAAAGGTGAAGGCAATGCCATCCATACTTTTATTTTGATAATGCTTTTCAGAGATATTCATGCAAGTTAAGTAAATAACAGAGATTCTTAAAAGTGGCACTCTAGGCAGTTGAACCATACAGAGCATTTTAGTGCCTAGGGTGCTGTGGGTCTATGGATGCTGTCAAACTGTTTGGAATGACTGTAATAATCTGGGTGTGGGCTAGCCCAGCAACTTTATTCTATCACTGCTGATATTGTGGTAGTATAGTTTCCGTGTTATCAGTTTCATTATATGGGATGTGGGCAGACTACAGGTAGTGGGGAAAGCCCTGATTTTTATCAAACCCCTCAAAACAGTGTGACAAAAAATAAGGATGGGTCCATATACAATGAGCTAGATATTTATGTCAAGGGTGTGCAACCTTCTGCACTCGAGTTGTTGTGGACTTAATCTCCCATAATGCTCTCAAAGCCATTTTGCTTCGGGGGATGTAGTATACAACATCTGGGGTGCCAGGGGTTGCCTACCCTTAGTTGATGTTGTTTAAACTAGATGCAACTAATTTTTCCAACTTTATTTTATTTTTTTCAAGGGACATTTCAAGCACCATTTGCCAATTATTCACATTCTTTGTCAAAAAAGTGAAGCCTATATTAAAGATATATTGTTCTTGGGGTAAAATTGTCAGGCACGCTAAGTAAATAAAAAAAAATATTAAAGTAGAAAAAATTGTCCATTCAGCTTTGTTTTCAGTTCAGCTGTTTTTGCCTAAACATTTATATTCACTTTGAATTTCCTACAATTCAAATTTTTCATAAATAAACCTACACTACGTAACACAGTACAGAAATGTACAAAAGGTGGAGTGCTTTCTATTTACATGTACCCAACAATATATTATAGAATTCAAATGTTTACAAATTCCTTAAATGTTGGATCCTTATAAAACGTGCAAGCATACAAAAAAAGTAAAATATAGCATGTATGTGTGTACCGACTTTCTTCTATTGTTGTAGACTGTGTTTCCTATAGAAAGGGCAGACTATATTAGAGCTGAGGCATAAAATCTGAAGAGCGTTATGGGAGTTGTAGCCGACCAACATCTGGAGTGGTCAACGTTGCCAAGCTCTGAATTGGAGGATGGAAAGGGAACAGCAATAATGTGATTCCATATGGTCTGTTTATGGAGGAGGGCGGTGTGCTAATCTAACATTAGTAACCATGTGTATTAGCCCTTTTTGAAGATGTCCACTTTGTGTAGACAAGTGTCATATATTTTAAAAGGGAAGCATTAAAAGTGGCAGTATTGAAATAATCTTTTAGTTATTTTTTGCCAATTCAAAATTGCCATCGCAAATTTACCATAGCTATAATAATGGCTCTGGACAGCACTGCATTGATACCTTTTGCTATAGATCGTCCTCGATTCTCAGATGGTGTGTGTGTGTGTGTGTGTGTGTGTGTGTGTGTGTATATATATATATATATATATATATATATATATATATATATATATATATATATATATATATATATATATAATCTCCCCAACAAAAATGAAATATTTCTATACTGCTATATAAACCATCATGTATTGTACTGTTTAAAGCCGTGGTTCCCAACCCAGTCCTCAAGTACTCCCTAACAGTCCAGGATTTAGGGATTACCCGGTTGTGTCTAAGGTGTTTTTAGAAAGGGGACAAAAACACTTGAGACACAATAGGTTAATCCCTAAATCCTGGATTGCAAAAAGAAGTACTTGAGGACTGGGTTGGGAACACCTGGTTTAAAGGTTTACTCAAAGCACCAGGACCACATCAGGGATTTAAGTGGTCATGGTAACTGGAGTATGTATGTGCAGCTTTTCACTATTAAATGTGGCACATACAGAGCTTAACTACTTTTACTGCCAGAGGTGTAATACCTTCTCTGACAGCAGCATTTGGGTGACACTAATCCCACCCTTTGTGCTGCCTATGTCCTCTCTTGAGTCTGTCCTTCCCCCTACATCCCTGGCATCTAGAGGGAATGGGGACAGTGAAGGAGGATAAAACTGCAGGTAGAACTTGGCCTTGGTGCTGGATCCCAGGTGCTTTTTAGTTTTAGCAAAGTAAGGGTTACATTGGTTGGAATAACCCTTGAAACTCACATGGAGTACAGTCTGTGTATTGGCTCTGAGGTTATATGCATTATTACTACCTGGAAGAGAATAACCCATTTCCGGTATACAAACGTTATTTTAATTAACCGAGAAATGTGTGTATAAATCTCACAAAGTAAAAGCAATATTATTCAAATCTGATGTCCAATAATTTAAGATGTATTCTGCCATATGGCTTTTTAAAATTAGATTTGTTCTTCAAAACGTACATTTTTGATTAGGCAATTGATAGGAAAAAGTTCCCCTCCCTCTAGCTTGTGTGTTGTTATGAGGAAGTTCCAGACCCTCATTATTTATAAAAGTGTTTATACTGCATGCATATGCATTATAATAAGCGACTGCAATCACAATATAGGAAAATTCAGCTTAAAGGATCACTATAGTGTCAGGAAAAAAAAAGTTTCCCTGACACTATATAACCCTTAGGTCGCCCCCCACCCTCAGGGCTCCCTCGGCGCTGGTGACCTCTCCTCCCATTCCGACACCAGCTCCCGAGTGGAGCGGAATGCACGTGCGCGGCCAGAGCCACACGTGCATTAAAAACGCCCATAGGAAAGCATTTTTCAATGCTTTCCTATGGACGTTCTGCATGCTGAATGCGATTTTCGCATTCAGCGTCGCAGAAGTGCCTCTAGCAGCTGTCAGGAAGACAGCCACAAGAGGTTGGATTAACCCTGCAATGTAAAGATAGCGTTTTTTCTGAAACTGCTATGTCTACATCTGAAGGGTTAAAACCTGGGGGACCTGGCACACAGACCACTTCATTGAGCTGAAGTGGTCTGGGTGACTATAGTGGTCATTTAAGCTCCTTTTATTACACCCATGTTAAGTCAGTATTGCTAATTTTACAAAGGCTCATGCTATGAGCTTTTATAGTATTCTAATATGTGTGTGATGAAAATGTATATTTATGTTTTATTGTAATATTCATTGTACAATAGTGGTATATAATATTGTAATAACATGTTATATTAAAACCGGTCCAATTAAAGTAATTAAAAATAGTAATAGTATAGTTACTTTATCACATGATGGTAATTGAGTTATTTCTGATTCTAACCGTTGCTGCTGCTACCTGTGTCATAGGAAGTAAATGGCTTTAATCTGTGATTCTTTCAAAGGATTATTATTTTGTTACTAGAAAGAAATGCTTTGTTTTGTATAGAGAATTCAATGTTATGTTTAATTGCTGTGCAAATTAAAAATGCCTTTTCTTCTTTTAAAGATTTAGAGAGAAGAGATTTGTCCCACAAGGAGAAACTTTATCTAAGGGAACTAAATGTCATTACAGAAACACAGTGTACTTTAGGTAATTATTACCAGCTAAAAAACCTGCACATTCTGGCTGTGCTCCTGTCAACTGAGATTAAGAGCACCTGTATGTAACCATTTTGCTGCAGTAGTGATAGAAACATGTTTCAAAAAAACCCTGCGTTCCACATTCAGTAAATACCCTGGTTGCCATAGTAACTAGCAGAGATACTAAACAGCTGTACTCCAATATAACCTAAAAGGCAATGAACCCATTTAACTGAAAAATGTCTACGCTAACACTGAAAGAATGCAAGATATTAAAGAGCAGTACTAAACAGATATATTAGTAAGTGGTAATATTTTACAATATTTAATTTTAATGCACAGGAGTTAGAAATTGAACCGTGTTGCAGATTAGCATGACGGTGATCTGTTTGTTTGTTTTTTAATATTCTTAGACTGGGTTAGAAGGTATCACAGTCATAGCTATAACTGAGGCCTCTTTTTTTTTTTTTTTTTTTTTTCTTTTCTGTTCCTTCTTTTTTAAATAATAATACATAGTCCTGATAAACAGCACTCGTGCCTCGGAGCAGCAAATGAGTGTAAAACATAAATGGTCATTGTGTTGCCATGGACACTTCGCTACTCACTCAAGTGTAATTAAAATGCATACTGTAAATTCCAGTACCTCATTAGACTCTATATATTCAATGCTACCTTTTGCTCTGATTTACTTGTGTGGAAGCTTTGTCACTGGAAAATAATTGCTCATTTGGAAAGCTTTGATGATAAAATCTATGTATCTATAGTGCATCTCATAGACAAAAAGTTCAAGGCTAAGTAAATTAAGTACTCCTAAACATTGTATCAAACATGCCATTACGTACCACATCATATAAGCATAGATAGCAGCATAAGAGTTGTATAATATCTATGTATCTATAGTGCATCTTAAAAGCAAAATGCGTGAGTCTAAGTTAAAGTTGATATAATATTGAACATGCTTATGAATGCCACGGGGTTTGAACATAAATTGCAGTAGGCTGTTTAAGATGTTTTTTTTTTTTTGTTTTTTTTTGATGCTTCAGTAAGATGGATGTTTAAAGAAACTGATATCCAGTAATCACATCAGATATGACTGTGTCACAATGTCTACATTTACATCGAAGTATGACAGCTGCTTAGTACCACCAATTGTTTGCTATGATTAGATTAATCTTCGAGATATAAAGTGTATTCCTAAATCATATAATAAATTCAGAGCATATGTGATGTAGCATATCCCTAAAACAAGACCAGACTGACTTAAATCAAAATGACCCGAACAAACTTAATTATTCCTATTAGTATGAATAAGGCCTGTTTGACTTGCATAGCTGTTACATCCAGGACCGGAAAGTATGGAAACTTATGAGGGGAACAAAACTTGTGTGGACTGGCTGACTCTGAAATGAGTTAAGGTAATGCTGACTTTACACACTATAAAATACTCTTGCTGCGTCGGTCTCTTTTTAGCACTATGGCATGTTCCCTTTTCTTCTACACTCACTGCAACCATCCTTTCTCTGTCTCAGACAGCGTACAGTAGCTTCTACCTACTAGTAAGGGGAGGAGTGGACAAGTGATTGCTGGGGAATAGGCCCCAAAGAGCGTAAATTGAGTGTATTATTAGATGCATTTTCGCCAAGCTAAGGGTGCTGGAACAGCGCTGTCTACATAGTGTATGCCCTTAGTTGGCCAGCCTTCATGATTGGCAAGCAGCCTGACATGCATTCTTGTGAAGATGAACTTCCAATTCTTTGGGCAGTGTAAGCTATGTGATTCGAATCAGTGACCCACCCATTTACCCTGCCCACCGACATACTGCTTCACTGGCCGCTGCTGTTAAGGTGTATGAATTTGCTTGAGAGATGAAAGCAAGAGATTAGCATAGGGTATGTGTTCTCATATAGGTGAATCTTTTGATTTTTACCTCCAGCACTACATTCAGCAGATACATGACACCTGGGAGGTATGACTGTTTTAGTGATTTCTGTTGATATGATTCTGTAATTAGACCAGTCATATATGTCAGCACCAGGCCCGATGGATTCTTAATCTGTTTATGGTTACATCAAACTGCTATATTCTGTTACCTAATATTACTTAAAGTCTACAAACTAAAAATGTGCTCTAGATAGACAGTTCATCAAAAACATTTAAAAGGGGTGAGGGGCGTTGCCCGCAGTGAACTAAACCAGATGTTTTTCAGTGGAGCTCCGTTATGGCCACACAAAACAGAGCCAATAGCCGCAAAAAATAGAGCCAACGAACCCTAAAAGACCTACCACCCCCCAGATAACAAGATGGGGCACAAAAATAAGAGAACCCAGCGTCCAGAAATAGCTAGTCTCCAGGATATCAAGCTTTCTTTCGAGAGACCTGCACCGCAAGATGGCGCCCGAGGTGCACAAGGACACGGAGACTTCCGATGAATCCCAGGAGGGAGAAGAATCGATCCCCTCATCCACACATGGAGGTACTCCCCAGACATCCGAGTCGGAAGAAGACTCGTCCCCATCTACTACAGGGGACATAAAGAGAGGTTGCTGAAGGACCTAAGGAAGGCGGACCTGTTGGAGACACAAACCGAAATGGGTGTCAAAAGGTGAGGGAAACCGCTAGAGACAGCCACATACAAGAAGCCAGAAGCCAAATTGAGGGACTCACAGCACATGTCCATCAGCTTCACTGAGCAGTGACCCTGCTAGAAACAAGGCATAGACACCGGAATATACGAATAAGGGGCATTCCAAAGTTGGTTGAGGGGTAGCAGCTGCTGGAATTCACAAGAAAAACATGATTGCCGCTATGGGATTCAAGGGCTGCGCAGAAAAAAAATCTGGAGCAGCGCCCAGCGGTGTCCCGAGAGATGTCACGGTACGCACCGCGAGTATGGCTTGATCCAGGGAACTTCGAGGGCAACACGCTGGCAATATACAGTGATCTCCCTTTTGCAGTGCTGACAGAACGGAGGAGGCTAGCACCAGTTGCATAGCGGCTAAGAGACAGCTCTGTGAAATATAAATGTGAAGTCGACGGTTCCCTCACAGCAACAACTGGGGCCAGACCCATTGCTCTCACCTCATCTGATGACCCAGAGCCCTTTCTACAGAGTCAAAGCATACTGGCCGAATCGCAAGCGGCTGCACTATCCCCAACCAAGAAGCCCACTAATGCGAATGTGACCGACATACCGACACCAATGTCCTCGAGACCCACCGTGTGAAGGCAGCGTTCTTGGAACACAGATACAAGGATCCCTTTACAGCTGACACCTCTGGGACCAAGACTTATACTCTAGACAGAGGGTCACACAAGGCGTAATGCCTGATCTCTTCCCAGGGACATTAGGCGGCAGAAAAAGATACGAAGATCCCACTTACAGTTTATGCAACATTTCTATCTTACTATAAATAATCACTGTTGCATATAATGTCTGAGGCGCATACCGATGCAAAGCATTAGTCTATATTGCCAATTTATATAATCATTATAATGGTCTTGATGTATACTTTATGTGCAAATGCAAATAAAATATAAATAAATAAATAAAAAACATACCAAAGCAAGAAAGTATGTACAGTAAATTATGTACAAAAAGCAATAGAAAGGAATATATATATATATATATCTATATATATATATATATATATCCACAATATAATTTTAAAGGATGAGACATGCAGTGCATTTCTTAAATTGTGTAAAAGGAAATCCCTCATTCATCCCATTCTTATTTAAAGTCTTTAGTTGGTAAAAACGATAAGCTTTTTAACCAGAGTCCTGAGGAAAGTCCCATGCTGGGACTGAAACATTTGAGTGACTTTTTAACATCAAATATAAATGTATGTTGGCACTCGAACCTGCAAATAGGTGCTGGTATCAGGGTTACCCACCTATATTAATCCCAACATGAATATACACAAAAATAAGAATATCGCACCCCAAATTCTTGCTCAAAAAATCAAAAGTATTTAATGGATAGTATAAACAAAAAATAAAAGTCCTATTTCTCCCCCTCCCCCTTTGGGCTGTGGGGGATATCCCGGTCCACACTACACTGCCTGCAGATCGGATAGACCCTGGCAGACAACGCATCGGAACCACGGAGTGCAATCCTATGCACAAGATGGCGGGCGCACTTCCATGTCACAGCCAAGCCACATGAACACGTATTCACTGCGGACCGGTGTCCCTGGAGAGCTTCATGTCAAAGCTCGATGCTTTCTTTGAGGCCTTCTGGGCGAAGTTGGCGGCAAGAGCAGCAATCTCCAAGCGGGACCCCCGAGCGGAGGATCAGAGGCGTGAAGCACAAAATGGCCGCGGATCACACTGCTGCATTAAACAGTGCCCTGTACCCGCCGAAAGCGGCAACTACCTTCCTGGACTAGAGGTCACCAAACGACTAGCTCTCCGGCATCGACCACACAAGCGGAGCATCCCACTCATACGGCAACGCAAGACCTTGCTCCAGCTCTGCTCTCCGTTTGTAGGGAAGGACTTGGACTTTGCAAGGTCCCAAGTCAGTGGCTCAGAGATGCAGACCTCAACACAGGCCTGGGGCTATGGGGCTGCCTCACCTCACACCCACTAAAGCGACTCGACCACAGCTCCTCAATACTTCCCGAACACGGGAATCGGCTGAGCCGTGACTCCCTCCACCAAACAATGCTGGCCTCACATACCTCCTGGACGCCAGATTTGCAATCCCACCAACTACAGAATGCGAATCACCTACGATTGCAAACACTTATTATTAAGCTATGTTATATGTTAACCCTGTTATGCGTGGCACTAAATTGACACACTCGGGGCAGTGACAGTCCCTATTACACAAAGCTGTCACTTCTTGTTCCCTTCTGTGGGCAGAGATCCAGCCAGATAGTGTACCATGTCTAATAGTTGAATAATCTTGCAGTTCAATCTTGTTTGTTTCATCTATACCTATCTCAATGCAGTCCAGTCTGAAAGTTATGCTATAACGGAAGCTTAGATTTTCCTCCTATACTCAGATGACTATATGCCACATACTTACCGTGTTCCCTCCTTCTTGATAATATAGATGCTATTTGCCATTCTTGACAGGTATACTTTTTACCATAATATGCATAGCTTTGTTCCACCTAGCATGTCCACTGTCCACCGATTTACCTAATGTCTCAGGTTAATCTATGTTCACAAAGGTGTTTCCCGTAAAGCCAATATCTACCATCCAGTGGTAACATTACTAATAGAACTGTTGGTTACTACAACATGACATACTTCCTTAACTCACTACTGACGTATTCTCTATCGTGCCCATGTTATACTATACTATTAAGTCTAACAATAAGTCAGTTACCTATCTTGCTTCCATTATTGCTCATACTAGCATACCTACGGACATATTATATATGACCATGTTTTATTATACAAAAATTGTGCCGTTTTACCCAATGTCATGACGTTATGTTCTTCGCATTGCCTGCGTTAGGTATCGTAGCATCGCAGGCCTTTTGTAAACCCTTTGCACAGCAAAAATAACAAATCTAAAAAACAAATTCATCACTTTTTGATGAATTTATTTTTGTATATGATTTTTCTTTTCTTGATCAAGTTTTTCTGATGAATTATTGATGAATTGTTGTTTTTTTTTATGTATGTATATGATGTACAGAATATGAAATCAATTTGTACTGCCATAGTGTACATAATATGAATTCAGGTTTTTCCGACTAATGAAATATTTGTGTATATAGATGAATTTTCATGTGAAGTGATGCACTAATTGATAAAATTTTAAAAATGATTCACTTGGTTTTAGTTTGGATTTAAAATTTTACTTAAATTCACTTTGAAGTGCTGACTGTTTACACCTTCATGAATATCGCATTGTCGTGTTTGCTAGCATGATCAATTCAAAGGCAATGATGTGATTAAATAAAATGTAGTAAACTATCTGATTTATATTTTTAACACTAAATGTCTTTGTGATTGACCTATATATTGAAAGTAAAAGGTGTCTGGGCTGTATACAGATCAGCATAAAGCTAAAAGAAATTATAAAGTAAAAAAAAATAATTCTGAAATCATCCAAGTGGACCAATGTGAATAAGGAAGAACTGTTGCAACATTTTTTTTTTTTCTTTCTAAATTGAAACATGTCATGATCAATTTAAAGGAGTACTATAGTGCCAGGTAAACAAACTTGTTTTCATGGCACTTTAGGGTTAATATGTCCCACCCACTCCTGCTGACCTCTCCTCCCCCTGCCGACGTCAGCTACGAATGCGCATGCGCGACAAGAGCCACACGCGAATTCAAATGCTTTCCTATGGACGTTAGCGTCATCTCAGTGTGATTTTCACACTGAGAATTGCGAAAGCGTCTCTAGTAACTGTAAGGGAGACAGCCACTAGAGGCTGGAAACTTCTCTGAAACTGTTTTTGGCTGCAGGGTTAAAACTAGGGGGACCTGGCACCCAGACCACTTCATTGAGCTGAGGTGGTCTGGGTGTCTATAGTTGTCCTTTAATGATGAAACATTGTAGTACTTAGTATATATTTTAATTGCAAACTGTCTTCCCAAGTTGCTTTACATAGAAACAAAAGTTGATTATTGCAAAAAAAAAATATTATTATTTTGTGAATATTAACTCTGAGCTCTTCCGGACAGTCTGTTTTAAAGAGTGGAATATTATTAGCAGAAACCACTAGCCTGTGTAGCAAATCCTCCAGTCACTCTAGACCTCAAGTCTTTATAGCAGCTACTCGCTATACATTCTTAGTCTCACTGAAAGATTGGATTTGCCAATGTAAACTATAGCTGACATCTGGTTAGTGTTAAAACATGTTTATCAAAGTCATACAATGCCATGTTGATGTTATTGATAGAAGTTACCTTGATATTTAAATATTATGGACTATATACTTATTATTTTTAAATTCACTTCCTCTGAGGGATAAAGGTTTAAGGACATGTTAATGGCCAGGTTTACTTTCACAGGTCTGACAGCTTTACGAAGTGATGAAGTAATTGACCTTATGATAAAGGAGTACCCATCCAAGCATGCAGCATACTCTGTCATACTGCAGGAAAAAGAGCGCCAGCGAATTACTGATCATTACAAGGAATATTCAGTAAGTTTTATAATGTCAGGTTTTGGAAAACGGGTTTGTATTTTGATAAAGAATTGCTCAATTTTGCCAGTTGTGTCGTTTTAAGTCCTAAAACAAAAAAATAAATATATATATATATATACACACACATACATACACAAGGTGGGCCAAAATTTAGAGTAGGGTTTGACCAGTAAATAACTTACTTGTTAGTGGTTTATTTTTTGCTACTGGTACATAATATAACTGAGTCTAGGGAGATTCATCATGGGTAATTTCACGAACCGGACGATGGTGGTTTTTGACAGTTGCTGGTGTGAGATATCGGTCTATGATTGGAAACTTTTTTACGTAGTGAAAAATTATCCTGAAATGTGGTTTCAACAGGAGGGGGCTACTGCCCATAAAGCCAGAGCCAAAATGGACCTGCTGAAACAAATGTTCTCTGAGCAGATCATTTCCCAAAAAATTCCAAGATTTATTGGCCACCACGCTCACCTGACCTTTCAGCTTCCGATTACTTTCTGTGGGGATATCTAAAGGAGCGGGTGTATATGAACAAAACACATACACATGAGCAGTTTAAGAAGAATATTCATGCAGAAATTCGAGGGTTAGAGCCTCAACCATTAACTAATGTTTTGAACAATGCATTCGAAAAAGAGCCGACTTTGAGAGGCAGCAAATGTTACTCATTTAAAAGATGTCATCCTCCGTACCTAGTGAAACAAATCTCCATGTGTTAAGCATTCATTGTATGGAATATCCTTGAAATTGACATTAATTTGAAAAAAAAATTTTATCGACTCCCCATACCCTACTCAGAATTTTGGCCTATGTGTATGTGTGTGTTTTTGATTTTTTTTTTTAAACAAAACTAAAGCCAAAATGGCCATTTGTGAAAAGCGAAGTACACCTTATGATTCAATAGTTTGTACAACCACCTTTAGCGGCAATAACTTGAAGTAGTTATCTACTTCAAGTATATATACTCTGTATTACTTTGTCAAAAATAAAGCCAGAATGGAGAAGTCATGTGTAAAAAATAAAAAATAAAATAAACTAGGTACACCTTTACTGCTTCCATAGGAGTCTCTCACATCATTGTGGAGGAATTTTGGCCACTCTTTACAATATTGCTTCAGTTCATTGAGGTTTGCTGGCATTTGTTTATGCACAGCTCTCTTAAAGTCCACACACAACATTTCATTTGGGTTGAGGTCTGGACTTTGACTGGGCTATTGCAACACTTTGATTCTTTTCTTCTTTAGCCATTCTGTTGTAGATGTGCTGTTGTTCTTGGGATCATTGTCCTATTGCATGACACAATGTCAGCAAGCTTTAGCTTTCACAAAGATGGTCTCACATTTGACTCTAGAATACTTTGGTATACAGAGGAGAACATGGTCAACTCCTTGACGACAAGGCTCCCAGGTCCTGTGAATGCAAAACAAGCCCAAATCATTACCCCTCTGCCATTGTACTGGACAGTTGGCATGAGGTTCAATGCTCACACAATGCAAAATAACCAAAAGTTATTCAATTAGCATGTTAAATGTTCCTGACAATATAATTAGAAAAAGATTGAACAAGTATGGTTTGTTTGGAAGGATTGCCAAGAGAAAGCTTCTTCTCTCTAAAAAGAACATGGCAGCACAGCTTAGGTTTGCAAAGCCTGCTGATATGCAGTGTTTGGTTTGTGCATTATGGCTAAATATCTCCACTTTGGTTTCGCCTGTCCAAAGGACATTGTTCCTGAAGTCTTGCGGTTTGTTCAGATACAACTTTGCAAACCTAAAACGTGCTGCCATGTTCTTTTTAGAGAGAAGAGGCTTTCTCTTGGCAATCCTTCCAAACAAACCATACTTGTTCAGTCTTTTTCTAATTATATTGTCATGAACATTTAACATGCTAATTGAAGCCCGTATAGGCTGAAATTTAACTTTTGGTTATTTTGCATTGTGTCTGAGCATTGCACGGTCTGACCTTAGGGTGAATTTGCTGGGACATCCACTCCTGGGAAGATTAGCAACTGTCTTAAATGCTTTCCACTTTGTAATAATCATTCTCACTGTAAAATGATGGACTTTAATTTGTTTGAAAAATGGTGCAGAGTGAACTTGCTGGCATTTCGGATCTTGACTGCCCGTACGGGTGGGACCAGTTGGATATGCTTCAGATATGTTTTCTCTGTAATGGCACAAGTGAGCAAAAATTATTTTGAGACCTGAGCAGGGATTTACCAAAGAGCAAGCTACTGAGTTTCTCTAAGCTTTTGTCCGTTCTCAGCATTCTCATATTCTTTATTTTTGTTTGCAAATGGCCTTATAACCCTTTTCAGTTTGATGGGCACTAACAATTGCTTCTCCAAGATCATTGCTGATGTTTCTCCACACACTTAAATGCCCGTGCATCCAGTGACGACATCCAGCTTCTGCAAAGTCACAGGAGCTATAAGTTGATTTTGCTGGCTGCCCAGCATCAGCTGACCGCTCTTGACCTATCAATGTGCAATTCTGTGCATATTCCTATGGGTAATTTTTCAACATAGCAATATGCACAAGATAAACATAAGCCAGTCCAGAACTCTTGTTCCAGCCTGTCTAATGGCCTTTCAGTTACGCTTCTGGAGGTGGAGTTAAAAAACGTGTGCAGTGTTTCATAGCGAAATGCTCCACATACAGACTTCATGCACATTGGCCACTTCAAATCACTAAAGTGGTCATAGTACCTGCAGTAACTCTTTAAAAAAAAATAAGAGTATAAATAAGTAGATTTGAAAGAAGCAGTTAAACGCATGTAATTTATATTACAGATACATTTTTCAAATATACTAGCCTGATATGGAAAATGTATTTCCTTGTTTCATGCTTGTATATTACCAATGTTTTGGATTTAAATATTTAATTTTATACCTATTTGGTTTAAATTTTGATTTACTTTCATGTTCGGATGATCTCATCAGGAATGTAGATTAAAGCCACCTCAAAGTTTGCTATAAACACATTGACTTAATGGCTTTAATAGGTTGAATGCCTCTCTTAAATATGTACATTTTATTAAGTTTTGGCAATGAAATTATGATGCACACGTGGCAATTATTAGTTAAAGCTAGTAAGTCATTTGTAAGTGTACAATAGGAATATTGCATACCTTTCTAGTAAGTTTGCAAGTGAATTTGATGTTTGTAAACTTTTCAAGGCAAAAAAGTAGGTGTGTCATGGGTATTTTTCTGTCATTGAAGTGTTCCTTTTTCCAAAAAAGACTGGGAGCCACTCCTTCATAGTGTACAGCAAAAGGCAAAATAAACTTAAATGCTGCTTCTTATTCATGAACAACTCTATGGGATATGAGAGCTTTATATAAAACATGTTATTTAAGAATGTGAAGCAGTGAAAGGGTCTTCTTATAAATGCTTTAAGCACATACATTCCTTCTGTATAAAGCAATGATGGGGAACCTATGACACGCGTGCCAAAGGTGGCACACCGGGCCCTTTCTGTGGGCACGCGGCCATAGGTTCGCCATCAATGCAGAGTAGGCACCTGCCTGCCCAAAACGGCAGGTGCCTACTCTGCTTCCGGGTCGGGAGGCGGGGGGAGGGATCTGTGAAGCAGCTCCCCTGTCCTCCCACACGATGCACGATCCACACAGCATCGCAAGGGAGGACAGGGGAACTGCTTCACAGATCCCTCCCACTGCCTCCCGACCCGGAAGCAGAACTTACCACCACCGGACCACCAGGGATGGCTGTCCCCCCCTCCCCCCCTCTTCTTCATTAAAGGTAAGCAGGAGAGAGGGATACAGATTTAGCATAACTTTTTTTTTTTTTAACCACCCCCTCCCCTCACACAGCACCCCTCCCACACACACACAGACAGCACCCCTACCCCCAACACACACAGCCCCCGTACCCCCCACAGAGTACCCCTACCCACACAGAGCACCCCTACCCACAACACACACAGAGCACCCCTACCCCCACAACACACACACCTACCCCTTACCCCTGCCCAGCACCCCTCACACACACACACACACACACACAACACCCCTCACAAACACATACACTGCATCCCTCAATGCAGTATGTGTGTGTATTCAGCAGTCTGTGTGTGTGTGTGTGTATTCAGCAGTCTGTGTGTGTGTGTGTGTGTTCAGCAATCTCTGTGTGTGTGTGTGTACTCAGCAGTGTATGTGTATTCAGCGGACTGTGTGTATGTGTATTCAGCACAAATCTATGTGTGAAAGCAGTATAGACCAAGCTTTTCATTAAACTTTCTTTCCAGAAATCTAAGTGGCAACAAATATCCAAATAAGGAGAAAAAGAGGGGTGAAGAAACACAAAAGTTGTTGGATGCCTTAGTGAAAAACACATCCAACTACTTCTCTCCAAGTTTTTTCTGATATTCATTGCAATTTAAAAAAAAAAATTTGTAAATAAAACCAAGTATAAGAAGAATTGTATACCCTTTTTTTCCCCCTCTCTATGATGAAAGTTAGTAAGCGATGTTTTCCAAGTCTCAAGACAAAAAAATAAAATCCCAAAACTCCATTTCGGTGTCAAATAAAATGCAGCATTTATTGTAAACCCTTAAAATGAGTACACGTCACCAATCATGGTGTGTGAATGAACATATACTTACTAATAGATGCATAACATAGCCATTCAAAAAACACTCCAGGCACTATAACCATTGAATTGATTATAGTGCCTGGAGTATTCTGGTGCTGTCAATCCGTTCAATGTTAAAGCAACCACTGAAGCTTAGGCTAAGGCAGAGATTATGCACTTCTTAGCCATACCAATTCAAAACAGCAATTAAATGGCTCTGATAAGCTGAAAGTAGTTCGCTCATTGCTGTTCAGGCTGCTGCTTTCTAATGCCTAATCATCACAGGGGATGGGCTGCTGGGGACTTTCCTTTTTAAATGGTCTAATGTTAAAGGAATGTTGGAACCAGGGTTACTCTAACCACTTCAAGCAGATAAAGCTGATCAAGTGCCTGAAGTTTCTTTTTAAATGCCCCATTTCTGAGGTGTAACAAATTGTGCAATTAACCCTTATCTTTATATATTACGTTATAAAGTCAAACGCTTCTTTCATACAAAAACAGTTTAACAGCAAAATAACAAAGACAATTTCTCATATGTATTTGTTCTTCTGAAGTTTGAGTGCACCTGAGACCTGTCCATTTTCATTGATTTAATTAATGTCAGGGAACTGGACACATTGCTGTAAACTTTCCAATGGGAATATGTCCAAGTTGATAAAACAAGTGCATTGTTAACTAATACTTCTGAGAAAAAAATTCAGCAGTTAAATGGACTATGTCATGACAAATGAATTTTATACGTTTAAAGAATAACTCATTTTAATAATGAAACAAGAACTGTTTTTTTATACCAATATTTTTCCATAACAGATAACTGCTGGAGAAAGTCAGAATGAAGTATGTGATCAGGATGAAACAGGGAAAGTAAACACAGTTTTTATTGTATATTTTCCTCTTTCCCTTTCTTTGACTGTGTGAATGGGACAACACCGTTAACAATAAAACATCTGTTTTTCAGCAAATGCAGCAACAAAATACACAGAAGGTGGAACCTAGCAAAGTCCCAGAGTATATCAAGAAAGCTGCTAAAAAGGCAGCAGAGTTCAACAGCAACTTAAACCGTGAAAGAATGGAAGAAAGAAGGGCCTATTTTGACTTACAAACACATGTAAGAGGGCTTCGTGTCAAATTGAGGCTTTCAGCAGATCTTGTGTCGTATGCTTTATAAAAAAAAATGAAAGAGAAAATTAGTTTTACTAAAAAAATAAACAGAATATCCATTCACTTTTAAACAATCTATTACATATACCATATAAATATATTTTAATGTAATTAATATTCAGAATAGACTATGAACATACTTATGATGTAGATAAAGAGTTTCTTTATTTCATGGATCTTAATTATGCCAAGGAGGTTGTTCTGTGCCACTCAAACTAATGAGATAACGCTTTATAGTAAGATATCGGATCATAGTCCATTACCTATGCTGTTTTTTGTTTTCTCCCAAACATTTTTATGGTTAGTAGCTAAAGTGAATTTAAAATTTAAGATCAGAACAGACCATTTGAAAGTATTAAAGAATTATTCCAGTTTGGTATTTGGACCTTAAATTTTAAATTCTCTTTGTTTATTGAACAACCCTGTGTATTGCAACCAGTTTTTAGTGATAAGCACCGATGCAAATTTAGGCATGATATCTTTACAAAAAAAATCCCCAATAATTGTTGTTGTGACGATTTAGCTTCATTGTGTATTATTTTGTAATGCATTCTTAAAGGGACACTCCAGGCACCCAGATCACTTCTGCCCATTGGAGTGGTCTGGGTGCCAACTCCCACTACCCTTAACCCTGCAACTGTAAATATTGCAGTTTTCATAAACTGCAATATTTACCTTGCAGGGTTAACTCCTCTAGTGGCTGTCTACCAGACAGCCACTAGAGGGCACTTCCGGGTTTATAGCACAGATTTTCTGCTATAGCGTCGCTGGGCGTCCTCACGCTATGTGAGGACCTACAGTGTCGCTAAATTTCCCATAGGATTTTCAATGCTTTCCTATGGGGAGGTCTTATGCACGTGTGCGGCATTGCCGCGCATGCGCATTAGGTCTCCCCCATCGTTTTAACCCCTTCAGCAACTTGGGATGGGGGGTGGGAGGGAGAGGGGACCTGCAGTGCCAGGAAAACAGTTGTTCTCCTGGCACTGGAGAGTCCCTTTAAGTATATATTGCTTGTCAGTACTTCTCTTGACTTATCCTTGCTCTGTGTGGTTGGATATCTTTAAGGGTTTTTTTTTTCTCATCAGAAGCACCTCTTACCTGACCAAAGGTCATGCAGGTAACAAATGTCTAGTTCTGACCTCATGCACCAGTGCCAGACATCTCAGAATTCTGCACTGAGACAGTGTTGCTGGTTTACATTGCACATTGTTTTCGGTCAGGTGCCTAAGTGGTCTTTGATAGAAGAGGGCTAAAATATTACTGCTCACGTGGAGCAAAGGTAAATCAGGAAATTCACTGATGTTATGTTTTATTTAATGCATAAGCACTTATACATTTTATTTCTGAAAGTTTACTGGTTATTGTTTCAGATAGTGGTAAATTGTATATACTATTTAAAGCAGCACTGTCATGCGGAACTTGCCGTTCTCCTAGTGTTTCCTCTTCTATTCCTCTCTCAGAATCTGTTCTTCTTTTCTTCCTTTCTGATATAGTTTTTTTTAACACATAAAGTAGGGACTGCTTTGTCTTATGTATTTTTCCTACACTTGACTTTCTTTGAAACAAGGAGGAGGAGCTCAAGTCCGCTCCATTTCCTGTGTCAGAGAAAGTACTTGCCCGTCTCCTTGACTCAGGAAATGGAGCTGACTTAAACTCCTCCTTGGGTGTGAGAATGTCAGGTGTAGGAAAAATACACAAGACAGAGTGGTTCCTACTTTATCTTTTGTTTTGAAGAAAACTAGATCAGAAATAAAGAAAAGAAGAACAGATTCAAAAAGAGGAAACCATAGAAGAAAGGTAAGTTCTGCGTGACAGTGCTGCTTTAACTCAAATGTAGTGTAAAGAGTGACTTTTGATGTGCACTTTCTTAGCACGTTTGGATATTTATTTATTTTTTACAATTCTTTTATTTATTCAAATTATCCAATAGGTGATACAGGTGCCAAAGGGAAAGTACACAATTCTACCCACCGAAGTAACGAAAGTGAGCCCATATCCTGTTTCCCTAATACCTGGACAGTTTCAGGAGTACTACAAAAGGTATACTATTTCTTAACCACAACATACAATACATTGCATATTTGTTATTTTGAATTATGCATCTAGTAGCATCACTATCCTGATTTTGGTTTTAGAAATGGTGATCTAAACATTTGATTGATACAAATGATATAATTTTGGAAAGTTTATTGGTATGGTATCTGTCTATCTTTTGTGTATGTATTTTACTAAAGCAGAAGATAGTGATATCAGTGAAGTGCTTACAATCAAAAAGTGTTTGTAGATCCTCGATTTATATGTGCTGTGGAAAAAAAAAAAAAACAGGGATATGGGAAAATAAATTATTGTAATCAGAACCCAGATGGCATCATCAAAGTAATAAGCTTTACAGATTCAGGGCTGGCCCGTTGACCAGTGTTGTAAGCTAATGTACTGCACAAGTCAGAATAAATTACTGCCATCACGTAGGTTTGCCTTAGAAATTTTGGTATTCTAGTTTGTGAGTTACTGATTTTAATCGGTGCATGGCCCATTTCATTCTACCCCTAATCATACTTATAAGCTAGTATATGCACATGTAGTTCTTGGCTCAAACTGTAATGTTGTGTTCCATAAAGAGGTCACAGAGGAAGTTACTTTAGAATCTTAGACATTTGTATGGTAACATCTGTTAAGGACAAGAATTATTACAAATGAGACGGACGATTAGATTATGCATCACTGATTTAAGGTATAAGGGTTGAGAGAGAATGTTTTTGGTTTATTTAACTTGGAATAAAATGCTATATTTGCCTACTATCATGATAAGCAAGCAATTATTTTTCTTTTTAGGTATTCCCCAAATGAGCTCCGCTACTTACCACTCAACACTGCTTTATATGAACCACCTCTTGATCCTTTAGACCCTGAGTTGCTTGCCCTTGACAGTGATGGAGATTCAGATGAGGTGGAAGAAAGTCGCAGCGAAAAGAAAAAAACCAAAGGTTCCTCAGTAAGTCTAAGCACCATATATTTACAATTCTATTTTTTTTTTAATTTTTTTTTTTAAATGAATACATATGCCATAAAAGGATAAAGTGCATTGGAACACGGCAGTGATGAAAAACTATCCAATGTTAATATCAATGGAAGAAATTGTAATGATCATGCTTCATTTGTAGTTTTATTGGTGTGTTTGTATTGTTACGGCACTAGTCATTGCATGATCTGTTCATTTATTTACATTTCTCTGGTTTTATATTACAGGGAAGTTCTTCTGGTAATGTCTCAGAAGGTGAAAATACACAGGACAACCAGGAGGACTCACTTCAGGGAAACCCTAAGAAGAAAGAGAAACCAACTCCGAAAAAAGAGGGCACCAAACGTACTGTACTGTCCAAAACTCACTCCGGGTACAAGGTAGAAGAAAAAAGCCCCTGACTCGGCTTCTTTACTGACCAGCCTCTCTCCCTGAAACATTAATGCTGTTTTTACATTTCAGCTTTTCTTTATTCACTTTTTTTGTTCGTTCCTACTCCTGCCTTTCTCCTATCATGTGATGGTCTTCCATTGCTTCCCCTTTTTTGGCTTTATTTCACTGGAGCTTTTCTGTAACTTTTGACTTAAGGAGTAACATCTGTTCATGTATCTGAACTCCTTCCTTACAAGGTGTGTAAATGGAAAATGTGTTTATTTTTTCAAACTATATAGTCTTATCCTGATGCATTTAATCCACCCAGAGGGGCATTAAATACACAGGGTTGCTTCATATCTTCTTGGACTGCGTTTACAAGAAAATAGTATTTATAGTGTGATACTATAGGCCAGGGGTAGGCAACTTTTGGCAGTCCAGATGTGGACGACATCTCTCCTGATGTTTTGCAAACAGTATGGGTGTAAGAACATTATGGAAGATGTAGTCCACAACATCTGGGGTGCCAAATGTTGCCTACTCCTGCTGTAGGCCAACGTGCGTTATAGCATATTTAGGGGGGATGGGCCATAGGGTCCTATAACTGTTTTCCAATTAGAAGATGGATGTGAATTTAGAGTTTCATAGAGATGACATGTTGTATAACCATTTTGAAAGTTGTACCACATCTAGATGCTGGGAGATATTCTATGAAAAAGCAGGAATTCTGCATGTGGTGGCTCTAATGAAAAGTTCATTTTAATATATACAATTTATAGTAATCTGTGACTGATCATCTGAGTTAGTCACTCTAAGCAGCATAACAAATGTATTTTGCTGTAGTAAGACCTGTCCCTGCATGCTCACCTTGTAAACATTTTAGCAATTTTCTTGATATCTGCATATGTTTGAAGATGTAACACCACAACTGGCTAGGCATGTAATCTGAGGTAGATTTAATTCCTCACCTGACTGATTTAAATATTTATACTGATACTCACTGTACTGCTCCATGTAGCTTGGCAGCCTTTCTTGCGATGCAAAAATTGTATGCAGATATTAAGAAAACTGCAAAATGTGTGACTTAGGAATCAGAGACTGGGGTCAGTGCACCATCAATACTACAGTAAACTGACATGGTACTTACAGTATCCCTGCGAGTTAGTCTTTAAGTAGACAACTCTGTAATTTAATAGTTTATTGTGAGATCGGACTTTAAACTAGCACTTTGTAACTTTAAAATGTTTTTTCAGTAAACAGTGAGTTGCGGTGAGTTCAATTATTAGACCAATTGGCAAGTTAGGAAAACAAAACATCAGATCTTGCAGGGATTTATTGTATGGGTAGTTTTCCATTTCCTATTGCTATGATCTAGATTTTTCAATTCTTTTTGTCAACTCACCACAACTGACTGTTCAGAGTATAAACATTTTTCACTCTATACTTCTCCCTTTAAGGGGTTTGTTCAAAATGAATTTTAGGCACAAATGCACCTTAAAAAATTTGTTTTTGGGTTTCACTGTGTTAAACCTATTTTAATTACAAATATAGACATGTGCCTATTATAAGCAATAGGTCACTGTTTTGAAATGGCGTATTAATATATTAACCTTCATACTGCTTCCTTCAAAATATATAGTATTTTAGGTCCTTATTTCAGTGTTCTCATTTTGTTAGATGTTTCTAGAACACTGTATATTGTGTAATTGAGCAGTTGATATCATTCACTCTTTTGAAGGGTACTTATTACCTTGATATTTTAATCTTTATAACTCATATTCTCAAACAATATAATTAGTATTGTTATTTATTAGTGAACTGTTATACCTAGTTTTGTTAATTTAGAATAAAAATGAGTCGTTTAAAAGTATTATGCAGATATTCGTGTGCAGCTTTATATTGCATAGAATAATCCAAGTTTGGAACTTAAAAGCCTTTTTGCAGCATTTATCCTAGGCCGTCAATAAACCCATGTTTCCAGAAGGCTTAAAAATAGTCACTGCAGGCATTGAAACCACTGTGGTGGTTTTGATGGCGGGATTGCCCTGTTGCCATTCCCCAGTGATGGGGCAAACTGTTTTGCTACAGTTTGTTCTCTTATCTGAGTTTCGCTGGGTGCTGAGCCTTCTACGCTGTTGGGTGCCAGCCATCAAGCTTCTGTAGTGCTGCAGAAGCTGGATACCGATCCCACATCTTACTGGCTAAGATTACAGGCTACTATATATATTTTTTCATTGTCTGTTTTATAAAACCAAAAGTTATCTTTTTGATATTGTGAGAGCTGCTGTGTTGCTTAGGTCATCCTAACTAGATCTAAATCTTGGTTGACTAACTTTGGCACTATTGGTTCTATATCATTGGATCTGTAGTGCTAATAACCCCCTATACCCGATCCTGTTTTGAAAGGTTCTTAATTTATATAATACCCTTATCATCATAAAAGCAGCTCTGATATCCTTGACACTGCAACCACTTGAGAATATAGTAGTGGTTATTTTGTTCGGAATCTTTCCCTGCAAACTTATGTTTTAAATCCTTGCCATTTTTTAATGTATATTTTAACAGCATGTTTGGTATGCAGGCTCAAACTTACTTTCCAAAGACACATCATAGTTTCCTTTCTAACTAACTGTGAGGTAAAGATAAAAATTACCTCACTGTGTGAGGTAAAGATAAAAATTACAGAATCTGTGGGGTTTAAAAAGTATGTTTTCAGAGAAACCTCTCTAGCACCATAACGTCTACAGTGTTGTGATGATTTTGGAGCTTGGAATATCCCATTAATACTTTGATTAAAGGGATCCTATAGTGTCAGGAAAACAAACCTGTTTTCCTGGCACTATAGGCTCCTGGAGTGCCCTCCTGCCTCGGCGATGGGTCAGGCTCCTCCCCGCCAACAGGGGAGACTTAATGCGCACGCACGGCAATGGCCGCACGCACATTAGACCTCCAATGGGGAAAATCTGATGCTGGAGGTCCGTGAGGACGTCTAGCGTCCGATAACGGACCAATAGTACTTTTGGATTCCGGAAGCCCTCTGTAAACATCGCAGTTCTCTGAAACTGTAATGTTTTACTATTCAGCACTAAGTGCAAAAGGGTCAGATCTTGGTTTACTAACTTTCTAATCTTGGTTGACTAACTTTGGCACTATTGGTTCTATATCAGGGTCAATTAGCTGAAGTGGTATGGGTGGCTACAGTGTCCCTTTAATAACAGCCCATAGTTTCTCATTGTGTGCAGGTAAGTAAATTAGAGTATATATTAGTCCACAAATGTGACTACTTTTTATAGCTCACAAGGAGGAAGAGAAGCTTACATAGACCAGATACGGTCATGGTCTGCTCAGGGATATCAAGTGAGTACATATGAGCAGAGGGAACCGAAGAAAGAGAGAATTTGAGAACTTTGTTCCATTTTAGAAACACTACATAATAAAGTGGTATTGTTTTTGATAAGGTATTATTAGTGTCGCTGTGTATTTTGTATAAGGGGGAATCAGGAAGCCTAAACAGCAATCCAAAGTCTGAAGTTTGAAGCACAATGTCTTTTGGTAAGTTACAGAATCAACAGACACGTAACAGAGTCGGTAATCCCAAGTAAGTGGTTCAGTGAAACACAGGTAAACACTCAGCAGGTTAATAGATGAAATAGGACTTATTACAACTGCTTTGAACATACAGAAGGACAGTTATTTATAGCATGCATCTGGCTGTGATTGGAGTATTATCATAGATGTTTGTTAATGGCTGATTTCCGTGAATATAATCAAAAGGCCTATGGAACATTCACACTAGGAGACTAGCAAACAAATATATGTGCCTAAGATACATTGCCTGCCAGTATGTTTGTGACTGAGTTAAAATCCCCATATTGACACCTTGAGCAGGATATCTGTGTCCCTTTGTTTTTTTTAGCATAATTTGGAACTGGCAATACTTGCAGTCCTAAAAATGCATTTAAAAAAAACAATTTTTTTTTGAAGAACATGCATTGGCACAAATGTAAATACTACAAGTTTCAAGTAATATAATAAAAGCAACAGTCCCATCTACTCAAGTTGCATTTGCTTGGAAAGTATGTTGCAGGTTATAAGTAAGAGAGGAAATGTGGAAAGATGTGGCTGGAGGTAAAGCTTTAATTCACATGTATAGCTGTTGTATGTTCAGACCGAGAACAAGATAGTTTATATGAGCATGATCTGTCATCATTAAATGTGCACTTTATATGGATAAAATATTATAAAACACCTAGTTTTTATTTGAAGTGGATAGCATGTAGACTGGTGGCTGACTCATTCAATTTGTTTTTCCTTAAAATCTCTAAGTGAAGTAGCAAAGGTATTGCTCATCAGATGTTGCCATTTCATAAATTAAAATAATCTGCATTCAAAAAATTACATATCACAGAGACATTTTATTATAAAGTGAAAAAATGTGATTAATCTACTATAATACGGTCAAAAGCATGTATGGCCCAAGTACATGGAACTTAAGTCTTGACTAACAAAGGCAAGTGTTGGAAAAGATAGTAGCACATTAACGGGTCCCTAGGGAGCAGCATAAAATAATGCAGGGTTCCAGCTTCAGAAGTCAAACCATTAAACATCATGCTAGCAGTAGTTTGCAACACCAGGAGTGCTAACTATTGTCTGTGTGTTCTCGGAATTAAATCTGTCTAATAAATCCTCAATAATTTTATTACCTGTATAAATATGGCAGGTTTGGTGAAGGGTTAATTAACTCTAAACCAGTGGCAAGATGATACCTTGCTGCAGCTCTACTCGGCTATTTGGGAGATAATTAGTACTGATAATCTCCCAGTGTTTCTCATAGACAAGCATTAATATATGGCACATGTGTAGCAACTTTTTGTGCTTCACCTGCAATGCTTCTTACAGAGAAGCATTGCATCCAGTTTCTCTCTATGAGATGCATTGACTTTTCATTGTGCTGGGGCACACAACAATCAGGAAGCATATAAACACTAACACCTTTTAAGTTAATGTGGAAAACCTGAGCTATAAAGATTATGGTGAATGATGCTACGATGGACCATAACATGTAGATTTATTTTATTTTAATTGTCACTGCTGCACCTTGGCAACATTTGTATTCTTTTTCTGAAAGAAAGAGTGAGGCTTGATAGCAGAAAAATAGATCTGTATTTTTCTAGTACAACTTGCCATGCAGAGGTTTGAGACACATTAAATGTTTCCATGAAAGTCAGTAGTAGTGTGTACAACAAATCACCTATATCCTTTTCTTGCTTTTTCCCCCCTCTGTTTATGATGCTAGATGCCTGTGTTTTTCAGAAACTGCTAGAAAAAAAAAAAAAAAAGTTGCATCCTTCCATCATTAACTCCTAGAGTGCATTCGTTTTATGGAATATGTGAAACACCTTAAAATCAGTACGCTAGAAATGTCCTAAGCTATTGTAAAACTCATTATCTGCCTTCCTAAATCATTTAAATACTAATTTTAATTTTTCTGATTGTTACTGCTGCTTTAATTTAAAGTTTACCTGTCATGATACACAGTATTTTAGGTTTAAAGTAAAGCACCATGTATTTCATATATGCATTGTGCTAGCAGACATGCTGGCAAATGTACAGATTTGAATTTAATATTTAAAACTACGGTTACTCCCCCACCGAGCAATAAGTCTTCAAAGCAGAAGGTTGTTTGAAATTGGAGAGCAGGAGAACCTTCTTATATGTGGTTTTCCTCTGCCCTATAACCCCAGCAAGCGTTTCTCACATTTGCTGTGGTTGGGGAAGTGCCCCCAAGCAGAGCTAGTCCGTGCAGAGAGAATAGCTGCTTACGAGCTAGGGAGTGGCAGGTTACAACTATATATGCTCCTGAAGCTTGTGATTCTATCATGTATCACTGCTTTAGAAGCTGTTGTATATTAATATAAACTTGGTATGGTGTCAAAATCCAAATGCAGCTTGTTCTACTCTTATTAATGAGGGCGTAATTAAAACCTAAGTTCCTAAGCCTTTCACAAGTGTTTCTGGAACGATTTTGTCAGGTATAATTTTTCTCATTTTGAGTGTACTCAAAGAAACCTGGTACATCTGTAAATTATAAAGTGGTTTTAATATCTCCTCAGATATCTTACTCCGATATCTAGCCTAGTTGGATCATTATTTTCATATCTTACGCTGTCCATTATCAAAATCATATCATATGTACTAGTTCTCCCTCCCTTATTAGTTGCCCGCTCTAAGCTTTCTCAGAAAGAAGCTGATGTACAATGAACTTGGTAGAGAAACTATTACAATTTCTGCATGAATCCAAGCATGGGAAACCCTAATCTGTGTGGTGGCTAAAGAGGTGACTGCTTTTTACATAATGGCGCTTAAGAACAATAGAATAGTCAAACAAATGTTTCATATAAAAAAAAAATTCCAAACTAGTCCCCAATATTTTCCGAGTAATAAATATTCACATTGATATATAAAATGAGAATGCAACGGGCATGTTTAAAGATATTGAGTTTGCACCATTTTTCTGGAATGCATTAAAATACATTCAAAACAATATAATAAAAATAGTCATGAAATATACTAATATTTAAAGTTCTTGCATGTGTTGTTTATTCTCAAACTTTGCAGCTTTTAGAGTTAGCCCTGCTCATAATATGAAGTAAGTTTAGCAAATTGACAAATTTCCTTTAATTTTACATGTCAATTATGAACTTATTCAATAAATTCCTGCCAAGCCGGAATTTATGTGAGATATAATGTAGTGTAAAAGCTGACAACTGATCTGAAACTCCCAGAAGGCATGATTTTCCATAAAGCTGTACTAGTGGAGCAAAAAGGAAAACATTGCATTGTTGAATGGGACTCCCAAAATCAAACAAAAAAACCTTAAAGCAGATTATATAACCTAACCCACACACTGATATTTCTGGTATATAATTAAGTATCTTAGTGCATAAATGATAAATGTTGTTTTTTACACCACTCATAAACTACATTGTCATAAAAGGTAATATTGTATAAGTTAAATATGGAGATGTTCACAAAAATAATGGCAGTTTTTCTTAGAAATGTGTATTATACCAAAACATTGTGCGTCATAAAAAACCTATGTATTCTTTGATCTGCAGATTATCTGTATTCATTTATTAATAGCATTTATAGAACGCCAACATATTGTGCTGCGCTTTAAATTTGATAGACTTGGGATATTTGAAGAAGGCTTTTCTCAACCAAGCTTACAATCTATCAGGATTTGAGGCAGGCAGATATATATATCATTAGGTGTGTAGGCCAGCGGTTCCCAAACTGGGGTGCTGCAAAATATTTCCCTGCACCGTGAACCGGGCCTTCCTTTCCCCTGTCGGCTCTGCAGGACCGGATGGGAAAATCAGAGATCTCCCTCTCCGGCCTGCTAGCACTGTAATGTTGACAGCCGGCAGGGGAGGGAGAGAGGACCCGGGGAGTTCCGCCGGGTTCTCCTCTCACGAGCTTGGAGCGTTGCTGCGGTTACCATGGCAACTCTCCGAATCTCGCAAGCGTGGACTCTAGCTGCTAGAGGGTGCTAGAGTTCACTCTCACCAGTAGGACCATCAGGGCTTCTCCACTGGACCACCAGGGATTGCAGGACATGTGCCCCCCCTATCTCAGGCAAAGGTAAGCAGGGAGGGGGGATATCAAAATTATTTTTATTTTTTTAATAAAAAATATATATTTTAATCTACCCTCCTCCTCCTCCTCCTCTTCCTCCTCCTCCTACCCTCCCCGTCAATCACACACTGCCCCCCACACGCACATAATGTACCCTTCAAACACACACACAATGCACCCCTTACACACACACACACTACATCCTTCACACACACAACATCCTTCATAAACACAACACACCCCCGTACCCACACTGCACCACACACGCACACCACTGCCCCTATCCCGGCAGACCCCAGGTAAGTTGTCAAACTGTTCTTAAACAGTTTGACTACTTACCCTGGGAGGGCACCACGGCACTCCTGGCACCATAACCACTACAACGTGCTGTAGTGGTTATTGTGCCTGGATTGTTTCTTTAAATAATCTTCAGTGCCCCTTCCAAGATTAGGTTCTGGATCCGCATCTAACAGGGAAACATTTGACTTGGGGCGCCTTGGAAAAATATTGAAACACTAAGGGCGCCTTGAACCTAAATGGTTTTGGAACCACTGGTCTAGCCTAAGGAAACTTACTGCTGAGGTGGTCTGACCAGTATTCAAACATAGATTTCCTGGTTCTTAGGCAGTGACGTTACCATAGTAGTAAATTATATAGAAGATAAGGATTCCTACCTGCAGCATTAATGCATATTAGTATTATGTGTAGTGTAGTCAATATGTATCTTTACAGCATGGATGCTCTGTCGTAGAACTACAGCTGCTGTGAAGTTTTATGGGAGTTGCAGTTCTAAAATAGCTAGAGAGCTACCTGGCTATCCCTGCTGTATTGTTATTGTGGATGTATAATCTTTGTGATGATGCTCTGCCCACCGCAAACACTCCTTTACATTTTTAAATATAATGTTTTGCTGGGCATGTAGTTGGAAAACATCAGTCTTGATTACCTTAAATGTAAAAAAAAAAGCTGCTGGATTAATAATTTAGTCTACCTTTGCAGCCATTTGTTTGACCTTGGTACCACAGTTCTCTCCATGCCGTCAGTCATTGTTCCCCTCCATTACATGTGTATTCGGTTTAAGTTCTTAAAGGGTTTTTGAAAGCATGTCATGCAATAGCTCAGCATCTTAATCACAATATCCAGGCTGAAGCAACAGGAAAAGCCAAAGGTTTTTTTTTTAAATAAAGTTTTATATTATATATACTTTTACTCCATGTTTGCATACATGGATACCATTATATTCTAGGACAGATAGATACTATTTCACATGTTTTAAATGTATAGCTTCATATACGTTATATTTATTTTGTAGACACGATATTGTGAATGTACAATTTTTTCCCTTCTTTCTTTTAATGTTTTAATATGTAAACAGGTTGACAATGCTTTATTTTCCATTTTTTAAATAAATGGCATGAAAGTCATTATGTATGCCTCTGTCATCTTTTAAATGAGGATTTGCAGCATGTGGTGTCCACACAAAATGTCAGATTACATGATCTTGGCAAAATAAACCAGTTAATATATTTTATGCTTTCAGTTATTCCAACAATGGATAATTGTATCATGAAATGTGGCTCTTGCCATCTCTGAGCACTCTATATTTTGAAATAAGGAAATTAAACATTTTTAAATTGTGACCACTGCTACCTCTTAATTGACAATATAAGATACAAAAAGGGCATTGATATATACCATATTATCAATTTTGTGGTATTGTCCCCCATACTTTAAAAATAAATACATTTTTAGAAAGGCAACATACTAAGTGATGGCGTATAGTAAGCTGTATGAAATACAGTCTTTACAACAACTTGTGTGTGTGTAGAATTCTAATGACGAATGAATGCATAGACAAAAAAACACAGGCTATGTTGCATGTTGTAAAATGTAAATCGAATGTCTTTAATAAGGTCTTTAAGAACTGTGTTGTATTAGCATAGGTTGTAAATGGTCCTTAGAGGGTACATTTATTTATTTTTAACACACCCTATATAAATCAATGCCCTTAATACGAAATATCCTTCACATATATATAATTTACAGGGAGAATACAATAATGATATGCTGATTTGTAAGTCTTGGACATAATCATCTTACATTTACACACCATACACTCCCCTTTGCCTATTACCTTAAAGAACATTGATGAAGAAATGTAAATGCAGCTCTGGGCTGTAAAAAGCTTCTGAGGTTTCATATACTGACACTTTTAGACAATGACTGAAGTCTTCATTGGCCATATAGCATTTTGAAATGGGATAAGGCTGTTTATTCTAAAGAATGTTACAAAGAAAACGTTGCAAAGCAAGTTTGTAGGGTCTTCACAAATTCTGCCTGCTCTATGTTATGTATCAAACTATAAGATTATTATTATTATATTTAGGTAGCACTTTGTCACAAGACATTTAAATTCATAAAGTATATATTTAACGGTCATTTTTTTTTTTCTTTTTAGCAAAGTGTCAGTATTTATTTGTGCATGTCAAATGGCCAAATCCAATGCCTTTCAGTGCTTTATCTTAAAACTATACTCTATATTCTCATGCTACCTATCGGAAACAAGAGAATGACATACCTGATCAGTTGTAGATCATCTACACTTTACAGGAGCACACAGAACAACAATTAGAGGAATCACAGTGAATTCTATGTAAGATAGTGGATAACAACTTTGAAAAAAATGTCTCACTGAAAATCCACTAAACAATGTCAGAGCCACACATAATAATTTTTTTTTTTTTTTTTTTACATTTGTATTTTCAAACTTTCCCCTGCATGAAACACAATGGGTTTTTTTTATTGGCTGAGCATGCAGCTCGTTTCAACTGACAGAAAATGCAAATTAAATCACTAGTTTAATTTTGATTTCTTTATTATTAGTTTGTTTCTCTTCATTTATTTTTTTATTTTTTTTATTTTATTTTTTACAAACTAGCTTTAAAATTTGCAGGAAAATGAACACGATCTGTGCTTAAAAAAGGAATGTATTTACTTGTGCTAGATCTGCTCACAGTGAACATTGTAAACACCCTATCTCAAACTATTCCAGTTGAGATATTGGGAGCAAGACCTTACATGAGCAGATTGCTCCTGCTGATAGATTCCTTATGTTTCTTAAATTAGTGTTTTAATGTTAGCCTAACAAATTCAGCTGCTAAATACACACAACTGATCTAGAAGTATTGCAATAGAGTAGCACTGAAGATCCTAGTGAGGCCTCAATGAATTCATTTGGCATGAAATTATAGCACTTTTCTACCATTCCAGCCAAAGTCCATTCCAAATGCTATATGTGGGATTTGTCTGAAGGGTAAGGACGTCGCCAAGAAAACCAGAGCTGAGAAACTAATACACTGCTCCCAATGTGAAAATAGTGGTAAGTAAATCAGTGTTTCAATGCTTTCCACTAATTAGTACATGTGTGTTGACTCATCTGTTAATTTTATTCTGCTTAAATTAAAACATAGTGGCCAAAGTAATAGTTTGTTAAAATCACACAATATATCTCTATCATTCTGTTCAGCTCTGATCATACATAATTATATTTCAGCAATTGTGACATGTGACTGGTAATTTGTGCCCTTGTGGTTTAGAAAAAAAAAGTCAAATTTGTCATGCATTCCCAAAATTCGCTCAAAGTTTAGCACATTTCTTCTTTATAATATTATATTTACTTATTCTCTATATTTAGCAAATACGAATTTCTGATGCCTGTTAAATAAAATCTAAATTAGAAATTCACCCTGCTGCATTTACTCTTCAATGTTTGGGGTACCCCTCCTACACCCCCATTTCCACCTCTCTGCGGCCAGACCCATCTCCTTAGCTGAGATCATCAGTCTTGATGATATTAGCCAACCCAATGCAACAAAATGCCACGCTGCACCTCTGTGCAGGGCCAGACTGGGAGAAAAATTTAGCCCAGGCATTTTTTCACCACAGCGGCCAACTAAGAAGGGGGCGGGGCAGAGGAAGTGTGTTTTGTCATCACCAATGACAAACGCGCCCCCTCTCAAAGTGAGCATGTTGGTTCAATGCTCTTCCAGGGCAGACCATGCGCAGAGCTCTGCTGAAGAGCTCCAGCATGAGAAAAAAGCCCTGTATTTGTTCTGCACAGTGCAAGCAAATTTAATAACATGCTTGCACTGTGTTTCCTTGCAACTTGTCTCTGGTGTCTCTATAAATGGATACCAGGAGACAAAAATGCCTGGAAAGAGTATTGTGCATGTGTTTGGAGCCTGCTTGTGGTATTGCGTGTGTGTAGAGTGAGCTGATTGTGGTGTGGTATTGTGTAATAATGTTAGTCATGTTGTGTTTGTGGTGTAATGTGATGCATATGTGGCTAGGGGCTGTAGAGAATGTGTGTATAGGGGATATAGCAAGTGTGTGTGTGTGTGTGTGTTTATATAGGTGATGTAGTGTGTGTTTGCTTACAAGGAATCTAGTGTGTGTATGTGTATATATATATTTGGAAGTATTGTGTATGTGTGTGGTGCAGTGTGTTGGGGGGGTTCTGTGTGTATGTGAGGGGTGCAGTATGTGTGTGTGTGAGGGGTGCAGTGTGTGTGTGTGTGAGGGTGCGGTGTGGGAGAGAGTGCTGTGTGAGAGAGTGATGGGTGTGAGAGAGTGCTGTGTGTGATGGGTGTGAGAGAGTGCTGTGTGAGAGAGTGCTGTGTATGATGGATGAGAGAGTGCTGTGTGTGATGGATGAGAGAGTGCTGGGTGTGATAGAGTGCTGTATAAATGTTAGAATGGATTGTGTGTGTGTGTGGGGGGTAAATAAACAAATAAACTAAGCAGGCATTATGTCCCCCCTCCTCCCCCTCCCTTCTTACCTTTAGCCTGGGAGGGGGATGGGGGGGGACAGGCACACTGGTGACTGGGAAGCGGGGTGGCAGTGTTCCCTGGTGGTCCTCGTGGTGAGTGAACTCTAGCCTGCATAGCCTGTGGGGCTAGAGTTCACTCTCGCGATATCCGGTCGTTGCCATGGCAATGCGCCAGATCTCGCAAGAGGAACCCAGGGGCCTCTCTCCTGGCTGTCTCCTTCCCTCTCTCCCCGCCGGCGGCCTCATTATACAGCATGTGGGCCGGTGAGGGAGATCTTTGATCTCCCCACAGGCCCTTCATGAAAAACAGCTCCCATGCCGGCCTCGGCCCATGGCCACCGCAGCCCACCGGGCATTTGCCCGGTGTGCCCGATGGGCAGTCCGGGCCTGCCTCTGTGAGAACATCTGAATGGATATGTGGTTGGAATCACCTCCAGTGGCTGTCAGCGTGACTGTCACTAGAGAAATGTTAACTCTGCAATTTTACTGCAGAAAGGCAGTGTTTTATGTTAAAGCAAAATGAGGCATGGCACCCAGACCACTTCATTGAGATGAAGTAGTCTGAGTTCATTTAGTGTCCCCTTAATATGTGTGGTAATAGCTTGTTGATCCATGGAGACATCTGACTGTTACTTTAGAGTCGAAAAGGAATTTATCCTCATTTTGTGCAAAACTGGAAATAAATTCAGGTTGGTTGTTTCGCCTTCTTTTGGATCAACAGGAGTAATTCAAATATGTCAAAAGCTGAACCTGGTGGATTTGAGTACTTTTAGGTTTATATTACTGTTTAACAATCTATACCCTGGAAATGAGTACCTCCATCTTGTTTCCCTGTCAGTCATTGTTATGCCATTTGCTCCAAACTGTCAGTAAATAAAGAATAAAGTGAGATGTGGAGCAACTGAAACAATGGTCATAGTGCATGTTTCTGTTTCTCTGAACTGGATCCAGATGTCAATTCCAACTAAATCATTAATTCTTACACTAAAAAGAGAAGAGAGTATCATATGAACAAAGGTTAAAACAAAATATAAGTAATTTTCATTTTTTAAAATTCAAATGTGTAATTTCCACAGCAGTTACAGTTCTCCATTTTAATGATAATAAATATTTTCAGAAAAACAGATCCAGTATCTGGGCACTCCTCCTGTCAGCTGATGTTTCTGGGTTTTTACATGAACATACCACAAATTGGGAATACGCAGTTTATGTTCATCTAAGCACTTTGCATTTTGAAATTATCTGTATCTCCATATACCTTAGCTGATGCAGCTACTCCCAAACAGCTAAATCATTACTGAATTTGTTTAAGTTGGTAAATACAATTCCCCTAAAAAGGGTCAGGGAATTGCATCCATACAGTTAAGCCTCTCTAATCCTAAATCACCCCACTTCAACCCTCAACTCCCCAACCTTTAACTCTATGACAATAATTCAACACTCACCCCCCTCTTCTGTGATGCTGAATCTGTCTCTGTTTTAGTTGCTTCCCACACATGATTTTTGGAGTAATCCACAATTTGAAGAAAAAAAAAATACAAGTTGGAATCAGACGGGAGATCATTTAAATTATTGAATTATTTGAAAAAGCCAACGCTTTTTTTTTTTTTTTATTGTGTGTGTGAGATTCATCCTGCTCTCCTATGATATTTGCTACTGCTTGTGTCCTACAATTCATTGAATTATTTTTTAAATATGAGATAATGTGAATAAACGTTTGGATACTGAAACTGGAAACAATAACCAGTTTAAAAAAAATAAACATCCATTCCTGAAACTTGATCTAGTACTTAGCGATAGTCTAGAGTAGGGGTTCCCAGTTAATTTTTCCTTTGGAACCCTTTGACATAGTGTATCAACATCGTACACCCACACTCAGATACACACACACACTGGCACATACACACAGTGTCCTATACGCACACTGACACACACACACTGATATACACTGGCACATACACACACATACTGACATACACACACACACTCAGATACACACAGTGACACACACTCAGACACACATACACTCTCACTGACAAACACACATACTCTTTGACAGACACACACACAAACACATATACACTCTCACTCACAAGCTCACTTACACACTCACTGACAAGCACACATACTCTCACTGAAAACCACACATACATACATACATACATACACTCTCCGTGACAAACACACACACTCACTGACACACATACAAACTCCTTAACAGACACACACATTACATTTTTTTTAAATTTCACTCTACCCAGCCTCCCTACCTTTGGGAGTGCTGTCATGGAGTCTCTGTTTCCCTTTGGTCCAGTGGGGCTGCTGGGCTAGCGTGCAATCCCTGGGGTCCAGTGGGGCTGCTGGGCTGAGTGGCTAGCATGCGGGCGTACAGTGGGGGTGGTGAGGGAGCAGTGATCTTCCTGCTCAGCTCCCTCGCTCGCCTCTTAGATGTGACGTCATATTCCGGCTCCGGCATCACTGCTGTGCACGCAGGGGAGAGAATCCTAGAACAGGGGTAGGCAACTTTCAGTGGACTACATCTTCCCTGATGCCTTGCCAACATTATGGCTGTATTATGGGAGATATAGTACAAAACATCTGGAATACTGAAGGTTAGTGAAGGTTTGCGAGAGTTATTGGGAGAGAGGAGCTGAATGTGTAGACGCAGTGTGCAGGGCCCCCTCTGCAGTAACAGGGAGTCGGGGGGCCCCACCATGCCACCGGACCACCAGGGAATGGAATCTTCCCCCTCCCTGGACACAGGTAAGAAGCAGGGAGGGCGGAATAACATTTAATTAAATTTTATGTAAACTTGATGTGAAATTAATGTAAAAATGCCCCTCCCCCCTTGCAGGCCCTAGTTTGAACATTTACACACACACACTGCATACACTAATACAACACACACACACTACATACACTAATACAACACACACACACACTGCATACACTAATACAACACACTGCATACACTAATACAACACACACACACACACACTGCATACACTAGTACAACACACACACACACACTACATACACTAATACAACACACACACGCACTGTATATACTAATACAACACACTGCATACACTAATACAACACACACACACTGCATACACTAGTACAACACACTCTGCATACACTACCCTAACACACACTGCATACACTACCCTAACACACACACTGTAGTGGATGCCGACACTGCATACACTAGTACACTACACTGACACACACTCTGCATACATTACACTGACACACACTCTCTGCATACACTACCCTGACATACTCTCTGCATACACTACCCTGACATACTCTCTGCATACACTACCCTGACATACTCTCTGCATACACTACCCTGACATACTCTCTGCATACACTACCCTAACATACACTCTCTGCATACACTACCCTGACACACTCTCTGCATACACTACCCTGACACACACTCTCTGCATACACTACCCTAACACACACTCTATGCATACACTACCCTAACACACACTCTCTGCATACACTACCTTAACACACACTCTCTGCATACACTACCTTAACACACACTCTTCATTTACTTCACTGACACACAGTCTGCACTCACTATACACATTTCATTCACTATACTCTTACAACATCCACCACACATTCAAACACTCTGCATTCATTATAGACAAACACTGCATCTAATACAGACACAGCACTGCATACACTAGTACAACACACACTCTGCATACACTACCCTAAAACACACTCTGCATTCACTTCACTGACACACACTCTGCACTCACTATACACACTGCATCCACTACACACACATTCTGCATTCACTATACTCACACTGTATCCACCACACATTCAAACACTCTGCATTCATTACACAGACACTGCATCTAATACACACACACTACATCCACTACACAAACACACACTGCATCTAATACACACATTACACAAACACACACTACATCCATTACACAAACACACTGTATTCACTGTACACACACTACATCCAGTGCACAAACGCACACTACATCCACTACACAAACATTCTCTGTATTCACTATACACACTACATACACTACACAAACACACACTGCTTCTTATACACACAAACACTATACACGCATTACACAAATGTAAAATCTGCATCCACTATACACACTGCATTCATTATACATCCATTGCACGCATTCTAATTCTACATCCACTATACACACACCACATTCAGTCCTGCATCCTTGTGGACGGACCCAGAAAGAGCCCTGTGGACAGAGTCAGGGTGGGCCCCAGGTGCCCAGACGTTGAGCTTTGTTAGGGGCCCCAAAATTTCTGATGGCAGCCCATCATTGATGCTCATTGGAGTGGTCTGGGTGCCAACTCCCATCACCTTTAACCCTGCAAGTGTAATTATTGCAGTTTTTATAAACTGCAATAATTACCTTGCAGGTTTAAGTCCTCTTCTAGTGGCGGTCTATCAGAAAGCCACTAGAGGGATTTCCGTGTTCTTAGAACATAAAGTGTTTTTAAATTTTGCTGGACGTCCTATGCATGAGGACCTCCAGCTTTGCCGGAATCCCCATAGGAAATCATTGAATAATGCTTTCCTATGGGGAGGTCTAATGTGCGCGCGATTAGGTCTCCCCCACCGGCTGATATCGGTGGGGGAGGAGCATGGGCGGAGCCTGATTCAGGTAAGCTGAATTCGGCGCTGAATTCAGGCAAGTCACTGAATAGGTTTAAACCCCTTCAGCAACATGGGATAGGGGGTGGGAGGGAGAGGGACACTGCAGGGTCCTGCAGGGCCAGGAAAACTGATGTTTTCCTGAAACTGGAAAGTCCCTTTAAGGATACCAAATTAGGAAGCAAACAGCAGAAGGATCAAAATTTAAGAATAATCCACTTTTTAATTCTGATCTTTCAGCATATTAGTGGATCAATCTAATTTGGTATTCTTATGTGGGATTACCATGTAGTAGGATTCCAAATTAGGGAGCCTTTTTTATTAAACACACTAACACATAATCACTGAGAAACACACACTAATTTTTTAAGAGGACCACCCATCCTCCTTACCTGTGCCTGGTAGTGTTGGAGCGAATCCTCTCCCTGGTGGCCAGCAAGTCTTTTGGGATTACCGCAAAGCTCCCATGTGCACTTTATAATTACACCGGAACCAGAGCTAAATCAGCACACTACGAGACGAGCGAGGGAGCTATGCAGGGAGAGTACAGTAGCTATGCACTTCCCTCGCCATCCATACCCACCTGACCGTATAGATTTCAGTAGGGCAGGTGTCTACACTGCTAGTCAAACCCAGTCAGTCCCCCTCCTGAGAATGGCCACCTTAGGCTTGCTCTGATCTTACTTGGGCTTGATGCCCATGTGATTTTATCATGCGCATTTGCAGACTGTAGTACTTATAAGGGCCATGTACCCACCCCTGCTTTAAGGCCTTTTCACCTGCACTTTCAGGTCCAGACCAGCAGAGCCCTCAGCTCCTCCAGCTCACATAGCCAACAAAGAGGCCTGTGAGGATGAAGAGGGGAGCGGGAAGGAAAGCACGCAGCCCGTTGCAGCGGCCACCGCAATTGAGTCCCACAGCCTGGCGTCTGCCACTAAAAAAGACATATCTGACCTCTATGGCAGAATCAGGCTGCTGTTTGATGCTGACATTGCCCTGGTAAAAACTGAGGTCCAGGCTGTCACAGACCGAATACAGGCCATGTGATCGACCTCAAGCAAGGCCTGGCAGCCCTGGGGGACACTGTGCAGCAAATGCAAACCTCACATTCCTTCCTGACACACAGAGTGGACACCCTGGATGACAGGAGCAGGCACAAACACATCAAAATCCGCGGAGTCTCCGATGCAGTATCCACAGAGGAGTTAGCACATTGTCTTAAGCGGCTGATGGCCACAGTCCTGCCCGCTAAACACTGGATGGGGCATATCGGGTCAACAGACCCCCACGCGCCCCAACGAGCTCACCCAGGGACATTATTCTCAAATGTCAAACCCTATGGACTTTGAAACTCATCATCTTACTTTCTATCAAGATGTCACTCGGGCCACTTTACTATGGAGAAAGGCTATGCAGCCAATCATGAAAAAGCTACAAGAAGCAGGAGTGGCATATCGTTGGTCCGCATCCCGCACTCTGATGGTTCTCAAAGAAGGGAAGACGTATACAGCAACATCTCCGTCAGACGCCCCCGCTTTCCTCACAGTACTGGCCCTCACGGGGGCACAGAAGCCCCAGCGGGAACGACAACCAATCCTCAGTGGGATGTCTCAAATGTAACACCCTTTGTTCCATCCTGGATCCAGGACTTAGTGACTTAGACCCTGAACCGACGGCACTAACTCAGTGCACCTCACCACTGTTGGCGGCAAGGAGATATTCACCAACGAACCACATAAAAGTGGTACATCACGGACTGGACTGCAGCTTACGTTCATAACCTGGTTTATTGTTTTCGTTCAGTTTTCTGTTATCTTGCGATGAATGATAGTTGTTAAACTAGAAATGAGGCACACGCAGAGAACATCTACAACTGACCCCCTGCTACCCCCCATAGGCACCAAACATTGCCCCCAACAACTACCACGCCCATGAGGCACGTATGCACTTGCACACATCACATCACTGACTTACCCGCCTCATATCATGCTGCAAGCCCCCACACTAGGCGGGTATATAGCAACAATCTAGGGATAGTCGATGACCTCTGGTATAACATCAGCAGGAATCTGCTCAGCACACTTCTTCGGACCGTCAGGTATCCACACAATGCCACACACACCAAGACGTATTACGCACACGATACTTACCAGGTGCACCTTTTTATTGTTTTTCTAATTTTCGCTTTTCTTTGTGTTATAAATGCTGACTAACTAACTAGTCATGTACATTATTTAAAATGAGTGGTAAAATTGCATGGAAATGTTAGACAGGCTCTATGCTGCCCAATCTTTTAACTTTTTGACAAGGTATAATCCAATCCATACGCACCGATGACAAACTCGGAGTACCACCAATCACATATGTATCTGAGACACGTTTTCTTCACTATTCTGTTGTCTGATCCAACTTATATGTACCATGTACTGTATGTATAAAAAAAAAAAAAAATTTTTAAAGCTGCAAGCTATGTGGATGTGTTAAGCAGTGAAGCCTTGAAACTTTTCAGCTATGCATGTAATGAACCTCTAGCCACCATGGTCCTTACTCAGTAACTGGACACTAAGTTGTCTGTGTAGTCTGTAGTTTAAAGGGTATAGATTGGATCCTTTATTTTGATATTGATCTGTGATACATAATCTCCTGCCTTGCTGTATGAACAATGTATGCTAAATATTATTGTAAAGAAATTACCAAATTGTTGACAATCATTTAATTACTGTTCTTCAGGACACCCTTCTTGCTTAGATATGTCTCCAGAACTGGTTGCTGTTATAAAGAAATATCCATGGCAGTGCATGGAATGTAAAACGTGCATCATTTGTGGGCAGCCACACCACGAAGAGGAGATGATGTTTTGTGACCACTGTGACCGTGGCTACCACACATTCTGTGTTGGACTTGGTGCTCTCCCTTCAGGTATGTCTTTTAAAGAATTAATAAGCATACATTAATGGAACACTGTAGAAAACATTAAAGGATATTGATGATAGGGCGTACTTGAAAACCAGAGTAATCTGAATGTACCTTTCCTCCTTAAATACTTTATTATATGCGTGGGGGGCTACATTATTGGGGCTATTTATTGAAGTGAGAATGCAAAGTGAATTTCAAATATAAGGCCAGAGTACCTCAACTGAAAGCATAACTGACTTAGAGAATTTTTCTAATTTGTTATTTTGACTTTAAATTTTAAAATCACTTTGAATACTTACTTTAGCAAATGACCCTGTATATGACTACTGTTCCAGACTTACTCCATTTGCCTGGTTCTAACCTAGTTTAATTGCCAAACACTTGGGGACAAGTCCAGTGCCGCTATTAGGCATCCTTTAGGGGGCCCATATGGACTGGGACTTTTAACAGAATTTTAGACTGCCTCAACTTGGCAGCACTTGGAGGAAGTGATGCCAGATCCCTTCCTCTCAGGGCTTCTGGAATCAGCACAGTAGGTTAAAAGATGAGCCTGCAGTCTGATTCCCACTGGACTCAGGAAAGTCATCCTCCAACTGCAAAAAGGTAATTTAAAAAGCAGGGAGTCTAAATAAAACATCAGTTCAAATGTAGGTATGTATGTGTGTATAGCAATGTATGTTTATATTTGTGTAGTGTTACATGCAGCAGTTATTGTAGAGTATATGTGTGCAGCAGGCTGTGTGTAGCATTGTGTATGATTTTCAGTGTGTAGCATTGTGTATGATTTTCAGTGTGATTGTGTGTTTAGTACTATGTGTTTGCCTGCATTGTGTATTGAAGTGTGTGTGTGTGTACCCGTGAGAGTGTCTGGATTGTATATTTTTTTTGAGAGTGAGTGTTGGGGTAGCCAGAGAGTGGGGAGCCCAGCCTGTACGTTTGCAAAACAATTCTGACGGGGGTCCTGTACAAGGCATTTCCAGTTGTCTTCTAATTCTGCCTAGCGTAGCCTAGATGTGTATTAAATGTGTATTAAATCATGGTGTCCTGAGCACTCACAAAACTGTAAGTGCAGTATAAAGTAGTTTTTCCATGTCATTTTCATGGCCGGCTGTCCACAGTGTTATCTTGCTGATGTTCAGCTCTGGAATAGATTGTATTTCACAAAGATTTAATGAAACATGATCACAATTATACATTTTGTTTTACTGAATTGCCCAGCTCCCTATTACTCACAGATGACGAAAAGAAAATCCTTCAGAAAAGTAACTTCATTAGTAAATGCTAAATCGGTTTTATTTCTTTAATAAACATACATGTCGGTTTTACTTTAGCTGTATATCCCTGGTCTAGTGAAAAGAATAAAAATACTATAATTGTACACAGTCAATACAGGATACCTTGGGACTTGCTCAGCAAAGAACACTCTGTTAAACACCCATTAATTGTGATTGTAACAGTCCCCTTTCATTTGTTTTTTTTTGTTTGTTTTAATTTCTTTACTTATTAGAAGGTATTTCTTACAAGATTATGAACACATCATAATGGATAGAACATTAACCTGAATGGATTTTTTTTTGTTCAAATATCCCCTTTCTTTTTGTTTTCTCCAATTTCACAGGGCTAGCCAAAATGATTTCCCGTTGATTTCCACTTGTTTATTAGTTGAAGGATTTAGCTTTTAGCCATCTCTGGATTACGCAATTTAGAATAAGGATTTACAGGAACATGTTATCTAAACCCTCCTCCTCTCCAATAAAACAAAACAAATAAAACTTGGGGTTTTTTTGTCTTTTTTTTTTTAGGTCCCTGGATTTGTGACTGTTGTCAAAATGTTCCAGCCACACCAAAAAAAGGAATCAAAAGAGTCAAAAACAGTAAAGAAGGATAGCAGACTGTTTTGTTTTGTTTTTTTTAATTTGTTTTTCAGATGTTGATTGCAGAAGTCTTTCTACACGGTTGCTACTTGACCAGATATCTTTGAGTGCTTTGAAATCAATTGCACATATGTAACAATTTTTCACATTTTTACACCAACTAATAAAACTTTTGGAATTATTTGCTGGCATAATGGGACCTGACATGAATGGGAATGTTTTGTTTGTATCGTGTGTTGTCTTTCTTTTTTAAATCTATACCTTATTTTAGACTACAAATACCTCATATTGCTGGTTTAAACAAGATACAATTACTTGCCCTTAAAACTCCACTGTGTCTACATAAACTGTGTTGAAGTTGCATTGTGTTATTAACTAATCATAGGGACTACCAAGAGGTCTGTATTAATGTATGAAATTATTGGTGTTATAGTTGTGTAATAATGTTTTATATAAGAAGCATGAGTAAATGCCATTTTGACTTTAATTCTCAAAATTTCATGATTATGCGCATATCATGTATCAAGAATCATTTTGTTTAACTAAAGAAATGTTATAAATTACTGCCATTTATTTGTTGTCATTGGTGTACTAACCGCAACCTCAAAAGCTCTTTGAAGCCTAGAAATTGCACGACACAAAGGTAAACCTGCCAATAAAGTACACTTTGTCACAATAAATGACCTGAAATCTGGAAATGTTGACTGGATCCATAAAATATTATAGTTTCATGGGTTAATACTGCTTGGTGTCCTAAATATTAAAATGCTTTTACTATGTTCACACAAAAACATGCCCTCATTGGTTTTTTGATTTATTTATTTATACTTGGAATTCATAGTAGATATTGTATGTCTCTTTACAAGATGGTGACCCTATTGTCTAATAACAAATTACCTTAAGAAACGTATCTGTTACACAGGTATCTCTCAATTCATAGGTTTTATTTGGTTTCTGTCAGTTTGCCAAACAGTACCATATTTTACGTATACTGCACCTTCCTCCTCGCTGTAGTCATTTGTGGGTAAGATTTAAAGTGAAACTGTCACTTTTCTAGAATAGAGAATTCCTCACTCCAGTAAATGCTATTGTAACATTTACTTCGGTGAATAATCCAGCAGAGATGCATAAAAACCATATGTAGCTCTGCAGCACTTCCATGTTTAGTGCGTTTACACTGACTTGTTATGCATTGTACGCTGTCTGGCATTTAAAGAGAAATGGTATTTGAGCACCTAGTGCCATAATTGAACAAACAGCACTGCAATTGATTAATCTGATTTACATCACTATACCAGGACAGCCAGACATACCTTGTAACATAATAGAAAAACTAGCAAGATTTGCAAAATAAATAAATCACGTAATCCATAGCTTTTAGTTGGCTGTTGGCCTCTGCATAATCTCACTATTGATTTACAATAGTCAATACTTTTCCTTAGTAAAGTACTGTGCACATAAATTACTTGCTTAATCCAATTCCAACATACCTGAATGGGAGAGAAATTATAAGTAGAAAATTAAAGGAACTGGATAGGTTTTTAAAAAATGCATATCCTCCCTTCCCCCTCCACAACCTACGCTCACCAAATGCATTTCCCCCTAAAAAGTGTAAAAATTAGCTTTAGAAGTACCTGTTTGTCTTTACATTGATCAGATTTTCGGCTTCAACTCTGATTTACTGTAATTTCCCCCTTTGCTTTATCCCTGCTTCCTGTATTTCAGTCAGACTGTACACCAATGGCCATGCTGCAGTGATTCTCTATGATAATCAGTAATGGCTTACTGTTGATGCCTGAGCTTCACTCAGCTCAACACATGCCCACAATGCCTGTCCAAGTCTCCTCAGAGTCCTCAGCACTCAGACACAAGAAATTACAAACAACATCAAACAAACATTTCCTCACTATTAGGTGAGATATAGTTTCATATGTTTATTAAGTGTTCTTGCATAACAAGACCACTTAATGTTATCTCACATATATATTATTTTTATTCTTATTATTGCCAAATTTACCACCCTAACTCCTTCCACAGTTTTTACACTACATAGACCGTAATATACCGAAACATGCAGATTTTTCCCCATTGGATTGCTATTACTTTGTGGAATGTTTCGCCGAATGGTTCACGGAATATCGTCGTTCTTGTGGCGAAATTGGTCCCATAGGAATGAATAGCAAAATGTTCAAAACTAGAGTGGGAGCTGGCAAAAGCTGAAAAATCAGGACATGATTTCTAAACTGCCACCACTCCCTCATTTTCAAGCCCACCTACACAAATCTTATATCAAAACGTTCAGCTATCCCTGCTGCCACAAAACATGTCCACGGCTAAGCCATAGTCCTGATAGTTTTCACAATATGACCGTTTGTTTGCAACTCACGCCGTCCATTGACATTCATTGAAACTCCACTCTAGCCAGCTCAAATTTGAAGGGCAATTTCTAAACTGAAATATTAACAATGAAGGCACAGTCGCAGAGACATACTATACATCAAAATGTAGGTCTGGGTCTTATGATTCTCTCAAAATAAAGCTCTTCACTGTAGGATTTATAGATTTTAAAATACGACCGTTTGAAAATGACAACCGCCAAAATACTCTGACCTGTGCCAGGCTGCAGCAGCAAGTGATGTCATAGACAGGGCCTTTTGTACACCTGCTAATGTTTTTATAAATGTATGTTTTAATGTAACTGTGAAGCACTTTGGGCAACAACGTTACTATATAAATAAATAATAAGTTACTCCGCCCACTCCAGTTGTAGAATACTGGTGGAGGCAAGAACACTTCACACAATTTCCACAGAAATTGTAGCTTTCTAGTTATAAATAAATTTCAAGAGACAAACGCATTGTGTTATCGCTCTATATATTTATCTCTAAGTCTATCTATCTTTAATTCTCTCTCTCAAGAGAGGTTGAATAGAAGAGAGTGGAGGGGAAGGGGCTAACAGTGGGTAGTGAGGTTAGCTGACAGGTACGGGCAGGGTAGAGGTTAACTGTGGTTAGGGAGGTTGGCTGGCATGGAAGGTGGGTTAACAGTGGCTAGGGAGGTTGGCTGACTGGAACTGGCAGGGAAGGGATTAACTGTGGTTAGGGAGGTTGGCTGACTGGGACTTGCAGGGAAGGGGTTACCAGTGGGTTTGGAGGTTGACTGACAGGGGCTGGAATAAAAAAAATGTATAACTTGCATTACAGGGAGGGAGAGAAGCACACATGCCTCTATTTTCATTTGCTGAAAAGGTATGTTTCTTTCAAAGACTGGGGATCAGGAACGTGTTGAAATGTGAGACGGGGTGGCTAAAGAGGCTGGGTTGCACTGCTGAAAACAGCAAAACATTTTACAGCACTGCAGGAATGCTACACAGCATTGGAAGAAAAGGAAACGAACCACAGGTATGAGTTTATTAACTTGTTTAGCTGCCTGGAATGTCCCTTTAAAAGAAGAGTGGCCCAGTAGAAGGGTCAAAACTAAAGAGGTGTGTTGTGTCGTCAACAATGACTAGTATGGTCCACAAACTGAGCAAGGGCCAATGATTTTCCCTATGCTGTATTTTATTCTTTTTGTAATCTATTAGCCCCACCATGGAGAATGTATTTTTCTTATTATTTTAACTTCATTGCTTACCCTTTTTCCTCTCTCCCAATATAGGTAAAAACTTTTTGACCTTTTTCTAGTTTGAGCTTAGGCATAATTTATGCTTTTCTCTGAATGGCTGATACTAATGGTTTCTTATTGGCCATATTCAGCTGGCAATCATTTTATTTTATTTTTTAATAAAAAAAAAAAAGCAAAGTATAATAATAAAAAATAGGCAAAAAAAGTGAAGGGAATTGAAATGAGTATAGTGATCTAAACTGGCAATGTATATAATGTCAATTATGATATCCAATCAACATGAAATTGAATGTAAAGGATCAAATCAAGTTATATCACTAATTTAAAATCAATCGATTGTCCTGATTGGCTGCAGCCAGTGTCCTGCTCTGACATAATGACATTCAGCATCACCAGCACAAAACTCCTAGCTTTGTCACTGTGACAAACTATAGCTGGAGGTTGAACGTTTCAGGAGTTCTGTGATAAATGGCAAGAAAGCTCTGGACCTAGTGTGCAGGAAGTCACTGCATGTGTACTAAGGGACAGTGATCTTTTAGGTACCAGAGGCTATAACGTGTTGCAAAGAAAAGGGGCTTCCATACTCAACAAGTTTTGTGAAGAAATTAGGTGTTACATCAAACACAATGGAAGCATACTTGTCTGTGTCAGGGACCAGCATGAGGCTGACAAACAGACCTGTTTGTACCCATATGAATGATTTGCACCCTACTTCAGGCACAAGGAATCCTAGCATTAATAGCCCAAAGACAACTTAAGTTGCTGAGAGACAGAAAGTGCTGACAACCACAGCAAAAACTGTTTTTGGGAAGAAATCTTTCCTGCCCAGCTTGACTCAAGGCTTGCTGGCCTCCAAACCCAAAACAGAGTCTGGTAAGAAATCTTTCCTAACTAGATAAACTCAAGGTCGACTGCCTCTGGAGTCCACACCACCAAATAACGATTCTGGGAAGAGATCTTTCTTAACTAGCTCAACTCAAAGTCAAGAGCTGCTGGCCTCCACACCTGTAATGGAAGAATGCATTGCTATAAAGGAGCGTTGTTGGCTAAAAAAAATAAAGCCTTGAAATGTGGAGCAAGAGAAGAAAAGGTTTAATTACATGGAGAAAGAAGGGTGCATAGGAGAGATTGCTGTTAATCTCACTGAGGATATACTTACACAAGACTCTCTTGGGAATGTAAAAGGGCATCCAAAAATGGCAATTCATTTGTCTATGGCATGAGAACACTGGCCAAAAGGCAAACTGTTGCTTTATAACATGATATGACTTTATATCTTGGGTTTTTATGTAATGAGATATTCTATTAGTGTGTACCCACTGAATAAAGATATTTTTTTTTGTATATAAACATTTATGGTTGTGCTCCTTACTCAATTTGTAAAAGGCAAACTGAGACATGAAATAGGAACTCATTATTTTCAAAAAAATCAATAACAATGAACAGCAATGGAGAGATAGCAACAGTCGTGAAAAGTATGGGTTAACACCAGAAAAACAAACAGTAAGATTGGCAACCATCCATGCCCTTCTATTTCATCCAAATCCTTCTTTGTGCCAAGTCCCCCTCCTCTACTATGCTGTCCACCAATCAAGCTCTATGACAGTAGCTCATGCCAGAGTAGGATGTGGCTGAAATCCTGAAAGTTCAGCCACATCCTTATCTGTCATCATCTAAACAGATGCAAGAGCATGATATGGCTGAAATACAGATTGTTCAGCCACAAAATCTACTCTACCATCAAAGTGCATGCCAGTGCGGAATTTTGTTGCCGTCTTTAGACTAGTATAATAAATAAATAAATGGGTTCAAAAATCGAAATGTATGGAAATGTTTTATACCATTATAAAAAATACAAACTTCTTTCTTTCTTAATTTTCAATCTAATCTAGAAAACCATTACTGGAGATGTGTAAGGAGTTCCCCAATATGATCAAGTAAACCAGGAGAGCAAGAAAGGATTCTGGTGTTTGCATGACACCCAGTAAATATTTGAACTTGACCATTTGGACCTTTCCTTTACTGCAACGGATCATAGTTTAAATTTTATAGAAAATTTCCTAATAGCAATCTTTTACATAAAACGTTGTACTTGCCTAACTAAAATAATTTTGAATTCAATATACTTGTGTCTGTCTCTGGTTTCATGTGAAAATATATGTAGGTACTTATACC